ATCCAAAACCATGCATATTAACTTAATGTATGAGTTTAGGAGCTTTTGAGATGTAATAAGATAATTTTGTATAAGAAATGTTGCCACTACAAGTGTATTCCTCTGCTATTATTTCTTACTGGATTTATGCCTAACTTGGTGTGGTGCTGTTTTCACTGTGCTTAATTCTCACCTGTCTACATTTTTATTCTTGTTAATCAGCACAATGAATCATCTAACCCACCTGAAAAGATGAGAGCAGGTGCATATCTCTTAGGCAGTCGATGTCTTCATAAATCAGATCCATTTTGGGCAATGAGAATACAAAAAATGGCCATTTGGTGGCAGCACTAACTTATCTGTTGAACCTATTTAATGAAATATTTATTTATCAGTAGCACTTTGATTTAATTACTATGCTTTTACTTTGTATTATTTACAGTACCGTGCACCATATATACAGTCTTTCATTATGTTCTACTTCTTTTTCCGTTGAAGAGTTCCCTGGCAACAAAGAATGATGGATGAACTTGCAAGTTCAGTGAGGTTTCCCTGGAAGCTGCTAGCTGGGATGAGTTTTAAACAAAAGCAGGTGAGCCTTACAGTGTTGACATGATGCCCATACATCTAAGATCAGACAGTACAGAAGACATAAGCATGAATCCTAATCAGTAGAAAGCTTTGAAATATTTATTCACAAGCAGTGAGGTTTGTTGGAAGCTGCTAGCTGGGATGAGTTTTAAACAAAAGCAGGTGAGCCTTACAGTGTTGACATGATGCCCATACATCTAAGATCAGACAGTACAGAAGACATAAGCATGAATCCTAATCAGTAGAAAGCTTTGAAATATTTATTCACAAGCAGTGAATTGTTAAAAACTAACAAGGGAACCCCTAAATTTAGGCTAGAATAGCTAAATTGGAAAAACAAACAAACATCAAAACACCCCCACACATCTTTTTTCATTTTTCCTCTTGGATATTTTTTACAGGACACATGTCACCTCCTCATGTGCAAGGTATGTCCTAGGCTGTGCTCAGAATGAAAGGAATTGTGATCTAATTTGCTAAATATTTAATACCGTTTTTCCCTGAACATAGATTCATGGAATTCTGTTCGCTAGTAAATTAATCTATGCAAACATAGATTTGTGGGATTCTATGCCCTAGTGAACTGGTCTATGTTCCAGGATATTCCCCCGAACATAGACCTGCTTTCTTGCACATGCTTTCTACCGTTTTCCCCTATAATTAAGACATCGATCGAAAATAAGCCCTAGTGCGTTATTCAGGGCAAAAATTTATAAAATACCCTGTCTTATTTTGAGGGAAAAACTGTATAAATTGAAAAAAAAAAAGAGAGAGAGAACATCACATGAAAAAAACATTAGCATACATTATAGGTGGCTGTGACGAAATACACCTCACCACTGGTTTTTGGAGGGGCCTGTTTGCCAGCCTCCTTCCCTGGGACTATGGGCCCTGTGATAACCCATGTTCAAAAGTACTGTTTCTGCCCTTTGGACTTTTAACTGGAACAGATTCAAACATGTGGCGGTGGCCATCTTTAATTGTCCAGCTGTGTTTTGTCGTCGAGTGTATGGAACTGTTTTGGGCATGGGACCATGTGCACGGTGGGGCAAAAATAAGACTTCCAGGAAATTCCTGAATCCCTGAACCGATCTGGGTGATTTTTGGATATGTTGTTCACCCAGATCGGGCCTATGTGGGGATATGTTGTATTTTGGGGTAATTTTTGGGGTTTGTAAAAATGTATGTTTTTTCTGTTTAGAGTTAATTGAGTTAGCCCATTGTCTTTGTTAATTGTATCACAGGCAGAGGGGAGGAATTGTGTGCTGTAAGTGGGAGTGTCGGACATTGTTGTATTGTTCTGATTGGTTTGTGTCCTTTGTGTGTCTGTGTTCCATCAGGTCTAGGGGGTGTGCCTCTGGCCTGAGGAATTGTATATAAGCAAACCTGTACCAATAAAGCCTCAGACTTGTTCTACCCTTCATGAAGTTTCGGCTCATGTTTGGGGGATTAGAGAACTACCTACACTCTGGGGATTGCTATAATCACTATACTCCCCAGAGTATAATCACTAAGCTATTGTAAGAGCTTGTTCCTGTTCCTGCTCTCTGGATTAAGAGAGGTCTACCTACTGGAAGCTGGATCCTGGTGTTGGGTCCAGAGTGGGTGGAAGACGGCGAGACCCCAACCAAGCTGCGGCGGTTCGTGGGGTCTGCGGTGGTTATGGTGTCTAGTGGAGTGCTTAGAGCCCTCAGAAAAGTACTAAGAGCATCCGTCAATGGAAGTACCAAGTCGGGGTGCCAGGCGATCCGTTACAGTGGCTTTCAACGTTTTATTCAAAAAGTGACAGATCCCCTTTGAGCAGCCCCTCAGCACAATGCCGCTATGACATATCATGCATACAACAGAACTGCTTTAGACAATGTTAGAATGGAGAGACTTGCTAAGTCAGACAGTGTTTAGTGACAAACAGGAGCTGGACTCCTAAAATCTGTCAGTGTCCAGTATTGGAGCTGGGCATCCTCTGTTTGGCATGTCACAGAACAGGAATTGGGCTGCCTCCATTCAGTGTCAAACACACATGATAGGCTTCTTCGCTGTCATACACACACACATACATACACACAGGCACGTTGCACTCCACCAGTTTGCTTGCGTCTCACACAAAGTCTTAGCTTTCCTCTAGTCTGTCTTTGGTCCTCTCAGTAGCTGGGCTATCTCAGTATGTCAGGTTCCTACACAAGTTAATTGTTCTATCAGCATGCCATTATAATGCCCAGGTGACAGAGTCCTTTACTTTGAAAGTCTCACACACAGAATATTTCTCTCAGCAATATTTCTCTCAGCTCAGTATATCAGCATTGCTTATTAGGGATGTGCATGGGAAAAATATTTGGTTTGGCATTCCAAAATTCGGGACTACAGCACTTCGGAACTTCCGCACTTTGGGACTAGGGAATTTCAGGACTTTGGGTAAGTGTAGGGTTAGGGCAGGGTTAGGGGTAGAGTTAGGTTAAGGGTAGAGTTGGGGTTGGTTTAGAGTTAGGGTTAGAGGTAGGGTTAGGTTATGGGTACGGTTAGGGTTGGCTTAGGGGTAGGGTAGGGGTAGGGTTGGTTTAGGAGTAGGGTTAAGGGTAGGGTTAGGGTTGGTTTAAGGGTAGGGTTAGGGTAAGGTTAGGTGTAGGGTTACGGTAGGGTTAGGGGTAGGTTTAGGGTAGGGTTAGGTTAGGGGTAGGGTTACTACTACTACTTCAACCCCTAACCCTACCCCAACCCTGAAGGGTTAGGTTAGGGGTAGGGTTAGTTTAGGGGTAGAGTTGGGGGTTGGTTTAGGGGGTAGGGTTATAGGTAGGGTTAGGTTAGGGGTAGGGTTGGTTTAGGAGTAGGGTTAGGGCAGAGTTAAGGGTAGGAGTAGGAATGGTTTAGGAGTAGGGTTAGGGGTAGGTTTAATGGAAGGGTAGGGTTAGGGTTAAGTTAGCGGTAGGGTTAGGTGTAGGGTTACAGTAGGGTTAGGGGTAGGTTTAGGTTAGTAGTAGGGTTAGGAAAAGGGTTAGGGTTACCCTACCCCTACCCTAACCCTACTCCAACCCCTACCCCAATCCTTAACCCTAACCCTACCTCTACCCCAACCACTAACCCAACCTCTAACCCTACCCTAACCCCAACCCTTTCCTGTTTTGCCACTTTTCAGAAATCCAAAGCACTTTGGCACTTCCGAAAATTCGGCACTTCGGCAATTCGATTCGGTTCGGCATTCCGAAATTCAGCACTTCTGCAATTCAGTTTGGTTTGGCATTCCGAAATTCGGCACTTCAGACATTTGGAAGCATCCGAATTTCTGAAATTGGTCCGAATTTGCATTCGGAACGAAACAAATTGCACATGTCTATTGCTCATACATTACAGAAAGGCCATTTGCACACAGTGATTCAAATGTAAATTTCTATCAGTGTTTTACTTTGAAAACTCCATCTGCCAGTATGTGTCAAGCACATGCAGGGGAAGGTCTCCTGCAATAGAATTTTTAATTTAGTCCAAAGTTACCAAATAGTAAAAAAAAAAGGGTGAGTTGTACAATTTTTTAAATTCAGCTATTTTGTCCTGAAACATGATATGTCCTTGTTGATGTTTCTAAACAGTTCCCTACTACTATTATAATTTATATGGCTCAATTATATTGCACTGTGATTTCCAGTTATACTGTGGGGTATATAACAGCAAGCAATTGACTTTAGAGCCTTGCTCAAAAACTCTTTAATGTAATAATGCCCCAATGTGTCGCAATGTCATGCAAATAGATTGATTCTCAGCTTTTCAATGATACACACAGGTGCAGAGCTCCTGAAGTCAGTAGCACATACATAGAGTTTGTCTTAATGAAAGGAACGTTACTTAGTATGGACCAGCCACCTGAGATTATTACCTGTATGTCACTTTCAGAATAAGGGATACTATTCTGAAACTATCATGTATGTCTATATAACATTATATATGATTCTACAGATTATGGAAGGCTCTCCTACATGCATATGTCCTAAACATACTAAAGGAGTGTATGTAACTCATGTTCAGACTCTGCAACCACGTTTATACTTTTGTGGCTTTTTTGGTATTTCAAGTATTTTATTTTGAGACACAAATGTTGATTAAAACCACAGTTTCTCTCAAAGCAGATTTTACAGTTTTGTGGGGAAAAAAAAAAATTAATTACAGGGCTTTGGATTTAAATATACTAAGAGAGCGGCAAGGAAGAACAAGAGAAAGGGAGAGAAAGAATGAGAGGTACTAGGGAGACACTGAGTGTGGGTGAGAGAAGCAAGGGGCAAAAATGAGACAGACAGGCTGATCTTGTGCATTTTAAAACAGCCCACAAAGGACATGAATTGTCTCGATGTTTCAGAAAGGAATAAAAAGTAAGGGGGAATAAGAAAGATGGAAAGGGGGAGGAGGAAAAAGGAAAGCAAAAGAAGTAAAGAGAGAGGCAGAAAAAGTGAAGGAGCTAGGAAGTGAGAAGAGGAGGGGAAGGAAAGAAGAGTAGGTAAGAGGAGGAGAGAGCGTGAGGAGGGGGATGTTAACCCAGACATTTAAAAACACTCAATTGTTTAGGGTTTCCATGCTGATCCAAAGCAAGCAGAGTTTGTGCTGATTTTCTTTTCTGTGTTCTCTCTGCAGCCTGGGGGGCAGACTCTGAGAGAGGCAGGGGGTAGGGGGAGTGAGATTTGTAACTTAGGGGCTGGCTGGAGGCCGGATTTGTCCTCAGTGACTTTAAAGGAGTTTATTGAGGATCATCAACCGGTTTTCCCACAAGACATTAATGCATGCTGATCATTACCCCATGCTTATGGAAGAGAGAACACCAGTTAACATTTAACTATTTCCTTACAAAAGCTGCTCTGTATTGGTAGATCAGGACCACAAAAGGGAACAGATAGTGGAACTGACTGTCATTGAGCCATGAACTTGTGGTTGCCCTGCTGCTGCTGGCATATTCTTCTTTGCCTCTGGGTACTTTTGGATAAAGGTTGCTGCACATGGACATCCAGCCATCACCACCGATATACACCAGCACTGCAATTAAAAGCCAGGGAGACCCTCACCACCCCAAAAAGGTAACCAATATTGTTACGGAGCTGGTGGGAATGTAATAGATGAAGGTAATTGTACTGTTTTTGATGGATTAGGGCCATTATGACAAGCAAGTGTTAAATTAGCATTTTTTTTTTATTCTATTGCTGGCTATATATGGGCTAACTGATTTACACTGAGAACACCCTGATTATGAAAAGAGATGTAATTATAGCATGCGTTATTAGTTTGTTTCTAAAAGGACAAACATTTTGCTAACTGTTCCATCATCCAAAGTATTAATGAATATATCCTGTAATGACAGTGCTTGTGTTTGCCAAGCAATTCATCTCATATTGTAGTGGCATTTGCACTGATTTCATGTGCCACTGCCAGGTGATAACAAAACCCTAGGAACTTGGACTCTGTTAGTTTTGCAGGCTTATCGTATAGAATTGCTATGCATATGTAATCCATGGTGGTCTTATGATTGCTTATGGGATGGCAGAGAAACAAAAGAACCCTCTCACTGCCAGAAAGACATTGTCAGGCCCCATTAGTGAGGATTAGTTGAAATTCTGTTAACTTCATATTAAAATACCAATGTGTGCATGATTTCAGCTGCAGCAACCCCCCCACCCCCATGTAAGAGCTGAGAGTATGCGACTTGTATTGCAAAGTATGTCCACTGTGGCTAGAGTGAGCTTACTGGCTGGATATTTGTGGCCTGAGGATATTGAAGGGGGAACACTAACAATTTATATGGGAAAATCAACAAAGGAAGAAGAGAGATAAACAAGCTGTACTCAGAAAGCTGCTCTATCACTGATATTACAGTGCTCACCATCCTCCTTAGACCCAGCAATATAATGTAATTGCTATAACTACAGTACCCACACTAATTCGATCCAGTAATATTGCCACAATTACAGTGATCACTGTTTTTATACATTTCTCTACAATTGCCTTGCCAAATACAGCTTCACTGTACGTTCCTTTTAGTCTATTGTTATATTTTGTGCAGTTATGTCAATTCTTAAAGTAATGTGTAATTAATGAGAAAATGTACTGCTTCATTATGGTGGATTTCTAGAGATCATATACAATCACTTAAAGGAACACTATAGTGTAATCCTGACACTATAGTACTTAACTAAGTATTTAGGTTCACAGCCCCTCTTAAATCGCATTTTTCCCCCCATGCTATGCCAGTCTCATTGCAGCTGGCCTCGCCTCCATAGCTGAGATTATAAATTTTGATGATCTTAGCCAATCCAGTACTTTCACATAGGAAAGCATTGGGAGGCTATTGCACATGCGCTACAAAACGCTGCACTGCGCCAATCAACATGTCCTCATAGAGATGCATTGTATCATGAATCTCTATGGGGAATGTTCAGCGCTTCCATGCAGTCTGAGTGACTGCCACTAGAGATGTTACTAGGTGTTTCTTGTCAGCAATGTAATCACTGCCTTTTACAGTGCTCAACCTCCAGGTACAGACTATAGACACCATAACCACTACATTAAACTGGGCGTTACCATGGGGGTGTAACGAGCGCTTACCTTTCCCCGCCGGCCCATGCAGCGCGGGGTCCTCCTCCAATACTTCCGGGGGGCGGCTCAGCTCTTCTGACGCCGGCCGCTCGGAACACGCCCACCTTTATGACGCGACGCATGCGCGCCGACATCAGAGGGAAAATGCCGCCAATATTCAAACGTGGCCACGCTCCCGGACTTTTTGGGGGCGTGGCTTCAAAATTAAAGTCAAAGAACCCACACTATAAAAGGGCTATTATGACACTTGTCAGATGCCCTAGTGTGGTTCTTGTTTAAAGTCCCCTAGTGCTATTATCTCTGCTTGTCCTTCTTGGTAGTTGACCCTTGGCTATCTCTCCGACTATTCTGTTTTCTGGTTTCCCGTTACTTGGCTTGGATAATCGTGTGCCCGTCTTCCGTATTCCCTTGACCTCTGGCTATTCCTTTAACTATTCTCAGACACTAGTCCGGCCATTCTAAGGTCCGGTAACCGTCTTTCTGTGGGTTTCACGCTGTGTGAAGGGGTCACTGTTGTGACATTGGTCACTGTCGTGACAGGGGGGACTTTGCGGCTGAAGCCACAAATTTGGGATTCTTTGGCACCAGATCTCTAGTTGGTGAGGGAGCAGGAGGATATTAGTGTTTTAATTCAATGCAGCTACCTGTTATAAAAAGAAAGATTAATAATATAGTGTTCTGCCAGTCTACATTGAAGGATAAGGTGGTTCCTCTTAGATGCCTGTCAGAAAGTGTGCTGGGTACCAGAACTTTGCTGCACAACCCTCTATCAGAAAAGTAGTATTACAGCATAATCAGGGTCGGATTAACATAGGGGCTGATGGAGCTGTGGCTCCAGGCCCATGCCCATGGAAAAGGCCCATTGATTTAAAAAATAAATACAAATACAAATGCAGGTATTTTTCACAGTATAAATAGAGATTACTCTGCAATACCAATACTGGCCAGAAGGGGACGCTGTGTGTGGAGAGAGGAAAGGATAGGAAGTTACAGCATATATCTGCCTCTCTCTAGTCACTGATCCGCAGGGGAGCAGCTACACAGCAGAGAGAGTCAAGACAGCTGCTCCCAGCCTGCACAGACAGCCTACAGTTTAGGTAAGTGAGGGATGGGGTTAGACATGGGGAGACTTGGGGACACTGAGAATCTTGGGGACACTGAGAATCTTAGGGACACTGGGAGACTTGGGGACACTGGGAGACTTGGGGAAACTGGGAGACATGGGGACACTGAGATACTAGGGGGCACTGTGAGACATGAAGACACTGGAAGACTTGGGGACGCTAGGAGACACTGAGACATTGGGAAACTGAGACACTGGGAGACATGGGACACTGAGACACTAGGGACACAGTGTCCCCATTTCTCCCAGTGTCCCCATGTCTCTCAGTGTCCCCATGTCTCCCAGTCAATGTTCTAGTGTCTGTGTCCCCATGTCTCTCAGTGTCCCCTAGTCTTCCAGTGGCCCATGTCTACCAGTGGCCCTTGTGTCTCAGTGTCCCCATGTCTGTGTCCACAAGTGCCCCCCGTGTCTCTCACCCATCTACACGTGTCTCTGTGTCCCCATGTCTTCCAGCTAGTGTCCCCTAGTCTCCCAGTGTCTGTGTCACCATATCTCTCAGTGTCCCTAGTGTCTCAATGCCCCTAGTCTCCCAGTGTCCCCTAGTGTCTCACTTTTCCCATGTCTCTCAGTGTCCCTTAGTATCCTAGTGACATGGGGACACAAACACTAGGGGACACTGGGAGACATGGAGACCCAGACACTAGGGGACACTGAGAAACTTGTGGACACTGAGAAACTTGGGGACACTGGGAGACTAGGGGACACTGGGAGACTAGGGGACACTGGGCAACATGGAGACACGAGGGGACACTGGGAGACATGGGGCACTGAGACACTGTGATACATAGGAACACTGTGATACATGGGGGACACTGGGAGACCTGGGGACACAGACACTAGGGGACACTGAGACATGAGGACACTGGGGGAAATGGGAACACTGGGGGACTGGGTGACATGGGGACACTGAGACACTGGGTGACTTGGGAGACACTTGGAGCAATCCATTTATACAGCAGAATCAAACTGTGAGTAGTTTGTTGGTGATTTTACAGAATTTTCTCTTATGTCACTCATTGTGATTTACATAATGCGATGTCATGCATACATAATTAATTATGCATATGAAAAGGGCCGGTATTTTTTTCCAGAAAGGTGACAACCCTAACCAGTGGCGTACACATGACCCATGGGGCCCCGGTGCGAAAATTGATCCGTGGGCCCCCCCCCCGTGCGGGCCGGGCCGCAACACATGGCGGTGGGCACCTGGTCGCAGGGGTTACCGGGCTGCGACCCCTGCGACCGCGGTATGTACGCCAGTGCATGCAGATGCACACACACTTAAAGGACCACTCTAGGCACCCAGACCACTTGAGCTTAATGAAGTGGTCTGGGTGCCAGGTCGAGCTAGGGTTAACCCATTTTTTCATAAACATAGCAGTTTCAGAGAAACTGCTGTGTTTATGAATGGGTTAAGCTTTCCCCTATTTCCTCTAGTGGCTGTCCCATTGACAGCCGCTAGAGGCGCTTGCGTGCTTCTCACTGTGATTTTCACAGTGAGAGCACGCCAGCGTCCATAGGAAAGCATTATGAATGCTTTCCTATGTGACCGGCTGAATGCGCGCACAGCTCTTGCCACGCGTGCGCATACAACCGACGGGGAGGAGAAGAGGAGGATCGGAGGAGGAGAGCTCTCCGCCCAGCGGTGGAAAAAGGTAAGTTTTACCTCTTTCCAGAGCCGGGCTGGTGGGGGTCCCTGAGGGTGGGGGCACCCTCAGGGGACTATAGTGCCAGGAAAACGAGTATGTTTTCCTGGCACTATAGTGGTCCTTTAAAGGACCACTACAGACACCCAGATCACATCAGCTCAATGAAGTTGTCTGGGTGTCAGGTCCCTCTAGTTTTAACCCTGCAGCTGAAAACATAGCAGTTTCAGAGAAACTGCTATGTTTCACTGAGGGTTAATCCAGCCTCTAGTGGCTGTCTCACGGACAGCAGCTAGAGGAGCACACTGAACGTCCATAGGAAAGCATTGAGTAATGCTTTCCTATGGGCGGTTTGAATGCGTGCGCGGTCGCATTCGGAGCTGAGAGGCTGAGGGATCCTCGGCGCCAAGGGAGTCCGGCGCTGGAGAAAGGTAAGTGCTGAAGACACACACACACACACACTTACAGTCGCATACACACTAGCTAACAGACACACACATTTACTGACAGAGATACAGTCAGCGACAGACATACATACACACTCACTTACAAAACATACACTCTCATTGACAAACACAAACTCACTAACAGACATCAAACAGACTCACTAAGACACACACACTCAGTAAGACACACACAGTAACACACTCACTGACACTCACTAGCAGACACACACACTAACACACTAACACTCACTAGCAGACACACACTAACACTCACTCTAACACTCACACACACACTAACAAACACACTAACACTCACTCTAACACTCACTCTAACACTCACACACACTAACACTCACACACACTCTAACACACACACACTAACACACACACACTAACACTCACACACACTAACACTCACACACACTAACACTCACACATGATTTTTTTTTTAATTTAATCCCCCCAGCCTCCTTACCTTTTGGAGTGCTGGGGGGATTCCCTGGGGTCCAGTGGTCTGCTGGGCTCCTGGGCGGGTGGCCGGTCGGGCAGGCAGGCAGGCAGGCGCGCGAGGAAGCACTCAGTGCTTCCTCTTCAGCTCCCTCGCGCGCCGCGTAGGGATGCCGGAGCCGGAAGATGACGTCATCTTCCGGCTCCGGTATCATTGCGGTGCGCGAGGGAGCTGAAGAGGAAGCACTGAGTGCTCCCTCGCGCGCCGCCTGCCTGCCCGACCGGCCACCCGGGGTCAGCAGGGCCAGCCTCAGGGGGGCCCTGGGGTGGTCGGCTCCTGGGCCCCCCAGGGGAAGAGGCTGGCCCTGGGCGTACATACCAGGAACTTCTGCCTGTTAGTAAGAAGGCAAGGAGACAAGTGAACATGTGAGTGATAGGGGACAGTCCTTAGAAAGCATGGAGCGAGTGCATCACTAGACGCATTTATGTCAAGTTCAGGGTGCTGTCTGCATAGTATGCCCTTAGTTGGCCAGCCTGCATGATTGGCAGGCAGCCTGAGATGCATTCATACCAGACTGGCCTTCCAATTCTTTGGGCAGATATGCCCCCTTTTTTGGCATGTTCACCCCTTTCAGCAGTTTTGGTTACACACCCTTTTACTCTGCTCATTGACTTCCTGCTTCACTGGACACTGCTGTTAGGGGGTATGGATTTACTTGAAAGATGAAAACATAAATTAGAGAGAGATTAGCATAGGGAATGCATTTTCTCATAGCTGCATCCTATGAGTTTCCCTCCAGCACCATCTCCATCGATACATGACACTTGGGAGGTATGACAATATACATCGTAATTGTCAGAAGCAGACCCAATGGGCTCTTAATCTGACCCTGAGCATCATATCGAATACCTGGTTGTGCAGCATGTGCTTGTTTCTGCATCAGTATCATACTGTTCCTGGGTAGAGAGGAGGGTTAATAAAGAAGATGGGGATATATCCCTGACTGTCTGTTAGTGTAAGGGTCATAAAGGTTTCCTTTGGGCTCAAACCCCAGATGTCTCTGGAACCTAGCAACATTCCTGTACTATATATGCCATTGTAGTATGCAGACTATCAGGGTTATTCACAAAAGTGTGGAATTCAAGACAAATTCAAAGTAAATTTCAAATTCAACGTCAAAGCAGCCAACCTGGAAAAATTCTCATCTGTGAGCTGTACTTTCGATTCACATACTCTGGCTTTAAATTTGAGATTCACTTTGAATTCTCCTTGAATTCCTACTTTAGTGTATAACCCTGTATATCTCTATCTTAGGGATAGGTGTCTTGTAGTGGAGTTTTTTGTATCTTCCTTTATGTGCTACCGGTAATCTACTACTTGCTGCCTGTTTCCTTCATGTATATGAAAGTAATTTAACTGCAATTATGGAGTTACTGTTTACCGTCTCTGGCAGCCACCCATCCCACCTCTTTCTACATATTCACCTTGCTCACACACACACGCACACACTGTAACTGCAGGGGTCTCTGGCATACAGCTAGTTGTAGTAACTATCTGTTTACCCCTGGAGCAGTTTCAGATTTAGTCTGTCTGTCTCTGGCACTCCCTCCCTCTTGTGAGAGTGGCCTGTTCCCTTGAGGCTAAATTAGCATAACATTTTCATTTTTCTCATTGACATAAGTATTCAGACTCAGACTCAGTGCTAGTTGAAGTACATTTAGCAGTAATTGCAGTCTCACATCTTATTTGGTATGATGCGAAAAGCTATGTCCACCTGATTTTGGGTTTCTGGCAGGTGGGAGAGCAACTTTTGTGGACAGCCATTTTCAGGTCTCTCCAGAGACGTTCCATTGGGTTCAAGTCCAGGCTCTTGCTAGGCCTTTCAAAGATATTCGCAGGGTTTGCGTTGTCTTGGCCGTGTGTGTATGCGGTCATTGTCCTGTTGGAACGTGAACCTTCGTTCCAGTCAGAGGTCTTGAACGTCTCTGGACAAAATGTATTTAATGTGTTGTAATATATAAAGTTACGCATGTAAATACAAGATATTATATTTCAGAAACTGGTGCTCAATGCCTGTCAGTCGGACCATCTCATGCCAAGTTCAAAATGGCACCTTCTTGCAGAGAGTCTATCAGACCTGTCACTGGGCAGCAGGCTGCTCCGGAGGAAGGTGACTATGAAATGTCTTAAGTGTTTCTTTTTCTCTGTCACCTTTTTCTCTTTCATATTCAGTTTCAGAGTATTTAGTCGTTATTCTACTACGTTGTATAGTTGTCCTGATCTCTGAGGCTCTGGTGTTCATACATCTGTTTTTGTGCTCAGTTGCTCTGTAAACATTTATCTGCTTTTGTCAGTCTCTTTGCTTTAGTTTCTTCTATATATCAGTGACCCGTAGACCCTGGCACTGTTTTACTCATCTTTTTGAACCTCACTTTTCTTATTCAGTCTCTGTTTCTTGCACTGAGTTTCTTTGGGCCCTTTCTTACATTCAGCTCCTGGTGGCATCTTTCAGTTACAGGACAGTTGTTAGACCAACTTACAGACTCAGCTACAAGATGGTAACAGCGCTGGAATGGAGATGCTGTCCAGGATTCAGGGGGCTTAACTGTGAGGAGGGTAAGATTCATAATATTTTATTTATTTACATTTTTATTTATGACTTGTTCCAGATTAGATCACAATAGCCAAAACTACATGGAAGAAAAAAAACATTAGGTGTCAAACATTGCAATGCAGTAGTATGAAAAGCAAGTAGAACAATGTTTGTTTGTTTGTTAAATTATTTAAGAAGAAAAATAGTTGACTGGTTTAGGAAAAGTCATAATTAACTAGCAAGTAGAGTGGCACTTTGGAAACTTTGCTATGACCATGAGAAGACCCCATTAAAGAAAGCAAGAGGGAAAGCAGAAGTGGAGAAAAAAAGCCAATAGAGGCAATGCCATTTGATTTATTAACTTATCCCTATAGGAATGGGTGTGACGGTGCATGTCCATGGAGCAAACCAGACCATCAGCTAATGCCCACTGCAGGGGCTTGATATTGGAGCAGGTAAAATGCCAGATACTCTGACAGTGCAGAATATTATTTAGAGAAGGGCAGCCACTGCCCTGCCTCCAGGTATAAAGGCAAACAACATATTAGATGTTACAGATGCAGAGATAAGTCCCGACAGAGGGCCGAGGATGAGAGGTAGGTAGATTGCGTCTCCCACCAGAGCGACTCTGGCATATACCATGATATCGAGAAAGATCGTGATGCTGTGGAATTTTACCCTCACATGCTTGCTGCTTTGAACATAGTGGTCACCTCCATCCATTGCTCAATCCAGGAAGAGGCAATGGATGGAGGCTGACTGCACACTATAGGTGGGAGGGATAGATTGCGCACATCAGGATGAACTGTCAGCCACAAATCCTTTCCTACAGTTGCTGCTAACATGGATCGCAGAGACCTTCAAAGACTTCTAGGAAATTGCAGTGGTGCAGAGAGGGCCTGTCAGGCTCCTCGGGAGCTTCTGAACGAGGCAAAAGGGCATAAGTGCCATCTTGTTCATGGTCAAGTAGTAGTGCACTTAGATGCCACAAAACATGGTCGCATCCAGGTGGAGCTAGGGGAAAAGAGAGTTGGCAGTTGGAGTATTATGTACCAGGATATTTCCATCAGCAGAAGGGGGCATGGAGATTATAGCAAAGGCCAAAGACTCTAGGAGAACTATGGGTGGAGAGAATGGCCACCTCACTCACATTCATGTTACGACATGGGCCGCTAATCCACCCAGAGAGAGTTCCACCAGAAGCTTCCAAATGAGAAAAAGTTGGTTGCAATTCCTGAGGATACTGCCAAGGAATCTTCAAAAGGCAGAAAAGGTAGCTTTTTGTTATCTGTTCTGGTGTATTTTATAATGCTTCAGTCTTGGCTCCCTAGTTCCAGTGGAGGGACAGATTAACAATTCAGTATCCAATTGTATGCTATATGTCTAATGTTGCTAGTACAGTTAATGGGAGTCCCTTTCCTGTTTCAGTTTCATACACAAGCAAGTTTCATGCAGACACGGTTTGTCAAGATGTCATGGTGTAGAGGAACTTAAAGAACCATTCCTAGCACCTTAGCCAAGACATCAATTATAAAGAATGCAAGTATGTGCTCTGATTAAAGTGATTTCAGGCCAGGTATTTTAGAATCATTTCAAAACAGCTAAGGTTTCTAAAGTAAGGACAAAAAAAATCACTGGAGATAAAGGGCACCCTTGCCAGTACTATTTGTTATTGAGGATGACCAGAAGAGGAAACCAGAATTATATTCTTTTGCTGAAGAGTGTGTATATAATGTAGCTATGGCCAATTTAAAGTTGGCAAAAAGCCAAATTTATATTGTTATGTTGAGTAGCTAACATGTAAGACATGCAAGCGATCAAAGGCCTTCTTCTCAAAAGACAGCATTTGGTTTAGGTAGCTTGGCAATATAAATCTGTGTGTATTGTCTAAGGCATATCACCCAGGTATAAAGCCCAGTTCTTCTGTATGTATCAGAAATGCCATCAATGAGTTTGATGGGATGCTAGCATGTTAAGGGATTAACAATGAGTTAAGATGGGATGCTAACATTTTAAGAGGTTAAGTGCAAGTGCCCATGATAGATTTACATAACATTTAATGTAATTGGTCAATATATCTTCCTAAGTTAAGTAGTACGTTTCTGAAAAACAATCAGGGCTCAGAGATTTACATTTTTTGGAGTGAATGTATAGCCATAACAATCTTTTATTCTGAGATAGGAGGATGATAGTAATTTTTTAAGACATCTGCTATATCTATTTCTGAATGTTGATGTGTTTGTATTTAATGACAGATTATATAGATATATAGATATTAATTTACCATATCAACTGGGTTATGAAGAACGGTCTCCAACCTAATGTACAACAGTGTGGGGTTTTGGGGTTTTTACATTTTACAATGGTTGTGCCCTCAGTCTATTAGCAAGCATTTTTCAGCTTTATTATCTTTAATATAGAATACATGTTTGAGCTTTCATAATGTCTTTTCACAGTGTTGAAACATCAAGGATATTATAGCTAATTGAATATTAGTAATAGTTCTACCTGTTTTGTTCAAGCAATATTTTTTTTTATTGGTAAGGAAGTGGGAATCTCATTGAGGTTCTGAATAAATCTTTTTTTCATGGTGGGAGCACTGTTGTATCAGTAAAATACTCTCAAAGAGACTCTCAAGAAACTCATAGATACTTCACTATTATCATTATCTAGAAAATATTTAAATATGTGTTCAGAGATCACGTAATGAGTTAAATATCATGAATATGAGGAAGGACACCAGTAGCTATGCCTTATCTTTGGGAATGAGGTTTGGAACATAATGGAGGGAAGTGTATGGTTAGACCAAGATATTGATCCAATGTTTATGCCCAATGCTTGGTTCAGTAAGGAACTTTATGTAAAAAAGAAGTCGATGCAAGAATGCATATGGGCAATAGAAATTCATACAGATTGTGCATAGCATTCAGAACAAAAACATTTTTTACAGAAGGATTTCATTAAAGACAATGTAAGTCAAGGTCCTCTGCTATTAAACAGAGCTAGAAGTTTGTCACCACTGCAGTCCTCTATGGTCCATGGTAAGCAGCAGATTTTAGAGAGACATTTAGCCAGGTAGGGTAGCTGTCTCTGATTAAGAGCATAGTTACACACAATAAATGCTGATATGTTGTTTATAGTCCTACCTACCATTATATATAATCTGTCTGTTTCTCACTATCTAGTGGAAAGCTTAACATTCCAGTCCTTATGAAATGCCATCACTACTAACTTGTTTGATTGGTTAATGCAAGCATAGTGTTTTAAGTTTCTTATTAAGCTTTTTGCAATTGGGAGAAAATTAGGGGAAAAGACAAGACAAGAGGAGCAAAAAATGTAAGAAAAGATTTTTAAAAATTTTTTTACGAAGAATGTAGCATTAACAAGGATCTGACAAGATTTGTGGTCATTACACTTATGGAAAAACCAAAGCAAAAAAAATAAGACAAGAAAACATTGTAGGAAATAGAGTTGGATCCCAATTATGGAGCCCGATGATAGGCCCTTGGATATGGCATAGAATGACCTCACATTTATGTGTGATCTGTGAGGAGGTCTGTAAATTGGTACACAAAACAAATGTCCAAAGGCAAAAGATCAGTATATAAAGAAAAATGTTGAAATTAGATACACTTTTTAAAGCAAATGTACAAAAATAAGAAGAAAACAGCATGCTTTCTGGATTCAAAGGTTCCGGGAGTTGTATGAGCTGTTTTGAGCTCTTAAAGTTTTAATATTCAAGACATGTTAACTATTTTTAAGCATTGGGGTCATTGAGTGATGAGCATATAATGAAAGCTAAGAACAGGGAACAAAGAAGGTGGACATTTTTCTAGCTTTTGCCTTGAAATACTCAACTGTGGTAAAAAATGGAATCAAGTAATCATCTTGTGGTGTGGTTTTCAGTAACAATTTTGGCATAGGCAAACTTTTTGTCTTATCTAATAGTAAATTATGATCTATTGCATGAGGCAAAATGGATGTGAAAAAAACTTGCAAGTATATAGAGACTTTGTTGCATCACTCCCAACCTTCCAAATCAATAGGGTAGGTTTCTGATTGCTTTGAGATGATTAAATCTGTTAACAAGCTCATTGTGAGCATCTCTCGGTGTTCTAGGATGTCAGTGTGTGAACCAAATCTCCTACAAGAGACCCACTTCAATTTTCAGTAATCTTCCGGTGGTATTAAACGCAACATTTGTTGCATAGAGTAGTTTTTACTCTGATGTCGTTGCATTGGATATGCTGATATGGACCTGCCTGAGTAAGGGTGCATTTCAAAATAAGGGAAATATATGCATACGATGATTTCAACCATGATTTTGGTTATTTGCAGACTTGTATTTATGTGCGAGGACGCTTTAGGATTATGTGATTTCTTTAATCTGTGGTTTGACATGAACTATGGGCTTGGTGTGCTCATGTTTTCGAGCTCCCTGATAACATACGTCTGTCTTACAAGTGGCTGGGGATTTAGTTGAAGCCTAATTGTAGCCAGGAGCAAGGTGTTAATCTGTCTCTGACTCTGAACAAGCCATAACCCCACAACTTTCATACTTATTAATATATAATCGGTATTATGCGTCTTAAACTTCACTTTCCGGTTTTTTTCTAGTGATACATATGTGCAACCACATTATCATTTAGTACACATGTATGCATTATGTAATCTCAGTAATGTTAATGTATGTATGATGGAAACTCACACTCTGAGGGGGTTATATAAAAAGAGTTATTCTGTTGCCAAATTGTAAACGTGGAACATTCATTGTGAACATTCCTTTGGTTTCCCTTGTGATTGCTCAATAACCAACTGTACCCCAAAAATTATCTGGGATGAAACTTATGCACTTAAAAGAACTAATATATTGACATGATCTTCAACAAGTTTTGTTACCTCACTTTTTTGACTATGTGAAAAGTGATACACAGTGTCTTGGATCATATATACATATTTGTTTTGGAAACAACCATATCTATTTTGGACAAAAAACAACTAATTATTCATTTTTGAGACAGCAAAATACTCGAGAGAATGGGATTTGTACTGTAAAGAGGGGCGTTGTACACTAAATGACAGCATCTGCAACTCTGTTTCTGACAGAAGGAAGATGTAAATCTGCAAAGGTTATAGGCCTCTCTAGTATTTGACCTTCACCCTTCTTCTTGGATTCCATGTAGAATTTGTTAACAAACACAAGTAAACTCTAATTTCTCCTGGAGAGAAACAAGTTGGTAGCTCAAGGTTGTCCAACCTCGGAACCTCAAGCTATTGTTGGACAGGCAGTCCGGGCTCCCCAGAACCACCAGGCCCATAACAACCGCCACAGTTGTCACGCTCTGATGGTGGCCCTGAACATGAGTGACATTCCCTTCCTATGTTACTCTAGCAAAGTGCCAGAGGAATTATAACAACTACAGACACCACATGTGCTGTAGTTGCTGCATCCCAACATTAGGAGGTATGGAATCGGGATAGGAGGGTGGGGTTGTTGCTATGACACCTGTAATTGACAGGCCTGATTGGGAAGTGGACATACCCCTCCACTGAAGTGGCAGTCGTGCTCACTAAAGATGCGCTAGTGAAGTTCTGCCAAGGAACAGTCCCTGGCGACCCAGATGCAGGAAATTATGGAACTAAATCGGGACTTAACTCTAAAATAGAAATTCTGTTTTTAAAAAGAAAGAAAGAACTTTTGCTACTCCAGTTTCTAATAATCCTTGGTATACATGCTATGCTTCTGACATAGAGAGCTAATATGCAGAGAACTGATGGGCATGGGAAGGAATGGCCGATACATTAATTTAGTTACTATTAAAAATCTCTTTATTTCCTAGAAATTCTGCTACCATGATGAAGGCAATAGTCTATGCAACTAAAAATATTTTGAAATGTAGGTAGGGATCTAGATAGGGACATAGAGGATTAATTGACTGTCCACTAGGTTGTGCCTTTACACACCTGGCAAGACCCTTTTAATACCTATGCCTATAAAAAAACTATTTTTCATGTTTTACATTTTGTCCATTTTGTTAAAATGTATTTTACTAAACAAAAAAGTCACCAGTTGTACTTTGCATTTTATTTTCTTATTCTTTCCTAAATGTTTAATATATGCCTTGTTATACAAAGAGTTTAATACAGAGGGAGAGCTGACAGCCTCTGATAAGTAAAATATGATATATGTAACAACGGCTTCATTAAAGCTACTCTGGAGGATTATATACTACAGGCTAAGATTACAGAGGGTATTGTGCACTTTAATAAGATTATAAATGTGTACCTCTCCCCCAGTAACACGGAGGAACAGCCTATATTATTAAATAGGCCGAAGCACCTCCCTTGTCTCCATCCCAGCAGATTTAGCCTCTTAATAGATGGCACTGACAAGCGTGAGAAAGAAACTCTCAATAATATATCTGTCCTGTTGCTATCTTGGGCTATCTATTTTTAGTTCTTCTTAACTGTCCCTTTTTATTCATATTTTCTATACTATTTTATGGGTAGTAAATAACTGGAAGAGATTCCCAGTGGAGGTGGTAGCAGCAATCACAGTTCAGGAATTCAGATTTAACAATGATATGCATAAGTCTATTCCTAAGGAGTACATGTGAGCTTTCAGGTAGATGGGTCATGTGTGGCCTTCTTCTACTGTCAAATAACTGATCAGTGACCTGTAATTTCTTAATGACTGTTCATATACATGATCCAACTGATGGTTTAATTACTAGATTTTACTATTAACATGACATAAAGTCATGATTTTATTAATGACACGGAGGCGAGTATTATGCATTCTCTTTCTTTATTATACAACCAGCAGCAAGAAAAGGGAAGTATGAGAGAATCATAGAAAAAAGAAACCATAACAATAGCCTGGTAACAGTAGCACCAATCAGCATCCAGTATAATCCATATAGGTGTAGTGCTCCTTGACTCCTCCTCTTTCTGCGTGGATCCCGAAGACCATTAGTGCAAATTCCAAGGTATTCCAACCAGAAATACGAATTCACGAACCAAAACCATAACTGGAACTTCAATATAGAACAGTTTCAACCGCCAACTCTCAAGTTGTATTCAAGTTAAAAGAGAAGAAAAATATGGTAATATCGAAATCTCGTGACTGCTATTCCGCAATTAACAATTTGTCAGCCATGTTAATCAAACAATGTAAATATACCAAGTTCGTCAACCATGTTTCTAAATCGAAATAAGTATCATATAAGTCATATTCATTGAATACTTACTCACCTGTGCCATGAATGATCTTGTACTTACCATATTAAGTCATCCTTAAGAAGGATGTCGTCTACATAAATTATTAATCTGACCCCTCGTGTGCGCAGGAAGGCATTCACTGGCTTCAGCACTTTTGTGAAGCACCATGGAGCAGAGGATAGGATGGGAAAAAAGGAGATACTCTGTACTCACCATAAGGTCGTCTGCCTGAAACGTGGGAATTCCAGGGCTGTCCCCGAGATGGGAAGAATGGGGTATAGTGTCGCTCCGGTACCGGTCTCTGGCTATTAAAGGAGCCTCTGCCGGCTCTAGTTGAGCCTCGAAATCCACGGCCGGGTAGACGGCTCCTTCCTCTGCCACCCCTCCAAAAACCCGAGGTGCGAATACTCTTTTAAGAGATGTCTGAGCTTTATCAATTGCTGTAAATGTCTTTACGTACAGCCCAAGATCCTTAATAAAGGATTCACCAAAAAGTAAGCCATTAGCAGCTGGGCCCGGCTCGTTGGTCACCATGCTGGCCAGTTTGGGCTCTATCTTCAGGAGGATCGTCTTGCGGCGTTCTGTAGCCATAGCCGTATTGGCGTTGCCCATCATGCAGACTAATCTCTGCAACCAGCCTATCGCTACTTCGAAATCAAATTCACTTTCGCCCGATTGGGCGGACTCCACTAGCTCATACAGTTTAGATATGAGTCCCAAAGTATCAAGGAATTTGTCTTGGCAGTTCCAGAGGGAAAAGTCTAAGGCCTTCCTTGGTTTCCAACCAGACTTGTTCAAGAATTGGACCAACTGAGGGTCAACGTCCGGTGTTTTTTCCACCGAGTCTGGAAGGATGGGTCTTGGGCATTCCGCCCATAACTTATTGCGCCCCTAGATAAAGGCTTTCGCACTCGAAGTGCGAGGTACTTTGCGATTTGTGTAGGCTGCTCCCATGCTGCCGAGCTAGGGTGACGGAGGTCATCTGGGTCAAATAACGGGTTACCCAGCAGGTCCCGCAAATTGTCACCCTCGCCCGAGTCAGCAGGCTCAGCGCCCTGAGCCGTAGTCTTTTTTGGTCGCAACGCGTGTTTTATGTCAGATGCGGAATGTGAAAATTCCGCACTGTAGTGGTCCATATAGGAGTCATCATACTCCTCCTCCAAACTCCGGTCCGAATTGGACGAATCCCCATGGGCACGTGCCGGTTTCCAAGCTCTGGTCGATTTTGCCCGGCCAGGGGCTCTAGTGCGCGGTGGTATCGCGCCATCTTTGACAGCCTGAGGCATGTCATTCGATGCAGGCTGAACCTGCAGTTCTGGAGGGGAGGCCACATGTCTGCTCTTTGCCAAAGCCTTGCGTCCCGGTTGTGCCATGTTAGTGGGTCCTGGGTTGCGTGTGTTCTGCATGCCACTAGTCTGTGTCTGTATCAATGCCTCTGTTATAGACTGAGTGATAGAAGATGACATGAACGAAATCGCATTTAAAATGGCTGCCGCGAGTGAAAGTTACACTCACGGCGACGGAAACCAAAAAGATGTCCACCGCGCCACAAACTGCACATGCGCGGACGAACTGAAAGGGGAAAGTGAAACTAAATGGCCGCACGTGCGCGGCCGCCCGAAAACCCGCCGACAGACCGCGGGCATAAACCGGAGGTGCAACACAAGCACCAGAAAATGGCTGAATTACCACAAGTCACCCAACAGGGAAAATAAGGGAAATACAACCCTAAGGTGAGGGCAGGGAGGAAGCACTCCCCTGACACCAGAAGGATATACACCACAGACAGAATGAACTGACAATAAATATACAATAAATGTACCACAATTTACAATCTAAAGAACATCCAAATAATGCATAGGACTTAGCAAATACAAATAAATGTATAAGAGATCATAGGAGTAGCAAGGTACTTAACTTGTCTGAGGGAGCAGCAAGAAAGAGGAGTCAAGGAGCACTACACCTATATGGATTATACTGGATGCTGATTGGTGCTACTGTTACCAGGCTATTGTTATGGTTTCTTTTTTCTATGATTCTCTCATACTTCCCTTTTCTTGCTGCTAGGAGTATAATAAAGAAAGAGAATGCATAATAGGAGCCTCCGTGTCTTTAATAAAATCTGTATTCATCTGCTCTTCTGAATTCTTTCATTCTTGTATATACACTCTATGTTGTTCACACACTCAATCTGCAATGTAACAGATGTGTAGTTCAGCTCGCTGAACATAGGGAAATGAATCACAAAAGTTTGTGAATCAAAAAAGAGCATAGAATTTTATGCTGTAAAAAAAAATATTTTCACATTATTCAATCACACGTTCATCAGTTTCCACCACCTCCCTACCTGCAACTTAAGTAAGTGAGAATAAAAACAAAATCATAGCAGTTTTTTCTCTAAACATTAAATTGTAGTGAACGGAAAACATAGTTTAAAAATTTAGGCCAAAATAGCCAATCTGTGACTAGGATAATTTGTTTTTTTCAGCTCGTGTATTTTTGCCTAACATTTGCAATTCAGTTTTCAATTCATGACTGTTCAGAGTTTCAGTGAATGCTGGTTTTATAATGTGTTTTATGTATACAATCTATAGACATGCTTGAGCATCTCTCTTCTTCTACTACAGATACAGGATCCTTGGCAGAGGCACAGGAAGCTCCAAGAGTTAGTGCTTCCATTCGGAAATTGCCCCCGAGGGCCGGGGGGAGCTTCTCAGGTAACCTAGACTTGCCCAAGTTCATGTGTGTGGGCGCAGGAATCTCTATTACCCTGTTTGGGATAAAATTAATAAGCTGGCCCTGTACATTTCAAAGACTGTTCAGTTGTGTGTACTTAGCGTGTATTTGAATGAGTGAGAGCAGATCTTGACATTAATCTTGATGCAAAACACAGCATTTTTGAGAATGGAAAAAAAAAGTTGGCACTGGAAGCTCCCAATCCCTGTATAAGTGCAATGTGTGTTCTTGTGTTTCTAGTTATAGGTTCTGGGAGCGTGTCCTCCTTTTACCCTCCCTGCTTTCAGTGTTTTTCCTTAGGTCAGGGGGGTTAAATGCAGAGTTCACAAACTGTGCCAAGCCAGCTGGGAGAGAGCGGGCAGCTGTGTGGGAATCAGCTGCCACAATGACTAACCCTTTAACTACTGTAGGGAAGCACTATCCTATAGTAACTCTTTCAATGCCAATTTGGCATTGATACATGCCTCTTCTCAGTAGTTACGTCTAACCTCCATAGCTGGAAAGAGGTTAAAACAGATGGGAGATTGAAGATTTATGCTATCTTTTTAGACTTTCATTTGCATATTCTCACGGAGCTATCCAATAACAAGTGAGTGCAAGAAAAGCTTAGTGACATCACAACATAAAATAGGTCTTGGCTGTTACCCATAACCCTCTAAGGGTTGGCGTAAGGAGACTCCCTCCCAAGTGCTGTCACTGCACAGTGTGATCGCCTTGTAACCATGGCAATCGCTGCAATGTGGCCTGCAAGAAGCGAGAGGGAGAAGGGGTGAGGGTGAAAATATAGCAAATAAAAAAGGGAGAATGTATTTTATAAGCATATGTTAATAATTATAATTTTTTTTTTTTAAACCAAAAACAAATTGTTATTCAAAGAGATGATATAAGGCAGATTAATGAACAAAGCAATAGAATAAATTATTTGCAAAAAAAAAAAGGTAATATACTATATAAATGCCATGGAATATGCATTAAGGAGGCTTACCAAACAGGATGAATTAAAAATAAACAGATGGATAGGAACCACATAGGCAAAAAAAAAAACTGTAAAAATAGGATAAAATATAAAAATGGATGCTTGGGAAAAGATTAGATAGATAAAGTGAGAAAAGTACAGTGTAACAGAGAGGCAAGCATCGACTGTAAGAGTAGTAGAGAAAGAAAAAAAAATAGAAAGAGTGGAAAAATCACAAAAAAAGAGGGCTAGAGAAATGGAATTAAAACCATATGTGTTACTGTATGACAGAGAGACTGGGGTTTACGCAGCTCTGTAATTATGTTTATATAACACAGGCAAAATTACAATGGCCTCTATTTATCGGTTTGCAATGCCAGCAGTGCACATAGCCCTGTAATCTTGTACCACAGGTATATATAGCCAGCCACCTGGTGTCTGGTCTGATGTATTATTTTATCTATAGTACTCATAGATCAACAGAGACCTGTTTTTAAAGATTTATTATGTTAAACAGACACTGTAGACACTATAACCATTTCATCTCATTAAACTGGCATTAATTTGGCTTGGAGTACCCTGGCACTGTCCAAGACCAACCCGTACTGGAGGTATTGCTATAGCCACTTTAATGAGACGTAGCACTTACAGGGTTATTCACTAAATTCAACGTGAATTCAAAGAGAATTTTTAATTTAAAGTTAGAGTAGTTGCACTGGAAGCAAAGTGGAATTAAAGAGTTTTTTCAAATCGGATATTTTGACCCTAAAGAAACAAACGTAATGCTGACACTATAGTATTAAACTAACTATTAGGGTCCCTGGCCTTTTTCTCCAAGCCTTGCCCTACTGCTGCGGCTGGTTCTGCCTCCATGGCTTAGATCCATGCAGAGTGCAGAGACGCGGAGCAGCACTGACACAGAAGGCACCGTCTGAGTTACTGCCATTAGAAATGTTCTTTGGTATCAATGAGGAGTCAGTGTTTACTTTAAAAAGCCTGCAGGGTCAGGCTATAGACACCAGAACCACTACATTAAGCTGTAGTGATTCTGGTGACTATAGTGTCCCTTTAAATTTGAAATTCACTTTGAATTCTCACTTAAGTGAATAACCCTGTGTCAATGCCTGTAGTGTCCCTTTAAGAACAGTGTGTTAAAATGACCAACTGGAATTATATGTCATGCCTTAACGTGAATAGCTGCATGTGAGGTCAGGATTTAGTGCAAGAGATGCAGTCTCTTTAAATATCTTTTAGCAATGGTATGTCAACCTGTTTTACTAAAGCTTTTGTAAGTCACCTTTAACCCACAGCCAGCCTGTGCTTGGAAACTGAACATTTTCACTTGCGTTGATTAAACGTTATAGAGATGATTTCATTTCTGCTACATATAAACCCAATAATTAATGGAAAGATGCATGACACTACATTCTAGATCACCTTTTTAACCATGATTATCCGTGTTGATATAGGATGCTTGAACTGTAGCCGCATTCCCGAAATGACTGAGCGTCTGAGCTCATTGGAGGCCAAGGTATTGTGCTACATAGACTAACAGAGTGGGTGATTTATAGTGGTACCTACATTTAACTGTCTACACAATTCACTCCGATTCTTTTTACCAATAGGTGGCAAGGATCATACAGCTTGACTCATCATTGAGTGAAGATTTTGGTTCTCATCTCCCCCCCTCTCCGCTATGGGGAAGCCCACAAGCACGAGGTAGCCCTGGAGAGATTGGCATAAAGGGTGAGAAATATGCAATTTGTACAGTTGCTCTTTTCTGCTAATAGTGTCTCATTTGGTTTAATTTGATACTGTTGGCATCAGTCACTTATTTATTGTGACAATCGTTCTTTTTCATTTATTTGTTTCTATGTCCATCTCTTTTTCATTTCCATTGTGCCCTATGCTATGCCAATCTCGTGTGCTTCCCTTTCTTTTCTATGTGATTCGGATCTATCCTGTCTGTTCCATTTTAGAATCTTGACCTGTATTGTATGACTTCGATTTATTAGGCATATGTGTCACAGGACACAGCATGTGTGATAGGGGAAGGAAGTGGGGACAGGAGAGGTCCTTGTCCATCCTGTGACGCCACTCAGAGGTTATAGGACCTCACCCTTGTCTCTTAACTGTTTCACTGGCAGAGTAGCCTGCATGTGTCATTTCTGGTTATTCAATGATTCCACAGGCTGCTTGCTTTCAAATCAGTGCTCAGTATATCCTGTTACTATCATATTATCAACATTGATCATTCTACTCCTTTTGCAGGTTCAGCGACACAGCTTGCAAAAGGTTCCTACCTAAACCAAGATGGTAGGTGATACTGATTTCCCTTAGCTTTGTGGTTCATGTTTAAAGGTGAACTGGGACTTCTCTGGAGATTATATAATTGAATAAGATATTGCAAAGCATGAAAGATTTAGCAATTGACATCACAATGCAGTTCAGCCAGGTACAGTCAAAGTACACATTGCATTGGAAGACGATAAACAAAAACATTGTTTCTGTGTCTCCTTTTCTTTGTATGTTCTCCATGCTGATTGACAAGTGCGAAAGTGCAAATTCCAAAGGCATTCAAAGTGAATTTCAAATTTAAGGCCAATGCAGCCTGTACCTGGATTCATATCTGAAATTGATCCTTTTCAAGTTCAGCTATTTTGCCCTTAAATTTGGAATTTACTTTGGAAATCATACTTTAGTAAATAACTCTGATAGATTAAAAATTTTAAAAATTGGCAGTTCTACTTTAAGGTCTGGGCACTACCATGTTTCCATATTTAAGCTCTGACATTTGTTTCAGGTATTCCTCCAAGAAATGTTCCTCAAGGTCCAGTTGGGGGACCTGGAAGGCAAGGGTCACCAGGAGTAAAAGGTCCAGCTGGACCTCCAGGTGGGATAAAGTTTCATAAAATATTTGAAAGTTTGTTACTTTACTATTTTCTCTTTTTAATTAATCTCTTTACTTAACTTTTTTATGCGTTATTTTTTTTATTTCTATTAATTTCTTTTTTGTATTAGTATAATATACAATAATAATATCGCACATACTGTTTTTTCCACTTTACTTCCAGTTTACCGTATGCACTTTCATACTTTTAATTAACACTTTGTGCCAAAAATGGCATGCTTTTTTCCTCTCACTCCACTTCATTTTATGTTAATGAAACAGCATTCACATTTTTTTTAATTTGATTTATTTTATTTTCAATATAAAAGGAAGGTTGTAAAACAAAAAAAGAATGGAACAATTGGGGATACAAGATGAAAAAATAGGTACAGTGGTTTGGATGGCAGATTACATGCTGAGATTAAACATGTGTGGTCCGGTATCATGCTATCTTGCCTCTATGTTGATATTCCACATATCATTTCAATCAGTTAAATATATATTCATGCTTATAAATACATGTGAACTACCAATCATTTATTAGGGTGTATTGCAATCTCTCGTGCATTTTTCCCATGATTCACAATAGAAAATGGAGGAGCTTGACCATCTAATTACATGTTGTGTTGTGTGTCGTGTGTTCTGGCTGTATGTTATATTTGTGTGGTGTGTGCCTACTGTATGTGATGTGTACACATTGGGTGCAATACTGTTATATGAATGTCATATGTAGTATTCTTGGAATTTAATGCCATACACTTAAGTAAACTTAAGCATAGGCATGTGTTTGGGTTTATGTGGCATAGTAAATCTCAATATTTTAGTGATTAGCAAAATCACATCACTCCTAAAGTATCCCTATTTTAGGAGGGTAGTCACTATTTTGAATCCAAATCCCTCTGTCCCTCTTTTCTATCCTAGCATCCCTCTTTTATAGGAGTTCCTTATGGTTGGTGTGTCTAGTGTATAAAAGAGCTCTACACTCCCCACACTCATCACCCTTATATCTCCTACAATACAACCCCTTCTTCCCTCTGGGGCTACACAATGGAGCTCTTTCCATTCCATCAAAGACACAAGATACATCAAGCTTGGCTCGGTCCTAGACACTAATGCCCTGGTCCCACTTGCCAAGCTAACACAAGCAGAAAGAATGACCCACTGCCCTACAGCACTTCAAATACACTCAGTTATTGCACTTTCTGAAAGTCGAACTGCACCTATTACAAGGACCTCACCCACTCACAACATTTGAAACACACTGCGACACACACAAACTCTTGACCAAACACCTATTTATAGACTACTACAATTCAACCCCAAAGATAACTTACCTGCCTTTACATCCTCTTGGGCTCAAGAGCTACACATTACACTTACATCTAGAGACTGGCAGAGGATCTTCACATATACGCATTAAAATCGTCTATCAGCAACAACATACAAGAAAGTAACTATAAGAGAATTTCTAGATGGCAGTATTCCCAGGCCAAACTTAAAATTCCCGTCCTCTTCCGACAAATACTGGAGATGCACTCAGATGGGAGGCACCTCAGCCCACATGCGGTGGACCTGCCCGACCATCCAAAAGCATTGAAACAAAATAGTAACACTTCTCACTTCAATTATGGGCCTCCACATATCCCATATTCCAGAGACGTTGTTATTCCTACTACATCCTCATCCACTCACCAAACCCCAAAAGCACCCTCTATCTGAGAATGGATAACAAGGGTAAACTCGATCAGAACGATGGAAGAAATACATGCATCACTATCTAACAAATACCACCTCTATAGGGCAAGTTAGGAACCCTGGCTACACTTTCTTGACAGACAACAGGACGCACACTGATAATTTACAATTACTACATCAACACACATTATGATGATTCTCCCCTTCTGTGACCCCCCCAGAATGAAAGCAGCAACCGACCCCTCTTGCACTCTCCTGGACCCGTTTGGTCCAACATATATGATTTGTTCATAACTACCGATCACTTGCTTCTATGATGGATGCAACCATGTACAGTCGTTCACAATCGGAACACTATTATTTCACCCAAATGTCACAGAATCGTTATTTACAATAAAAAACAAAATAAAAAAGTGTTCGCCTTTATATACTAGCCAGTACCGGCAACTGTTACTCCTATATATTAGACAAGTAGATATTGTCAAAACACCTGAGAACTAAGGTACTGACTCATCCATGGTCCTACCCTGCAATGTGCCGGAAATTTCTGTAACTGTGCCACGCCTGAGAATCCTATTACTATAATCTGTGTTACTATACCAACTTACTGAACACAATAAAAAAAAAAAAAAGAAGCTCTATAGCAATAATACTAACAGTTATATGTCCTTAAATTACAATAAATCTGTGTAAATTAGATAATTGTTTTTGCTCCATTTTACATTTTAGCTACTTAAATGGTTATTACTAAGTCACCTAAAATTTGTCAGAACAGTCACACCGCTGGCCACACCCCCCTCTAAGACCCCTAAAATTAAAGTGTCCCTATTTGCTCATATGAAATTATTTATTATTTATTTATAAAATATTTTACCAGGAAAGATACATTGAGATTTCTCTCGTTTTCAAGTATGTCCTGGGTCCACAAAACATTGCATTGATACATTATGGTACAATAAAATACAAAAACAATATTAATACACAATATATACAAAATTTAACATAGAACAGTTTGGAAATGTATAATCAACCATGACACGTGCATTCTGTTTTGAGGTATGTAGAGAGGGATCTCTTAAAGGATTTTAGGCTTGGGCAAGATTTGAAAGTGTGCGGAAGGTTGGTCCACGATTGCAGCGCTCTGTAGGAGAAGGAGGATCGGGCTGCTTTCTTTTTGTATTGAGGTAGACTAAATAAAGTGCTGGTACTGGATCAGAGGTTATAGGAGGTGGGAACAGCTGCGGAGAGCATTTTGCTCAGGTAGGGTGGGAGTTTCCCAGAAAAGCTCTTAAAAACAAGGCTGGAAAGATGAAGGGTGCGCCTGGATTCCAGCGAAAGTCACTTTAGTTCTTTTAGCATGTCACAATGGTGGGTTCTGTAATTACATTGTAGCACAAATCAGCAGAATGAGTTATACAATGTATTGAGTTTATTAATGTGGGATTGTGGTGCAGATCCATATACTACATCCCCATAATCAATGATTGGAATCAGCATTTGCTGTACAATCTTTTCCTTTACTGTAGGGCTTAGGCAGGATTTGTTTCTGTACAGGGCACCTAGTTTTGGATAAAGTTTAGATGCAAGTTTTTCTATGTGGAGGCCAAAAGATAGATTGGGGTCTAACAACATACCCAAGTATTTGAAAGAGTGGACTGCGGTCAGTGTGCTGTTTGAATTGGTTTTGATGGATAGGTGGGATTTGTGTAATTTAGGTACTGTGCCAAAGATTAGACATGTGCAATTAGTTTCGGTCCGAATGTGAATTCGGACGAATTTCGGTCAATTCGGACATTTGGGTACTTCCGAATGTCCAAATAGATGAATTGCCAAATTGTCAAAGTTCAGAAATTACCGAATTTCCGAAGTGCCGAAGTTGCCGAAATGTCGAAGTGCCGAAGTTCCGAAGTATTGCCTAAGAACTTACCCAGTGGAAGAATGAAGAATGTCACACTGGATACAATTTTAAATAAAAAGTATACAAACAAAGCCAGGATTCAGCTGTAAGCATTTGCAACACTTACAACAATCAAGTAACATACATTCATATAAAATGTAAGTTACTTAGCCTGTCAATGTAATGGCAGGAATGAATAAGTAGATAACTCCCTAATTCCCATGGTATTAGAGAGCTATCTGCTAAAAGGCTGAAAGACCTAAATTGGTCTTTCAGCCAAATTTACTAATACTAAGTAAAGATTACTTAGTACTAGTAAATTATGCCCCTACTCGCTATACCGCGAGTAGGAGCATGTCTATTAAACAGTGAGCAGCCTGTGTAATTTGACTTATAACTCTCTGATTGGTGGATTGGTGGATTCCAAAGAACTTTCCCACGCTGTGTAAAATGACACAGAGCGCTCTGATTGGTGGATTTCAAGCTAACCAATCAGAGTGCTGTGACAGGTAAATGTAGAGATTTACCTGTCAGTCTCTTCATTCACCTGTCAGAGCACTCTGATTGGATGGCTTAAACACACCATCAGAGTGAAAGACCAATTCAGCTCTGAGCCTAATTGTAGGGCAGGGCAAGGCTTTATAAGGTGGGCCAGGGGAGAGGTTATTAGGTCCCCCCCTTATTAGTATTTAGGGCCCCCACCCACCGCTCAGGGGTGGGGGCCAGGGTGGAGGACAATAGGTGTCTCCCCCCATCATTTTACTTTAGGGCCCCCACCTGCCGCTCTGGGGTGGGAGCCAGGGGGGAGGACATTAGGTCTCCCCCTTATTTTAATTTAGGGCCCCCACCCACTGCTCAGGTGTGGAGGCCAGGGGGGAGGACATTAGGTCCCCCCCCTAATTGGTATTTAGGGCTCCCACCCACCGCTCAGGTTTGGGGGCCAGGGGGGAGGACATTAGGGCCCCCCCTTATTATAATTTAGGGCCCCCACCCACCGCTTAGGGGTGGGGGCCAGGGGGGAGGACATTAGGTCCCCCCCCTAATTGGTATTTAGGGCTCCCACCCACCGCTCAGGTTTGGGGGCCAGGGGGGAGGACATTAGGGCCCCCCCTTATTATAATTTAGGGCCCCCACCCACCGCTTAGGGGTGGGGGCCAGGGGGGAGGACATTAGGTCCCCCCCCTAATTGGTATTTAGGGCTCCCACCCACCGCTCAGGTTTGGGGGCCAGGGGGGAGGACATTAGGGCCCCCCTTATTATAATTTAGGGCCCCCACCCACCGCTTAGGGGTGGGGGCCAGGGGGGAGGACAATAGGTGTCTCCCCCCATCATTTTACTTTAGGGCCCCCACCTGCCGCTCTGGGGTGAGAGCCAGGGGGGAGGACATTAGGTCTCCCCCTTATTTTAATTTAGGGCCCCCACCCACTGCTCAGGTGTGGAGGCCAGGGGGGAGGACATTAGGTCCCCCCCCTAATTGGTATTTAGGGCTCCCACCCACCGCTCAGGGGTGGGGGCCATGGGGAGGACATTAGGTCCCCCCCAATTTTTATTTAGGGCCCCCACCCGCCGCTCAGGGGTGGGGGCCGTGGGGAAGGACACAGGGTCCCCCCTAGTGGTATTCAGGGCTCCACCCACCCGGCTCAGGTTTGGGGCCAGGGGGAGGAGACGGGCCCCTTGGTATAATTTAGGGCCCCCACCCACGGCTTGGGGGTGGGGCCAGGAAGGACATTAGGTCCCCCTAATTGGTATTAGGGCTCCACCCACGGCTCAGGTTTGGGGGTGGGGGGAGGACGTGGGGCCCCCTTATTATGGTGGGGCCCCCCACCCACGGCAGGGGTGGGGCCAGGGGAAGGCAGTGGGTCCCCCTGGTGGTGTTAGGGCTCCCGCACCCACGCTCAGGTTTGGGGGCCAGGGGGGAGGACATTAGGGCCCCCCTTATTATAATTTAGGGCCCCCACCCACCGCTTAGGGGTGGGGGCCAGGGGGGAGGACAATAGGTCCCCCCCCATTATTTTACTTTAGGGCCCTCACCCGCCACTCGGGGGGGGGGGCAATAGGTTTGTTTTTGTTTTTTAACAGTGAGCAGCCACAGGCATGATCCACATTTGCAGTTTCAGGATGCGTGTCATTTATTAGTTTGGCAATCAGGGCAGAGGAGCATCCGACAAAATAATTGTTAAAGGCATTTGCTACATCTAAGGGAAGTTGCAGGGTTTGGTTATCCACTTTGACAGTGCAGGGTTGGGAGTGGATTGGGGGAGTTTGTAATTTATTTATGACTTTCTAAAAGTTTCTAGGGTTTGATAGGTTATTGTTCAGATTTTCACAGAAATATTGGGCCTTGGCCAATTTTGTTTGTTTTGTGGATATATTTCGCCATTGTCTATATGCACAGTGATCATTCATAGAGCCATTACGCTTGAACTTTGACCACAAAGAATCACGAAACTGGTACATTTGGATGAGGTCAGCTGTGCTCCTTTTACTCTCACCTTACGCAGCAGGGCATGCAAATTCCAAATTTGTAGGAGTTCAGACTGAAAGAATTCAACAGCACAGTCTAGATCTGGGATAATGTTTAATCTGTGCCATGGGTGGTTCTTGATGTCATTAAGAAAGGATTCAAGATTACATTTTTGAATGACCTGGTGATTTTAATCTTGGGAGAGGATTTAGTAGCCTTTATTTTGCGCACGCATTGCACTAAACAGTGATCACTGAAACTGTTAGGGAGAACACCGGCCTCCTGGATTCTATCAGGAGAAGTGGAGAGAATCCAATCGAGCAGGGTATGGTTATGGCTTTTAATGTTTATGCGAGTTGGGGAGGAGATTAATTGCGTTAGTTGCAATGTCTTAAACAGCGTGCAAGAACTATTATTTTTAGAATTCAGCCAATCAATATTAAAATCTCCAAAGACCAATAGTTCACTTTTTGGGTTTTGAGCTATGGTTTCACCAAGGAGATGGGCTATGTCTGATAGGGAATGCACTGGGGAGCTAAGTGGGCGGTAGATTCCTGCAACAATGATTGATTTACTGCACGGGATCTCAATTGTGCCAGAAATCAAAGGTGGCAGAAGGGCTAAAGTTTTTTAAAGGGGTAAACTTTATGGAATTGTCAACATAAATATCAATGCCTCCTCCTCTCTTTGCTCTGTCATATCTAAAACATGAATAACCCTGTATTGCAAAAGCGGCGTCTGGTATTTTAGTTGTTAACCATGATTCTGAGAGCACAATGATTTTTGGTTTGTAATGGGAACACCAGGAAATATGCCAAAAGCTGTGTAGTAGATGTCCACATCGAACATGCAATATATGTTTTTTTCAGATCGAGGCTTCTGGAGTTGCATGTTGTGCCTTGAGCTCTGCAACCTCCATCACTATGAGCTGTACAGCATGACAGAGCATTCAAAATCTGTGCATGTCCAGAAAAAAACAGTTTTTCATGACTGACTGGCACCAACCGGTATGTAGTACTGTGGTGTGCCCTGAATTATCACAGTGGGCCAAGAGAACATTGAGACTGAGGGCCACCAGCCCGTGCACAAACTCATACAGTTCTTGCCACTGTTAACAGAAATCCCAAAACATTTCCTACTATTTTAATACATATAAGTATGGGGTGAAACTGTAGCCCACAAGCACTGTATACATGGATAACAAGAGTTATCCATGTATACAGTGCCCTCCCACAGGGCCGTTTGAAGGAATTTGGGGGCCCCAAGCAAAATTGACATGGAGACCCCCCTCAACCTCCCAACAGTGCAAATACTGCTGTTGCATATAATGTGCATAAAATTTGAACATTTTCAACAATTTAACATTTGCAAAAAACACCACTGTACCATAAAATCAAATATACATTAAAAAAGTGCACAATAACTAAATCCAATATACTTAAAACACACACACACTCACATTAACATTTTTCAGCTCTCACAAACGTGCAAATTATCTAAAACTGCTGTGCACGTAGTGTGAAAGAGCTCCCTGTCCTGCCCCCTGTCCTATAGAGCTCTCTCTTCCATCCCTTAGAGCTCTGCCCTGCCCCTTAGTGGTCTTTCCTCTCCCCCCACCCTCTTCTCACCCCCCCGCCCCGTGTTCTCCTCATCTCCGCTCTCCTCCTGTGTTCTCCTATCTCCGCTTCTCCTCACCTCCCCCTCTCCCTGTGTTCTCCTCACCTCCCCCCCTCTCCCTGTGTTCTTCTTACTCCTCCTCCCCTGTGTTCTTCTTACTCCTTCCCCCTCCCTATGTTTTTACTCCCCATATTGTTTTTACTAACCCCCTCCCTCCCTATGTTCATTTTACTACCCCCCTCCTCCCTATGTTTTTTTTACTCCCACCCTCCCTCCCTATGTTCTTCTCACCTCCCCTTCCCTGGCTGTAGCGTGGCCGAGCTCCTATTCCTCCTGGCTGTCACTCAGTGTGCAATTCCTGTCAGTCCAGCCGGACTGACAGCCAGGAGGAAGAGGAGCTCGGCCATGCTACAGGGAAGGGGAGGACGGATGTGCCGAGAGAGGAGTGCTGCAGATGCCTGAGGCTCTTTACAGAGTGCTCAGGCGGCTGCAGCCTTATAGGAAACACCGGCTCTGCTTGGTGCCCCGGGACAGCTCTGGGCCCCAAGCAATTGCTTGGTTTGCCTGCACGCTAGCGACGGGCCTGCCCTCCCATCAGGGCCGGATTAACATAGGGGCTGATGGAGCTGCAGCTCCAGGCCCATGGAGTAGGCCCATTAAAAAAATAAAAATTATTATTTATTTTTTTTTCACACTACTCTTAGGTTTGCCACCTGACTGGTATTTTAAGACACAGCCAGTATTTGAGGTTGCCTGGCCGTGACGGTATTGCAGTAATACCGGCAATACAAATGCAAATATTATTCTCAGTATAAACAGAGATTACTCTGCAATACCAGCACTGGCCAATAGGGGTCACTGTGTGTGGAGAGAGGCAGGTATAGGAAGTTACAACATATCCCTGCCTCTCTCTACTACTCACTGATCCCTGGGGGAGCCTCTACACAGCGCAGAGTCCAGACATCAGCTCTACAGCTCAGGTAAGGGAGGGATTGGGGGAAAGGCAGCAGGGACACATGGGGACACTGAGACACTAGGGGACACATGGGGACACTGAGACACTAGGGGACACTAGGGGACACATGATAACACATACACTAGGGGACACTGAGACACTAGGACACAGACACTGGGAGACCTGGGAACACTGAGACACTTGGGGACACTGGAAAACATTGGGACACTGGAACACTTGGGAACATATGGGGACACTGAGACACTAGGGGACACAGACACTAGGGGACACTGAGACACTGGAAGACCTGGGGACACTGAGACACTTGGGGACACTGGAAAACATGGGGACACTGAGACACTAGGGGACACATGGGGATGCTGAAACACATGGGGATGCTGTGAGACATAGGGACATTGGGAGACACTGAGACATTGGGACACAGAGACACTATGTTCCCATGTCCCCCAGCCAGTGTCCCTAGTGTCTCAGTGTCCCCAAGTCTCCTAGTGTCTGTGTCCCATGTCTCTCAGTGTGCCTAGTGTCCCCATGTCTGTGTCCACAACTGTCCCCATGTCTCCCCAAGTGTCTGTCTCCCAGCCAGTGTCTCCTAGTCTCCCAGTATCCCCTAGTCTCCCAGTGTCCCCTAGTCTCCCAGTGTCTGTGTCCTTAGTGTCTTAGTGTCCCCAAATGTTTCAGTGTCTCCATGTCTCCCAGTGTCTGTGTTCCTAGTGTCTCAGTGTGCCTGGTGTCCCCATGTCTCCCAGTGTCCCTATATGTCCCAGTGTCCACATGTCTATGTCCACAACTGTCCCCATGTCTCCCAGTGTCCCCAAGTGTCTGTCTCCCAGCCAGTGTCCCCTAGTCTCCAGTGTCTGTTTTCCCATGTCTCTGTGTCCCTAGTGTCACCAAATGTTTCAGTGTCCCCATGTCTCCCAGTGTATGTGTCCCTAGTGTCTCAGTGTCCCCATGTCTCTCAGTGTCCCCAGTATCCTAGTGACATGGGGACACATTGAGACACTGGGAGAAATGGGGACACAGACACTGGGAGACTAGGGGACTGGGCGACATGGGGACATTGACACTGTGATACATAGGGACACTGAGACACTGGGTGACTTGCGAGACTGAGACACTGGGAGACAAGGAGACACTGGGAGCAATCCATCTATACAGCAGATGGATTGCTGAGTTTGTAGGTGATTTTACAGAATTTTCTCTGATGTCACTCCTTGTGCTTTATATCATGTGATGTCACGCATAACTAATTAATTATACAAATGATTAAGGCTGGAATTTTTTTCCAAGAAAGGTGGCAACCTTAACTACTCTTCACATACTCTTGCTTAAAGGAGCACTATAGGGTCAGGAACACAATCATGTATTTATGACCCTATTATGTTAAAACCACCACCCTGGCCCCTTCTTGCCTCCCTAAATATAGTAAAATATTACTTGTATTCAATTCTGCAGCTGCTGGCTCAGAAGTGGTGGTCTGAGCAAATTACAATACTTCCCCATAAGATTGGCTGAGACTGTCAACTAGGCAGATCGGGGCAGAGCCAGCACAAGTCCAACATAGCCCTGGCCAATCAGCATCTCCTCATAAAGATAAATTTAATCAATGCATCTCTATGAGGAAAGTTCAGTGTCTGCACGCAGAGGGTGGAGACACTGAATGGCAGTGCTGCACACTAGGCAGTACTGCTCCAGGAAGCACCTCTAGCAGCCATCTAAGGAGCAGCCAGTGGAGTTATTTTCTCTGAAAAGACAGTGTTTACTGCAAAAAGCCTGAATGGAATGATTCCACTTACCAGAACAAATACAATAAGCTGTAGTTGTTCTGGTGACTATAGTGTCCCTTTAAGTTTGGAAGCTTAAGAGGGATGTATGGGAACAAAACTTGTGTGCACTGGCTGACATTTAAATTAGTTTAGGTAATGCAGACTTTGGTCTCTCTAAGACTGTGGCATGTACCCTTTCTTCTACACTCACTACAGACATCTTTTCTCTGTCTCAGACTATATACCAGGAACTTCTGCCTGCTAGTAAGAAGGTAAGGAGACAAGTGAACCAGCGAGTGCTAGGGGACAGTCCTTAGAAAGAATGGAGTAAGCGTATCATTAGACGCATTTATGTCAAGCTCAAGGTGCTGCCTACATAGTATGCCCTTAGTTGGACAACCTGCAGGATTGGCAGGCAGCCTGACATGCATTCATGCCAGGCTGACCTTCCAATTCTTTGGACAAACATGCCCCCTTTTTGGGCATGTTCACCCCTTTTGGCAGGTCTTGTCACGTGATTCGCGCCACTGGCACACCCTTTTACCCCACCCATTGACTTCCTGCTTCACTGGACACTGCTGTTAGGGGTTATGGATTTACTTGAAAGATGAAAGCATAAATTAGAGAGAGATTAGCATAGAGTATGTGTTTTCTTATAGCTGCATCCTATGAGTTTCCCTGCACCACCATCTCCATCAGATACATGACAGTTGGGAGGTATGTTTGTTTTAGTGTTTTTGGTCGATAAGATTCCGTAATTAGGCCCATCATAATTGTCAGCACCAGGCCCACTGTGCTCTTAATCCGGCCCTGCCTCCCATACAAGTAGCATGGAGGGCAATTACCCCCCTTGTCAGCTCTCCCCTGCCACCACATACAGAGCATTGTTCCAGGTTGGTGGGAGCACCCCCAAAATTTGAAGAAGCCATTCATCTCATTGCGGCTTGTTTGACAGGGACCATATGCTATCACAAGCTTTATAAAGCAAACACATGCCTCTTATTTATTGAAATTGTGTATTTTCCCTGTGCTGTAGGACTTTCTATTTTAATTTGTAAAAACTGACTCTGTCCTACATTTTTAATATCTAAAGGCATTTAGTATGTAGAGGCTTCATGTAAAGACAGCTGTCAAACTTCGATATCAAGGGTGTTGATTTTTTTCATGACAATCTAATTGTCCTGACACAAAATTATTTCAGTTACAAAGATTTAAATGCCAATAGTCCTGGACAATGACAGAGCTATTTGCTAAACTGGTTATTTTATAAATTAAATCTGAATGGCAAAATAGAGGCAAAAATAGCTGATCTGGAAAAATTATCTAACTCTGCTATAATCACAAAATGTCAATGTTGGCCGTAGTTTTGCCATTTGGATTAATTTTGCAAAAATTTGTTTTATGAATTAGCCTCTGCCCTCACATAGTTTCTCCCTTTGTCCTAGTGTGTTATTGGTGTGTGCAATTTGTGTGCGGTGTGTGCTGGCTGTGTGTCATGTGTGTGTTCGGTGTGTCCTGGCTGTGTGTAATGTGTGTGATTTGTGCTCATTCTTTGTGTAGTGTATGCTGGCTGTGCTTGGTGTCTGGTGGCTGTGGGTAAGGTGCAGGAGGTGTGTGCTCGCTGTGTAAAGTGTATGCTGCCTTTGTGAATGTGCTTGTGTCGTGAATGCTGGCTGTATAAATGTATGTGTGTGGTGTGTGCTAACAATATGTAATGAGTGTGTGCTGATTGTTTGTCATCTGTCCTGGCTGTATGTCATATGTGTGTTGTGTGTGTTGGCTGTATGTGATTGTGATTCATTTAGATTATGATAGAATTTGTGATACAAACACACATACACCGACCCATACACAGACATATTGCACGCTAACACACACTCATTCACTGACCTATACACACACAAAAAGCACACATTCTCTGACACTCACAAACAGCACAGTCCCATTAAGTATCAGCAGCTACCTTGATGTCTTTTTATTGTTCAGCAGTGGGTGTGCAGTCTGTTCCATGCCCTCTTTTTTTCTGTCCTTTTTAAAGGAACACTCCAGTCACCATAACAACTGCAGATAAATTAAGTTGTTATGGTGCCAAGAGACTTTCTTACCTGAAGGGGTTAAACCGTTTCCCAAAGTTGCCTCGAGAGACAGATCTTCAGTTTCCCCAGTGGCATCCAGCTTCTAAAATTGAGTATCAGTAAGTGCGAAGTGCTGCCAAGCAAGAGTGCCGCTTATTGACTAGAGCAGTCAGCTTATGCTTTAAGCCAATCAGAAGCTCCCCATTCATAAGAAAGGGTATGCTAGAGGCAACCTTTGGGGTTAAACCATCCTTGAAGGTAAAACAAAACACCTGAGGTCTCCTGGCACCATATCAATTTAATTTCAATGAAGTTGTTATGCTGACCGGAGTGTTCCTTTAAGCTTCTGAATGGTATGCTTTCCATGTATCCACAGACATATGATGCAGCAAGGATCGCACTTACTGGCTTAAAGGTTTATATAGTACGCTCAAATCTCCCAGAGATCCAATCTGGCCCTACACCCACTACCCCAATGCCATGGCTAAATAATAAATAAAAAACCTCTTGCCAAGTGCTTGGAACTGCATGTACTGGGCATAGGTGATATTAAATCCACACACCAGGCTGTGAAAGAGGCTAATGTAGTCATTTGTGAGAACAGTTTAGTTTTCCAGTTGTGGTCAATCAGATTCAGGCATATCAAATCTCTCTTTGATCTGTTTATTTAGATGTACTATGGATACGATTTCTTCTAAGTGCTTGTCTTTTTTCCTATAAACCTTGTTCCTAGTCTCAAACAATGTGTCTTTTATCTCCTCTCTTGCCATCTCAAGTTTCCAGGTTACCAGGCTTTCTCTTGTGTAAAGTAACATCAATTGCCTTTCTCACTGCATGGCTAATGGCAGACAGATTGCTTTTCCCACTGCATGGCTAATGGCAGACAGATTGCTTTTCCCACTGCATGGCTAATGGCAGACAGATTGCTTTTCCCACTGCATGGCTAATGGAACACAGATTGCCTTTCCCACTGCATGGCTAATGGCAGACAGAATTGCCTTAACCACTGCATGGCTAATGGCAGACAGATTGCTTTTCCCACTGCATGGCTAATGGAACACAGATTGCTTTTCCCACTGCATGGCTAATGGCAGACAGATTGCCTTTCCCACTGCATGGCTAATGACAGACAGATTGCTTTTCCCACTGCATGGCTAATGGCAGACAGAATTGCCTTAACCACTGCATGGCTAATGGCAGACAGATTGCTTTTCCCACTGCATGGCTAATGGAACACAGATTGCTTTTCCCACTGCATGGCTAATGGCAGACAGATTGCTTTTCCCACTGCATGGCTAATGGCAGACAGAATTGCCTTAACCACTGCATGGCTAATGGCAGACAGATTGCTTTTCCCACTGCATGGCTAATGGCAGACAGAATTGCCTTTCCCACTGCATGGCTAATGGCAGACAGAATTGCCTTTCCCACTGCATGGCTAATGGCAGACAGAATTGCCTTAACCACTGCATGGCTAATGGCAGACAGATTGCTTTTCCCACTGCATGGCTAATGGCAGACAGAATTGCCTTTCCCACTGCATGGCTAATGGCAGACAGATTGCTTTTCCCACTGCATGGCTAATGGCAGACAGAATTGCCTTAACCACTGCATGGCTAATGGCAGACAGAATTGCCTTTCCCACTGCATGGCTAATGGCAGACAGATTGCCTTTCCCACTGCATGGCTAATGGCAGACAGATTGCCTTTCCCACTGCATGGTTAATGGAACACAGATTGCCTTTCCCCGCTGCATGGCTAATGGCAGACAGATTGCCTTTCCCACTGCATGGTTAATGGAACACAGATTGCCTTTCCCCGCTGCATGGTTAATGGCAGACAGATTGGGGAATTAAATATAGATCATTTACAAGTAGGGCTGCAAATTTTAGGCTAAAATAGCCTAATAGTAGAATATATCCAACTCAGCTCGTTTCTGGTTTGGTAATTTTGGCCTAAAATATGTAATTTCCTTGTCAATTATCTGCTATTCCCAGCGTTTCTTTAAATTTGCCATGGGAAGATTTCTGTCTTCTTGCTAATGGGAAGTTTTTGTTCTGAATTTTTTTTTTTTTTTATAAAATCCAATCGTTTAATAGAGCACCATTATACATATACTGTGTAAACAGCGTTTGTTTTTTGTCTTTGTTTTCTATTTTCTATATTAGCTACCCCTGGGGCTTGTTTCTTTAAATGTGTCTTGTGATATGTAGATGTTCCAGTAGGGAGTTGTTGTCACCTTTCGATCTACCAAGAAGACCATTAACACTTAGCTTAATGCTTTCAGACAGAATTCCAACACTGAGCCTAGGCCAGTACAATGATAAAGAGTCCAAAAGAGTGGAACAGCTGTCCACGGCTGGCATTGCTTCCATGAAATCCTAAACTATGCCCTGCAATAGTCAGATGTGTGTTAAAAAGCAGCTCACTGTAAATGGAAGCGTGGCAACGCGGTCTTTCAGAGCTACTTCACACTTTTTTCAAATTGTCTTTTATGTAGATGTTACAACACAATCTATCTGTGCACCCAGGCTAGGCTGCTGTGCAATAGAGTGTAAATCTCAAGTGTTGCTGTATGCGTCACTGCAATAAAATGTTTCTTCCAACAAGTATCTGATTTTAGGATGTGGAGAGATTCTCTAGACACATATATCAGCTGGGGAATTGAATGCCTTCTTCTGGTAACAAAATCCTATTAAATGCCATGCATTGATGTTCAGTATCCGCATAGAGTAAAGTGATTCTAAATAAGTATATTCTTTTTATTAAACAGAGTTTGTGTAAACATCCTAATAAGAAAAATACCTCATTAACTTTTCTTTAAAAGAGCACTGGGGCCTTTATTCCCTGAATAAACCACTGGTTGGCCCATTCTTTGGAAAATCTTTTATTTTAGGTTCCCCAGTGATCAACAAGAGTTACACATCTTAATCATTGCATTAATGATATTTCATATACATTATGATATATGGCAATCTGACATACCATTCCACATATCATTTGTCACTGTTACAATAGACATCATATGTATTTTCAATACCATGCCATATAGTACACCTCCTCTACAGGATGGCTCATGCGTGTATTCTTTTTTTTTTGTAATTCTTTATTTTCGGTGACAGAAGAAAAAACAAAAAAAAACAAAGCAGACACGTGAATAATACAGAGGCTTGCGCAGAAGCCAATTTTCGTGTTTTACAGGGTTTTCACAGTAATACATAGAGATGAGATTGTGTTGTTAGGTGATAATACTACTGTACAGGTTTGTGCTCCTCTGTTTCGTTCTGTTTCGTTCGTTTTTTTCTCTCTCTTATTTTTTTTAATATATTCAACATTTACATACAGTAAGCAAACAAAAAACATTACGAGGTTAATTTTGACCTTGAACAGTATAGTAGCTATGTGATAATAACAAGGGGTATCGTTAAGAGGTCTTATGACCTTGGGTATTTCTGTGGGTCTGTGGGGTGGGAGAAGGACAAGGGTCTGTGATTCTACTTGTTGTGTGACCCCTAGGTGTCATAGCCGGGTCTACAATCTTTATGTGCCTTTAGGTGTCAGTAGGCTCTTGTGTTTGGTGTATCGTCCCTCTTCATGTCGGTGGTCAGTCCAATGACTTGTATTTGTCTTTGTCCTTCTGGTGGATGGGGTTGGGTAAGTTGGTGTGTGTATGGTGTTGATGGGGTGGGGACTGGGGCTTGATGTCCCCTTCCCTGTTGGGTTGTGTGTCTACTATTTTCAGTTTGTATCTTTCCATATGTATGGTCTTTCTGTATGGTTGGTTTCCTTTCCTGTTGTAGGGGTGGGGGGGGGTTTATGGGGGCTGCGGTGTCTCTGCTGTGGTGTTGTGGGTGTAGATATGGGTGGGGGGCAGTGTTTGTTTCTATAGTTTTGTTGTTGCGCCTCTGTAGTGTCTCTGGTGTGTTCTTTTAGTGTTGTGTTGGTGGTTGGGCCCTGGGCTGTGTTTTGCCTCTCATGTCTCGTCCTTTGCCTTCCCTCTGTGGTGGTTGTGTTATGGATTCGTGGGTTGGTGTTATATGGGTTGGGGGGTATCTCTTTACTCTTGCCTCCGGTGGCCCTCCGTATAGAGTTTCCATTCTGTGTCGGTTAGTGGGTAGGTTGGGAGGCCGGGTCTGGGTCATGCGTGTATTCTTTATCAAAGAAAAGTGCACAATTACTAGCGCTATACTGTGCCTTGCTATTTAAACTTGATTATGTTTGTTGATCATGTCAGATTTGTATTTATTTTTTGTTTGGCTCATTCTATTAAAATGAACCAATTTAAAGAGTATAAGAAATGTGGTTGTGGCTTTTCTTTTCTACTATGAGTTGATACAAGCATTGCAGGTTTCTGAAAAAGTGTTGTTTTTTTTTAACACCATTTATTTTGTTTCCTTTACCAGTATCTCTCTCACATTCCTTATTGCCATTTTCCTCCATGGGTAACTGGATTATCTTAAGTTTCCTATTAGTTTACATCAGGTATGTTCCCTTTCATTCTTTGTGATGCCTTCTCACTGTTTTTGCCTCTTCCTATAGGTCCTCCTGGGTCTCCAGGCCCCCCTGGCAAAGATGGAGCTGTGGGACCACCTGGTGAAAGAGGTCCTCCTGGTCCCTCAAGTCTGCCCGCACCAGTGATGCAAAGGCTTTTAGATCAAGGTGAGCTCAGCTGATGCACAAAGTAATTACAGATATCATTATAAGTATTGCTTATGTGAATGTCAAAGCTGAGTTCAGTAAGTGGTTACCCTTTGCCAAAGCAGTTAAAATCATTACAGTCTGCTTATTTCAATTTTTAACATTAGACTTGTTTACATGACATGATCATTTCCACAGCAGCATATGTAGAATCGCAGTGTGAGCTTGTAGCATTATAATTATCAATTACTGCTGTATTATGATTATTTGTATATGAAAAAAAAATAATATTTTGCATTTACTTAAAGGACCACTATAGTGCCAGGAAAACATACTCGTTTTCCTGGCACTAGAGTGCCCTGAGGGTGCCCCCACCCTTAAGGTCCCCCCCGCCCGGCTCTGGAGAGAGGAAAGGGGTTAAACTTACCTTTCTCCAGCGCCGGGCGGGGAGCTCTCTGCCTCCGATCCTCCTCCTCTCCTCCTTTTCGGCTGAATGCGCACACGCGGCAAGAGCTGCGCGCGCATTCAGCCGGTCTCATAGGAAAGCATTTACAATGCTTTCCTATGGACGCTTGCGTGTTCTCACTGTGATTTTCACAGTGAGAATCACGCAAGCGCCTCTAGCGGCTGTCAATGAGACAGCTACTAGAGGATTTGAGGGCTGGATTAACCCATTTATAAACATAGCAGTTTCTCTGAAACTGCTATGTTTATAAAAAAATGGGTTAATCCTAGCTGGACCTGGCACCCAGACCACTTAATTAAGCTGAAGTGGTCTGGGTGCCTAGAGTGGTCCTTTAAAGCTTAAATGTACATTCCTAACGCTAGAGTGCCATGTTAGCAGTATAGGTGCCTGGTCCCTTCCCCTGTCTGAAGGAAATTAAGTACTTTGACTGACCTTTTCTCCCTCGCAGCACAGGTCTCTGTGCTGCCGTCCCGCCTCCAATAGGAAAGAGTTTTAATTTTTCAGATGAAGCTAGAGGCATTTAAACATTGGTGTTCCTGCAGAACAGGGACACTGCACACAGACCACATTATTGAGATTATGTGGTCTGGGTGCCTAGAGTGTCCCTTTAACCCCTTAAGGACACATGACATGAGTGATATGTCATGATTCCCTTTTATTCCAGAACTTTGGTCCTTAAGGGGTTAAAGTGGCATGGTAGCCAATTTTTAACTCAAGGATAGGTGAAGCAAACTATGATTTTGATCCCCAAAGATCTTATGTGTTTAGCTCCTTAAAGGGACACTATAGTACCCTGAGGGTGCCCCTACTCTCATGGTCCCCCTTCAGCTACTCACCCTTTTCCCCCTCCGGGCTCCCTTACCTCTCCTCCCCCGCCGACGTCAGCATCCTTGTCTGACGTCACCGGCGCCGAATGCGCTTGCACGGCACTGCCGTGTGCGCATTCAAAGTGTCCGTAGGAAAGCATTTTTCAATGCTTTCCTATGGACCCTCTGCGTGATTGTGGCATAATATGCCAAAATCATTTCCGATGCGCCTCTAGTGGCTGTCCAGAAGACAGCCATTAGAGGCTGGCTTAACCCCAGATGTAAACATAGCAGTTTCTCAGAAACTGCTATGTTTACATCAGACAGGGTTAACCCTAGAGGGGCCTGACACCCAGACCACGTCATTGAGCTGAAGTGGTCTGGGTGACTATAGTGGTCCTTTAAGTTCTATGTAATATTCATATGCTGTGATTTTTTTTTTTAGTTCCTTTTATCTAGTGGCAGCACTGGCGCATACATGCCTGCAAGTATTAAAATGTGGGTGGTTACACTCTTGGTCAGCAGCTGCAATTTGCCGAAAAAAAATACATCTTGGTTCAAAGTTTTTTGGTATGATAATATTACGTTGTACCTTCTCATTTTGAAACTCAGTCTATGCATAACAATCATAGCTGAAGAATTTCAAGATTATATATATGTATTTTTTGCACATTTAACCACATAAAGGGTTTACCAAGTAGGTACGGCTTACCTAAATGTTTTTTTTCCCATAACTCTTACATGTGTCTGACAAAAGAATTTAACGGAACACTATAGTGCTAGGAATACAAAGCTGTATACACTGTAGTGTCCCTCTTCTCCCCCTCCCTCGCACTCTCCTACCCCCGTTGGAAGATCAAGGGTTAATAACCCTTTAAACGCTAATCTGATTCCAGTGGGAAGTCACTCTATGCTGAGTTAGGCTCCTCCTCCTTTGGCATCAGCCAATGGGGGAGACTAATGCACATGCAGCAAGTGCTGCACACGCATTAGGCCTTTCCTTTAGGAAAGTATTGACTCATTGCTTTCCTATGGGGTTTTTCAACACACTGGACATCTACATGCAAAGCGTGAGGACGTACAGAGTCAAACTGTAGACTGTAAGCTCGTTTTGGCAGGGTCCTCATCTACCTATTGTTTCTGTATCATTTCGTAAACGTCTCATTTATTATTAATATAGCGCTGCAGAATAATTTGGCGCTATGCCAATAATAATACTAAGAAGACTGCAGGAAGCACCTCTGGTGGCTGTCAGGAGACATTACATTTTCTGTAAAACTACAATGTTTCAGATTGCAGGGCTAAAGGGACAGGTCATGTTTATGAGACATATAAAACCAGAATAGAATTAGACAAATAGATCAATAGACAGACAGATAAAGATTATAATGTAAAAACAATTGTTCTGGCAGATTCCACAATACCCTATATAGAGGATTGTATATGTTTCTAGAAAAGGGGATATACAGTAAAATAATGATCAAATACAGTTGTTGCAAAGAAAACAAAAATCTTTGCTTCTGGATATAATATTGTATATATAAAAATGAATATATAGAGTATATATATATATATTTATATATATATATATAAAGACGCTTGTGTAACTGGTGAACATGGTGTACATTTGTGGTTTAACTGTGTAATTATGTGTAAACCTATCTCAGGTAATAAATGCAGCCCTTTTTTCAATTTGGCCATTTCAAGCTGGACTCGATTACCTGGGATAAATGGTACCACTGTTTGTTTCCTATGTATTCTGCAAAGGCTGTAAATCATTGAGGTAATATACAGAGAATATTCCCGTAGGCAATGTAATCCAGTTCTTTCTGCTTCCTTTATGCCATTTCCTACTTTTGTTATAAATGAGGATGGGAAATTGTACGTCTTCTAAGGAAACTATAGTGAAAGAGTTTGCAGTTATAATTTACTTTTTTTTACATGGAAACTCCACTAAGCTGGCACATATTTCAAATTGTATGTGATTCATTTTTTTGTAGGGCCAGGGAAAGCAATTTCCTCTGCACACTTCATTTCCTGTCATGTCACAGCATCCTCCAGCTTTTAAATGCAGAGGAAGAACATAAAATATAAATGTAATGTAGGAATGCTTCAACCAAGTTTACCGAAAAACATACATTTTTTGTTATCTTCTATTGTGCCAATGTCTGAAAATGTATTTTGCAATTCTTAAAATGTATCACATGAAGCTGTAAGAACAAAAAGCACAGACAGGTACACGGGAGCTCCTTGTACCATAACCACAGTGAGGGACGTAAGTTCTTCATGGTTCTTGGAGCGTCCTTTTGGTAACCTTTTCGTTTTCGTCAAAAGTGTTTGCATTAAGACAGTTTTGTAAAGCTATGCAATTGTTTCATTTCAAAACAATTATTAACTGGAAGCTAATGATTAAAAGAACTATTATGTCAAACAATTGAAATGAATAGGAAGTAAAAGAACTTGACCATGAATTGTTTTTTCTTTTCCTTTCATTGAGTTGATTTAAAGGGGAAGTGTCACTAGTTATAAAAACAAGCTAAATGATGTGTCATTTGTGGAGCTTTTCCTGTTGGATGAAGCAAGGGCTTCTTTTACTATACTTTGGGCTTCTTGTACTTTTTTTTTTTACAATACAGGGTAAAGACATAAATAGATCAATAAATACAAAATACAATCAGAGAAGATTCAATAAAATCAAGGCATACTTAAAATGTATATTTCATATGGTAGCTTGCACACATTTGGGGAAAAAAGAACATTAATAGGTTTTTTTTACTAAAGTGAAAATTCAAAGGGAATTTCAAATTTAAGGTCAAAGTAGCAAATAGAAAAATTCAATTCAAAAAGTCAATTATACTTCCAGTTTTTCTACTTTGGACCTAAGTTTGCTATTCATTTTGAATTATCTTTAAAATCCCACTTCTTACAACAATAAGACAGTATTGTATTGTACATGTACATTAAATATCAGTCTACCAGAAAAGAATAATGCAATTATGGAAGGTCACCCTTAGAATATATACTCATTATAGGGGGATGTTATCCATCCTCTTGTATTAGAGCCATAATATCCAAATGCGTTAATAGAGAGAGGCATGTTTTCTTTCTTGATTACTGTATGTGGTAGAAGATGTTTCAATGGGAACCATTCAGTACGTTAAAATGAGGCCCATTGTCTGTTTTGGATCCCATGAGGTAAGTACGCATTAAAGTGAGACAATTATACCATTTAGCAAAAACAAATTAAAAAAACATTTTTTACATTTGTCTTTGTGAAGTGAGGTTTCTTTTTTTTTTTTAATTCTTTATTTTGTCGTGCATAAATGGTACAAAAAGTACCCATTCTGCCACAACAGCAGAGATAGGTTATAAACAGGCAGGGCCCCCCCCCCGTGACATCACAATGCCCCACCCATATGACCTGCCATGTTAACTAACGCTAGTGCTGCAGTGCCGCTGTGTTTACATTAAAAGGCCTGCAGGGACAGGCTATAGACACCAGGACCACTACATTAAGCTGCAGTGGTTCTGGGGACTATAGTGTTTCTTTAATGTGAGGTAAATTAGAGATTAGTGCCACGAATAATATACTAGATTACCTACTTACAAGCAGATGAGGATGATGATGGGCTCTAGCTGCAGTCTGGCTCCACTGGTCTGGTGTATAACAGGATCTCTGGAGGCTGTTTGTAACTGTGGTCACAAAAATCAATGTTCTGGGAGAACGAGAAGCAGCTCCATTTTTTGGGGGCACTTTACACAGCTCAAGGTCTGGGTCCCAGGGTCCACCTTCATGTTCCACCAATGAGTTTGTTCACAGGGGGTGGAGTGTGTAGGGGATATCCTGATTTGTGTGTAAGGAATGCATTGTGTGAATCTGTGTTTGTATGTGTAAGGGCTGCAAGGTGTGTTTCTGTGTATGTAAGGGATGAAGTGTGTGAGTCTGTAAGGGGTGCTTTGAGTGTGTTTAAGGGGTGCATTGAGTGTGTGTAAGGAATGCATTGTGTGTTTCTGTGTGTGTAAGGGATGCATTGTGTGTAAGGCTTGCATTGCGTGTGTGTAATGCATTGTGTGTGTAATGCATTGTGTGTTTTTCTGTGTGCAAGGGGTTCATTGTCTTTGTGTGTGATTGTGTGTGTGTGATGGATGTCAATCTCTCCCCCCTCCCTTGTCACTCTCTTCTCCCCCTCCCTTGTTACTCTCATTCCCCCTCCCCTGTCACTCCCCCTCCCTCCCTGTTTCTTTCCCCCCACCTCCCTGTCAATTTCTTTCTCCCCCCCTCCCTCCGTTAGTTTCTTTCTCCCCCCCCTCCCTGTTTCTTTCTCCCCTCCCTCCCTGTTTCTTTCTCCCCCCCTCCTGTTTCTCCTCTGTTTCTTTCTCCCCTCCCTCCCTCCTGTTTCTTTCTCCCTCCCTGTTTCTTTCTCCCCCCCTCTTTCTTCTCCCTCCTCCCCTACCTGTGTTGTAGCGTGGCCGAGCTCTGTATAGTCGGCGGGTACAGGGAGCTTTTGTTTCCTGTACCGGGCCGGACTAACAGGAAGTGCACACTCAGTGTGCACTTCCTGTTAGTCCGGCCGGGTACAGGAGACAGATGCTCCCTGTACCCGCCGACTATACAGAGCTCGGCCACGCTACAGAGAGGGAGTGACAGGAGGGAGCGCTGAGCGCTCCCTCCTGTCAGCCCCTCTCCCCATGCTGCGCCCGGGCGGTGCGGTCCGCCCTCATGGACGCACCGCCCGGGCAAAGCTGCAGCCGCCTGAGACTCTTTACAGAGCGCTCGGGCGGCTGCAGCATGAGCGGGGCCGGCGCTCCAGGCGGCGCCCCCTCCCAAGGGGCGCCCTAGGCGGCTGCCTAGTCCGCCTTACAGGTAGCGCCGGCCCTGTAAACAGGCATACATTTGTGTGACAAAGAGTTATTAATGATTATACAGCACTTTTTTTTTTGTGAATTTACTGCGTTTGACAGGGCATGTCAGAGGTTAAATGAGATCTTCCTAAGGTGTACAAGACATGTCAATGCTCATGAGTAATATCAAGCCTGAAATTAAGGTTGGATTCGTGGTTCTGAGACTATGCGTTCAGAGAAGATGCTTTGGTTGTAGGTAGGTGTCATTAGTGGCTCTGAACCGTGTTCTTAGCATACAGTACCGTGTAGATCCTATATGTGGGATAAATTCCGGTGTGGGATGCTGCTTATCTGTGCTAAGATTTCGTAGTGATCGCGTGTGTATTTGCCATCCCTTCGGTTGCATTTTCTCAGTGTGGTGCTCAGTGATAGGTGTGTACTGTTTGATACCCCTAATCAAAGGGGGCCAGCGGGGGGGGAGGGGGTTGTCATCTCGTCTATTGGATGTGTGCGAGTTGGCGCAGTGGTAGGTGTCTGTGGTGGATTTGGGGCCCTTAAAGGGGGTCCCTGTGTCAGGTAGGTGTAGGCTATCATTTATGTCAGGATTTGAACTGCGCCATGCTGTGCAACTTGGGAACCATGAACTGATGTATAAACATTCTTAACGTAAGTATAGGTATAAGTCTCTATCACTCGAGCCCTAATTTGAGCTGCGCTATGCTGAGTAACATGTCAACAGGTAAATAAACATTCTATCATTAGTGGTGTCCGTAGAGCCTGGTTATTCATAATCTCTATGCAGTGTCCTTGGGATTGTGACTTTTAGCTGCATTCATGTGGACTGTTGGTGTGCTGGGGCAGTGCGTGGGTTGAAGGGGACACTGTTATTCGTGTCCCAGGTTCCCTCTAGGGTTTGTGTGTCCGCCGCTTTCAGTCCCAGAGTTTCAAGAAAGGCCGGGGCTTCTGCAAGAGAGGTAAGTGTGTGGGTACTCCCATTGTGAGTTATCAGCAGCGATCCTGGTGCCCTCCACCTGTAGCTCATGTTGGCTGCTCGCAGTTGTTGGGTCACTGGGTGGAGTGACCGGCGCCATTGGAGGGTGGCCTCGTTAGGTCTTGATAAAAGGTTAGGCTGGAGTTCTCAAATGATAGTGGGGTTTCGCCCCGCAGTGCCACCATTATCTGTCCCTTGTCTAGTGAGGATATACAGCGTAGGATGACATCACGTGCTGTTTGTGAGGGAGCTCTTGGGGGGGCCTGCTACCCGGTATATGCCGTCGGTTACCAGTTTTCTTGCCAACGCTGGAGGTAATATTGTTGCTATTAGCCTTCTTATGTAATGTGGCATCTCTTCTGACGTGACACTCATTGGAATGCCGCGGATTTTGATATTATTGCGTCTATGGCTGTTCTCGAGGGCATTCAGGTGCAGGGTCAGATTGTGTTGGGACTTTTGGAGCTGTTGTACCGAGGCCTGTAAGCTTGTCAAATTTGTTGTGAGTCCTGCAAGCTCCTTCGCCAGCATTTTGTGTAAATCATGCAGGAGTATCTGCAGGTCATGTTTGGTCGCTGGTGGCGATCCCCCTGGGGGAGCTGGTGGTATGGTGCCGAAGTCGATGCTCCCTGGTTGATCAGTGTGGTCCATTTGTGCGGTAGCTATCTGGCTTTCTTCTGGGGCCGGTTTGGGCCTAGCGGGTCGTTGTAACATAGCCCCTATGTCTCTCCCTTCTGTCTGGGAGTAGGCCCCGGCCCTACGTTGTCATTTTGGCGTCGTCTTTTTTAAAAGGAAGGGCATCGTTCGATGCAGCTCGGTGTCGCAAGTCGGGGTATGGGTCTAGGATGGTGGGCTCTATGGAGATTCTCTAGATTGAGGCGAGATAGTAAAGATTAGAGCCGGAGCTGTCATCAATGGTGTCTGATCAGCTCGGTGGTTAGCTCCGCCCCTCGTGACGTGAGGTTTCTAACCAATTTAAACAGAACAGATTCTGCAATTATTTGAGATGTAAGTAAAAGACAAGGGAGGAGAGGAGATTAAAGAGTCACTTTAGATCTATAACGTACTTTAGCTTGATGTTAATATTATTATTAACTTGCTTATTATTTTCATTTTTTTTTTAAAGTGCAGATTTCAATAGAAATCGAACTTTTATAAATTAACTTGGTTTCACCCCCCAGGCAGTCAGTCAGACAACTGGTCTCTTACTTCCTGGTTGTTTTGCTCAGTGAAGCTAAACTCAAGAGGCAGTAACTGCCCAGAGAATTTGTCTTGAAAATACTTCTCATTGAGCTGCATTGGGAAGTCTGCGATTGGACAGCCACAGAAAGTCTGGGCGGGGTTAAAAGGGGAGGTATTGTAAAGGCTGCAGACAGAAGAACTATTTTTAGATATACCCCAATTTTAAAAAAATGCATTGTTAAATGTATGCAAATTTTAATTTGGGGAATAGCTATCAAACAGTGTTTTTTTATTTATTTTGTATGTGGTCAGTTAAGAGACCCTTTAAAACTATTGTACAGACTACAGCTAGTGAGTACAGTATCACCTGTGACCCAGTATAGTTTAATGACTCATTGCTAATGTGATGTATTTAAGCACTTTGCCATTTATATGGTGGCTGCATGCTGTTCTTTATGGGGTATTATAGGGTGATGACCAGTAAATGGAGTACATCATTGTGAAACTAAAATACCCAGACTTTTATTTTCTCTAAAAACTGCTTTATTTATCAACAAAATAAACAGAGTAGTAGGCCACCAGTAAATAAATATCATATATGACTTTCTGCCATGTGTGCCAGTCTTATTTTATCATAATTCATAGCTATTCTAAAAAATCTTGGCTGATACATTGCCTTCCTTGGTGATTATAAATGAAAAAGTATGTGAATTCTAGCATATTGTTGTGTTTTTTACTTTAACATTGCAGGTTTCTTCACAAAAAAAAAACTTTTTCAATTGTTAAAATATTTGAATGAGTCACCTAATGGAGCACTAGGCAGACGTGGCACTCACTCTCCTATCTTCCATTCATTCCATTCAACATCTTTAATGATCCATACAATCGGGTGAATAGATTGCTTTAGCAAAAAATATAAAATGTATATTGCATTAGAAGAATTGCTGCCTTGTGTTATAGGATTCCTTTCTTTATAGGTATCACAGGTTTGATAAGAAATCAAGCCCTTATCAAATGTTGTGACAGAGAGTTCAAATGATGTGATTGTCCACTTATTATTTGAGATTTATGAGTGCTACTTGCTAAATCTTGTGCTTGTATATAGTTGTAGACTGCTTTCTTACTGTGCCCAGAAATACAAATTACAAATACCAAAATTTGGGTTAATGTACCTTGGATTGCCTTATAAAATATTTTTGTTACTAATCCTGTGTTTATCAGAATAGCCATTTCTTAACCATAATACAAAATAATATAGAGGTAGGCGCTCAGTATCAATAAATGTAGCAGCACATCACCAACAATGAGTTCCCTCACCCTTGTGACATATAAACCAAAATAAACAAAAAAGGTGAACAGTGCTAGAAACTGGTAACAATAAACATACGAAGAAAGGACCAACTGAAAACAAGAGACAAATAATGGTGCAGTACAGTAAATAAATATAAATAGTGATGGATAAGAGTCAATGGAACACACACACTTTATAGAGCTATATAAGCTCTATATTTGTAGACCTGGATGGTAAATTTCCCGTATATGGATATAGACAGTGGAGGTCAGCAGAGCTTATTTTCAAGTGGATGTGGCCATCATATAAAAACAAACAGAAAATATTCCAGTGGTTTGGTATGTATATAAAAAATAATTTAAAAAAAGGATAATATGCTACTTACATAACCTAGAGCAAGAACCTGCTCTAGTATGAAGAACTTTGGGTGGAACAATCCTAACCTGAGGATGAATGCAGGAACCAGATAAATAGCAGGAACTGGGTATAGGTAAGTACTCAAAAGACTTAGTAAAAGTATTAGAAAAATATTTACTGTATTGTACCATTATTTGTCTCGTTTTGTTTTTAAGATATACAAACTAGAAGTTGGTCCTTTCTTCATATGTATATTGTTACCATTTTCTAGCGCTGTTCATCTTTTTTTCATTTTTTATTTCTTAACCATACTTTTCTTTTGCAGACATATTTAATTCAAATCAGTTTGCTGAAAACGGGGGACACCAAATTCAGGGACCTCAGGGTCCCCCGGGACCAATGGGTAAGTTGCAAAATAATTCATGAGTATTATAACATTTCTGGTGAATTACCATTTTTAAAGTTCTTAATTAGATTAATATATACATGTTGTTTCTTTAGGACCCCCTGGACTTCAAGGGCAACCTGGGCCTCCAGGACTCAAAGGACAAAATGTATGTTTGTTCCATGATCTCACAGTCCTCTGTTGTAATCTACTCCAAACTATAATGTCATTAGGTGTTAATGCAGCAGCCATTTTTTCAACCAGATGTAATTATTCATTGCTGCAGTTAATTAACATCAGTAGATAAAGTCACAATGATCTCAGGATTTGAACCGAAATCAGTGCAATTTTAATATGCCTTGAAATTGGCCTAATAGTGAAGTGGGTGTGAGAGGCTCATTTCAATCTGCAAAATTATTTAAAATAAATTGGAAATTGGTCAAATTGTCCGAGCTAATAGGCAATTATCCACTCTCTAATCTATGTCTCTGTGAGCTTTTCAGCCTTAACATTCATATCAGAGATGGAACACTCGCTTTATTCTCAGAATGATTAATTATTCTTTTCAATCATTGTAGATTATTGTAGCTAGTGAGGTACCCAGTATCTCCACTGTTAAAAAAATATACATGGACCTGCAGATGAACACCCCTTTTCCTTATCCATTTTTTTGTTTTCTCAGCTGTCACATATTGAGAAATTGCAGCAAGTGATGGATTGTAAACAGTTTGCTTTGTCATGTTTTCTAGCTATGTTTTCCCACACAGCTGTGATGCATTGTCGTTGTTTGGATTGTTTTCCAATATTTTTTCTCTTGCACAGGGTTTGCCGGGCCCTCCTGGCAAAGATGGCATCCCAGGAGAGAAAGGAGACAGCGTGAGTGATATATTAGACTATGACCTTATAATGTTTAATAATAGTGCAGCACAAATCACAGCTGTTATCTTGCAGTGTTTAAAAAATAATTATTTTAAATTGCCATCCCAATGTTACACCATATTACAATTACATATTTTCCTCTGTATATCAGTTGGTGGAATCACAGATAGTATTTTGCAATGTATAACAAGATTTGTAAGGCATACAGTGTTTTTTTGTAAAACAAAGGCTGTGTTTTGCATTATAGGGCCCAATAGGTCATCCTGGGGAACCTGGGACAAAAGGGGAAATGGTAAGTGTGTTTGATGTAACATATATACATCATACACTTCTTATCTCTGTCTGTCCTGATATTTTCTGTTTTCCCTTTCTTATTTACATTTTTGTATCCTTGCTTTAATTTACCCTCGTCATTTTCTTTTCATGCCAGGGATCTCCTGGACAAAAAGGTGAACCAGGAGAGAGAGGAGAACCTGTAAGTATAAAGACTATTTCCTGGGACATGACACCCGCACCCACTACAAAACCAGTAACACCTTGGGATAACGTCAGCCTATGCCTTTACCTCAACCCAGCTTCTCATGAACTGTAACAGTATACAGTAATGTCTAATAGAGGAATACAAGCCTATGCCATGGCTTTGTCTTTGTACACCAAATCTTTGCTCCATATCACTGCCAGTCACTTATTAACACAGTCTTTGTGGAATTGTTCTCCAACAGCAGATAGAGGGTGCAGGCTGGACAGTTCAGTTCTAGATGATACTTGCATCCACCTTCAGGCAGTCTAAGCATATTATATTTTCCCTTGCTTTCCTATGTCTTAGCTCTATGCCTTTTCTATCTGTTTAGTTCTATTTCAGTTTGACTACCTGAATCACGTTCTTTGTAAATACCTACTTTTTTTCTCTTCAGTGTTCCTCCCCATTTCTCTCCTGTATCTTTTATCTTGCTTTCCTCAGATCATGACCCCAAGTACTAAGCTACAAATACCCTCTCAGGAAAAGCTTCACACTTCCAATACATAATAGTGTCTGTTTACCTTGCTATTACTTTTATTAACTGGTTGATGTGTAATCTAATGTTTGGGGTAGATCCCGTAAAGTATGTGGTTAATAGGTCTTTGAAGTATGGACTGATACAGCTGTGGGGATTTTCTCCGTCTCACCCTTTTCTTCCTCCCCACAGCCTCCTATTTAACACTTTCTATGTTCTTCAGACCTTACCATGTAACCCTTTTCTCAATAAGCAGCAGCATGTTAATCTTATTAACTCTGAGAACACAGATGTTTAACAAAAAAATACTCTTCTGAATTATATGGGATTAGTAGGTTATCGCTATTAGCATGTACTCTTGTAGTGTCGTTTTAGAAGTAGGCATCATATTAAAAATTCTGGTATGGGATGGTTCTGCCTTCAGTAAGGATTGGACCTGAATTAGACAGAATTTACAAACACCAAGTTCCATAAGTTTGGTGGTACTGTGTCCCCTGAAACTCCCTTTCCTGGTGATCAAGGTGATTTACTGTTGGGGAAGAGCAAGACCTGATCTTGTTTCCTCACAGGCCTCCAAAATACATGCACCAGAGGTGACAACATATTAGACAACTTTATTCATTCCCCTGCAGAGCTCTGATAAAAAGAGCTCTCCCTACTCACTCCCTGACATACTCTTTGACAGACACACATACTCTTTGACAAACACACACACTCTCACTGACAAACACACATACTCTTTGACAAACATACACTCTGACAAACACACACTCTTTGACAGACACACATACACTCTCACTGACAAACACACATACTCTTTTACAGACACACATACAAACACATATACACTGTCATTGACAAGAATAGATACATTTTCACACACTCACTGACAAGCACACATTCACTCTCACTGACAAAAACACATATACTCTTTGACAGACACACAAATACATACAAACTCCCTAACGGACACATATACTTTTTTTTTACATTTTACTCCACCCAGCCCCCTACCTTTAGGAGTGCTGGCATGGAGTCCCTGGGATCCAGGGGGGTGGCTGGCCTGCGGGCGGCAAGTGAGCAGTGATCTCCCTGCTCAGCTCCCTCGCGTGCCTCTTGGTGATGCCGGAGCCGGAGTGACGTCATATTACGGCTCCAGCATCACTGCTGTGCGGGCGAGGGAGCTGAGCAGGGATATCACTATTCACTGCTCCCTCGCCGCCCGCGGCCATTTTATTTTATAGCATTTTGGCGGAACCCCAATTAGTGTTCTGCGGAACCCCTACACCAATTGGGAAATGCTGCTCTATAGCTAGAGAACTGCAAAAGGGAATTGCAAATTTTAGCACAAGATAGCTGAGATGGAAATATAGCTAACTCTGTAAACATAAAGATAGAAGGTATGCAGTAGCTTATCTCCTGAGTGGGGGTTAACCCCTAGTGAAATTAATTCACTAATAATTAACAAAAATATATAGCTAACTCTGGGAAATTAGTCTATTCAGAAATACATTTTGTTATTGCTGTGTCAACTTTCCTCAATTCCTGGGTTAGCGAATAAACCACCTTGTGCTTGTGTCCCTATGAGATTCACATGATACTATTAAAATCAGCGTATTCACACACATAAAAAGCACAATTATAAAACCAGAACGGTAGAGTTATTAATTACACTTTTTCTTTAAACATTGTTTTAACTTACTCAACATCAATGGGATTACTATAATTAATTCTAAATGTTGTTGATCTCCTATCAACCTTATGCATGAATCCTTTACAACTGACCTGTTAACTCCTAGTATGTCAGCTTCAAGATGTGTTAACCCCTGATGGGTTCTATGAGGGTGGGAGGGGGTTAATCCCTTACAGCTGTGTCTGTCTCTTGCTTGAACAGGGGGAGAGAATGCTGCAGATCAGAGAAGCACTGAAGATTTTAGCAGAAAGAGTTTTAATATTGGAGACAATGATTGGAATACATGGTAAGTATTAAGGAGAGATTGGGAAAGTAGAGAAAAGTGGGGGAGTGGTGCAGTAATTAAGCAGAATGATTTGATTGCCATCAGGCAAATATGGATGATAATACTGGGTAAGGCAGAGATGTTGGGGGAATAAAGACAAGTAATTAGAATAAATTATAGCTAACTCTTATAGAATACGTGAAAATATATGAAGGTTTGAGTCAGCCAGCGATTTAAACATGTGCATAGTTGGAGTAAAATTTTGAATTCAGTGCTAGCAGTAATGAGAGCATTGCTAAATCTGCATTCTATTTCAGTTTTAGCGATAGACATCACAATCCAGTTCAGTCCAGTTACAGATAAGACACACAATGCAAATGTGTGAGATAGGACACATTGGGAGTTATGCATTTTCTGGTGCCGTTTTTGCCAATTTATTCCATTATTTGGTCCAATATATATCCCTTACTGCTTCTCTTCATTTTATTCTCTTGTTCCAAATTGGTTCTTTTTCAGTTCACAAATGTGATGCTCCCTATGTATATATAAAAAAAGGAGGTGCAAGAGTGAGCCTTTTATTTTATTTGCCATATTTTTGCTACTGCCAGCGTGGCGGATTTTCTGAAACAGATAAGCAGTATCCATGGTCTTCCTTTTTGTTTAAAGGAATGTGTCTGCCCCATAACAACTTCATCTCATTGAAGTTATGTTGGCAGGAGTGAAGTTGGTCTCCTGGCGCTGCCAGTACTGCCTCCCTCGATCCTCCTCCAGCAGCCTAGGCAAATCATCCTTTGACAGGAGGCAATGCCAGTGTTAAACCATTCAAAATGGTTTATACCTTGATGTTTAGCCTAGTGCCAGCAGCCTCCATAACAACTTTATGGAGATTAAGTTGTTTTGGAGACTGGTGTCACCCAGGAGTGTTTTGTTGTTGTGGTGTTTTTTTTGTGAGTTTTTTTAAGGAATAAAAAAATCCTTCAAATGGTAAATGTGTCTTTCTTTCCTATTGATATTACTTATTTTTCTCGTGTTGTGAATGTAATCAATGATACAATCATAAAGAGAGAATGAGTGAAAAATCCAACAGAGGATTAAAAAGAGATTATTTTGGCACATTATTGAAAAATTTGCCAATTATCAATGTATATAGGGTGTAGCAACAGTTTCATACATAATAAAATGGTGCATGTGCACAAAACGGAAACAAATGTGAAACTATTTTTATATGCGACCCCCAGAGTTTCTGTTTCTCCTCTTTCACTATGTTCAATAGCAGAAAAGGATAGTTCCTGGATAGCTGTAAATACAGCAGTGTAAATAAATTGACGTCTTACTTAGAGGCTGCTGGAAGCTGGGAGCCGCACCCCGCACCCACTACTATTGCCGGAGATCCTAAGTAGGGGCTTCTGTTAGCTCTGCTGAATTAAGCTCTGCAGTACAGGGTTAGCTCATTGACTGGGAGCGATCAGTGAGCCCTGCTCACAAAAATATATTTGTTTACTATAGTACACATAATATTAAAGGAACAGCACAGTGTTAGGAATACAAACATGCAATCCTAACACTATAGTGATGAAATAAATGTTTAGGTGCCCTGCCCCCTCTCTGTGGTGTTAGGTGTGTTTACAATCTTAATGATCTCAGCCAATCCAATGTATTCCCATAGGAAAGCATTGGGAGGATATTGTGAATACGTATCAAAACACCGTGCTGCGCCATTCAGCACAGCTTCTCCTTATAGAGATGCACTGAATCAATGCATCTCTATGGGAAACGTAGGAAGCACTGAGACAGGAAGCGTGAGGAGTGAGTCCTACAGGTGTTCCTAGGCAGCAATGTAAACACTAAATTTTCTCTGAAAAGGCAGCATTTACATTGAAACCCTGCAGCGCTTCAGGAGCGCCATAAGGTGGCCAGCCAGCCTTTTCCTGGGCCCTCTGTGATAGACCATTGGCCCACTCCTCTTGATGTTCCGCACCTTCTTGCACCTAGGTGCAGTACACCCCGTGTACCTGCCCAGGATCAGTCCTGCATGCCACTGTTTCATTATTTCGCCCGTAAACCTGCCCCTATTTTTGCGCCTGGGGAAGCAGCACCCCCTCCCCAGTAGTTACCGTAGTTACGATAAGAAATACAGCCTCACCACAACAAATGTCTTGGTAATATGGCAGCATATAGATTGGATTAGCTGTATTAGTCCAGTAGACAAAATGCCAAAATCACAGAGTATTGCAGTATGCAGTGATACTTTTTATTGGACTAACAATACTTTAATACTTACAAAATAAGCTTTCCTCTCTTCTTAGGGTCTGAAGCTTGTCTTTCAAGTATTAATGTATTATGTTAGTCCAATAAAAAAGCTATCGTTGCATACTGCAATACTCTGCTACTATTCAGGAATAATTAATGTGCTATGTATGTATGTTGAAACAAAAATATATTTAAACATTGCTTAAATATTAAGAAATACTGGAAAAGGGATAAATTTAGAATGTAATCTGCACTCATTCAACTAGAGGGCATGCAGCAAAGAACTGGTAAATTTTTGCACAAGGTTAGCAACTCCACTGGTTGGTGAGCTAGTACCGAAATCAACACTTTTGTTGCAGTGCCCTCTAGTGAAATGAGTGCACATTACATTCTAAATTATTATACTGTTATTTTAAGGTTTCCCCTTGAATTGCAGGACATCTTGGAGCATCAAAATGGAAGTGATTTTTTTTTTACCATGATTATGTCTGTTGCTCAGCATCACATTGTCTAATATAAAGAATGGAATTGAGAACAATGTTTATATTATTTATTTATGGCAAATTCCTAGGTTTCCATTTCTTTATTTTCCTTTTTCTTAATGAATCTTCCTATGTATTGATTGTATATTGTCCTTCACATATATTTATCTTCCTTCAGTATTTCCATGTCTGTTGTACTACTTACCCATGAATGTTCTTTTTACAACCCCCCATCCTTCATTTTTTATCCTAATTGTTGTCCATTTTGTTTTTGCCATCACACCCTTCATTCCATTCCCTTTGGTCCACTGTCCCATTCTGCTATTTTCGGTCTGGCAGGTGGTCAGCTTAGCCTCCTTTCTCCAGCTTCAAGAACAGCTGGAGCTGCTGGTTAGAAGGGTCACTCTGCTTGAGTACATTATGTGGCCAGGTAACAATAGCCGTACACTGCTTCATCCTGTCCAAAAGCCCCCTATATTCCTGCAAGGCTTCTCTATCAATCCCCTGTACCCACAGGGCTGTGAATGTAACATGTTCCCAACAGCACCAAGTAAACAGTTCTATGGGAGGAGGCTAAAACACTTTGTTCTGTTATATAGTTACAACTGTATTCAGATACACTTTAAATCCTATTGGTCTTGCACAGTTAAGATTATGGGAACAACCAATACCTCATGAAGATTTACCACTTAATTTATGAAATCTGGCCAAATTTTTACCTATAGAGTAATTACTTATGGTCCAGGGTTTTGGCAAAAAGGATGTACATATTAAAGACCTTAACCCTCCTGCAGCTTTAACCCAAGGGCTGTGTGTGGAATGGACTATCATTACTGCTTTAAAGAGTTGTCACATTTAATATGCATTTTGTAATCCATTCGGAAACAGTAACTATTAGTCATGTTATCTTTACATATATCTGTGTTTCAGTTATTTGATTAATTTTACTTTTGACATCCCATCTTCTTTCTGAAATGACAGAAGTGTTGTTTAAGGCAAATCGCCTTAAATTTCCTGCACAGTTAAACTGTATTATTGGTAAATGAACATTCGGCTACATCCAGTAAAATTTAAATTTCTGACAATTTTAAGTCTGTTGCTCACCTCATCTCTGGCAACCTTACAATCTTGCTGACACCATTTTATGGGGGAAAAAGAGGAATTGTGGGAACATTAGACTGCTTACTATAAGCACTGCTCGGTTCAGTCATTAATCTTAAGTTGAACCGCTTTATATTGTTCCATACTTCACAAAAATTCTGGAAAAAAAAGGGTTTACTGGGATGAATGCTATGTATAATGTGACATCTTTGAGGCTCCATATCATCATTCATTCATTGTTTAATGCCTTTGAATCCCACTATAACAATAGGACTAGAACATGTTACCTTTATAGCCCTTATAAAGTCCTCTCCAAGCTAGAAGCTAGATGTAAAAGTGTGCATGCTACCTGTGCATTCGTGGTGCATGAACAGCAAATGTGCACGAGGCATGAATTTGTAGAGAGAACTGCACGTTGTCTTTGTCTATGATTGTGCTTTTTAAAAAAACTGCAATCATTGGTTGAATTTTCTCTTCTATACATTATGAATATAACAAACATGTAAGTACTAGGTAGTCTTCTAAAAAACAAATATTACAAACTGACTGCACCAGATTTGCTTGGATTCTGTTTTTGGATCATTTGATCTCTTTCAATGAGTTGGATGAAAGGACACATGTATGCATTGGTGACTTTGCTGGTTGGGAGGCTGCATTTCTAAGCATTCTCTAAAGGATTTATTTGGGGGGCTGGCTCTTTTTCATTCTTCTATAGTATAAGGTTTTTAAAGGGACACTCCAGGCACCCAGACCACTTCTACCCATTGGAGTGGTCTGGGTGCCAACTCCCACTACCCTTAACCCTGCAACTGTAATTATTGCAGTTTTCATAAACTGCAATAATTACCCTGCAGGGTTAACTCCTCCTTTAGTGGCTGTCTACTAGACAGCCACTAGAGGGCACTTCCTGCTTCATTGCACAGGTTTTCTGTGCTATAGCGTCGCTGGACGTCCTCACGCTGTGTGAGGACCTCCAGCGTCGCTAAAATCCCCATAGGAAAGCATTGAAACGCATTTTCAATGCTTTCCGATGGAAAGGTCTAATGCGCGTGCGCAGCATTGCCGCGCATGCGCATTAGTTCTCCCCCGCAGGCTGACATGGTGACGGGGAGGAGCGTGGGCGGAGGAAGAAGCAGCGACGAGGGACTGCCTCTGGTAAGTGACTGAAGGCTTTTTCACCCCTTCAGCAACCGGGGATGGGAGGTAGGAGGGAGAGGGGACCTGCAGTGCCAGGAAAACGGATTGTTTTCCTGGCACTGGAGAGTCCCTTTAAGCAAACTACCCCAACCGTACCATTTTACTCTATTACCTAATCATAACCTCTGACCTTAATGCCTAACTTTATTCCCTATCCCTAAATGTAACCACAGTCTAGACTTTCCCTCTAACTTTTACTCTATTCCTAACCTTAACCCACACCATATTCTCAACACTTAATCATAAATTCTTATGCTGACCTTAACCATTCACCTTTTTCCTAACTTTAACACCTCATGCTAACCTTAATATAGAACTCCATTTCTCACCCTTACTACTTACCCTGAACACCTAACCCTAACTTCCTCCTCTATTCCCTTACCTAACTACGTACCCATTGGCAGTTTTAAAACAACCACAATCAAATTGCCATCCTCCAGCCTCACTGTCTTTAAAATTCCATAAATCCATTACACCACATCTGGATCAGGGATTTCCTTGGAAACTCTGTGACATTCAGCTGAAGTTGCTACAGCACATTCAGTACTTTTCCTTTTTACTTGTTTAGACTAGAAACTCAAGGAAGACATCTGTGCTATAAAATGATTCTTGAAGTGGGACGATTTAAAAATATTGGGTTAGTGGTGTATAGAAGGAAGACCTATCCATAGTTCTGATAATATAATGTTCTCTGCTTATTTTTTGTTTAGTTACTATTTCCCATCTGAAAAGCATTTTTGGGTGAGGTACATAGAAAATGGATTATATAATTTTAGATACACAGATTTAGAACATAGTAAAAAAACAAAACCTTACAAATGATTGTTTCCAGTTAGTTAATTTAACTTTGGACACCTGGTCTGCAGATTGTGTGGCATGCTTAATATGAATGGTTAGATATAATAGGAAGGGTGTTTCCAAGAGTTCACCAGGTTTAATATAGTAAATATCATGTAAATGGGTATTATGAATAATTTAGAATTGTTGGCAGGGGGTAGATGGGTTGAAGGGACCAATGATGTGTATGGCTATGTTCATCCTTAGTACTTCATTGACAGTATTTGAGTGAAATATCTAACATATTTCCAACTATTTGAATTTCAGAAGCGGAATCTGGCTCAGGAAGTGGACCCTCCCCAACAAGTTCCACTGGATTCTATCGTGGAAGGCGCCAAGGTCCTTCACCTTACAGAGTTGTACAATCACAGCACAATGAGGATGAGGAAGATGAGCGCTTCTGATGATTCCCAGCAAAAAGCCATTGTCCAAACAAATTTGGCTGTACCCAGTCTTTACATATTTGTGCCTTGTTACTCTTAACTACCAAGCATCAAAGATTGCCAAGTGGGTTGTTGGAATAGATTAATCTTTTCACAGTAACCTCTTTAATTGAAACCTCCCACTGGCAAAAGAAATGTTTACATGACGGTTTGTTCTATAAAAGTATTGGTTTTATTATGGAGATATGATCTTATTTAACATGGATTTGATACCCCCCCCCCCTCCTTGTGTTCATGTTTTTCTCATAAAAAAGGTAGTGAAAATGTAATTTGTAGTACAGGTGCTGCACTGTAAACTTAGACTCAGTATGGCCACATTCCTAATTAGTGGACATTCCAATGCCATCTGAGTAATATGTAAGACTTAATGTTAATCACTGCAAAGTATGGGCATCCCCCAATTCATTTCTGGCAGTTGTGAGCACTTAAAATGGCAGCACAAGGAGATTGCTGCTATAACCCCTTCTCAGTTCTGGGACTGGGATTTAAAACACATTAGCGCCAGTAAAAGATGATAGCTGATGGGTTTGTGTGGTCATTATCATAAGAGGATATGTAACTGTATTATTTGTTTGTACACGTCTTATTATATGAATCCTCTGTGTGAGGACCAAAAACACTTTGTATAAATAAAAAGTTTTTTTTTTTTAATTGAAATCCTTGTTATTTCTTTTTTTCCCCCCAAGATTAATTTTTATTAAATATGTTGTTTCTTAATGTTCGTGTCTGAGGCTGGGATAATAGTGTGAATGAAAAAGCCAACGCTTCGTTTAAAATGAGGTAACAGAAGGTACCAAGGCTTAGCTAAAAACCTATATCTCACCTCAGACTTGAGTCTTTGAATGGATCTGTTCTGGGCCAAAGTTAAACATTACTCTAACCAAGCTATTAAAAATTAGTGTCCCATCCAATCACCCCTTTTGTCTTGGGTTGGATAAACTCTTGTTAGCCGAGTAGATCCTAATTTTACAACACAGGCAAGATGTGTAAATGGCTCACTCTGGTTTCAGGGCCGTTGTTTCTCTTTTCAACAAGTCACCTTGCCTTTCACTAGTCACCTTCATGTCTTCCCCGACCCTCCCCTCTACAAGCAGGGACACTGCTGTGTCCACCTTGCCAGTTGCTGCTAACGCCACTACTGCAGGTCCTGTAGGGAATCCCATTCGCTCCAATTGCTGAAGCCTGGGGGAAAAAAAGGAGAATGGAATTGAGAAAATTTAATGTCAAAGCTAAACAGGACACATGAAGATGGTGAAAGAGAGATACAGATGTTTAAACTGGTTACAATTAATGGTAAACCTCAAAATAATATAAGTGTATAACATGTCACAAATAACATAGCCAAACAGATATTAGGGGCAGGTCAGTGTTTTAGCAATATTGTTCCTGGGAACTAGCTAATGGCAACCAATATTTTTTTATTTATTATTTTCATCAATCTTCTAACTTCATGCAGTTTTCCAGTGTTTGGTACTCATGGAGAGAACATTTTACAAATTGCTGTCATACAAGATTGTATTTGAGCAAACCGAAGTTTCTACTAGTCAGAAGTTATGGAAATATTAACAAAGATAGCAATATCGATATACCATAATCTGCAATTTATTTACCTGCTATACTGTCTTAAATATGACAATCCCAATGGTTCTACTTTTAAAATATCTAGTTTTGAGGAGTAATTAAGTTAGAGACTAATGCAGGTTTTGATTTTGTCATTATTGGTTTGCACATTTCCAATAATTTACTGGCAGCCACTTGCGCACCTGAATGTAGAAACGCTGGACTTGTGCAGAGTGGGTTCACTCATCCTCTGCTGCTCATAGTCCTGTAGAGATGCCTGGATCCCAGCTTTCAGCATTTCATTTTCCAGTTGTTCTGGATCCTCTAACAGAACAGATAAAGGAATATCTCTATGTTCAGCAAAGAGTGGAGCATGGATAGAAACGTTCACCAATGGCACATCTGTATGGACAACTGTCTCAGACACATCCCTACTGAAGAATGGAAGCCTGAGAAGGAATACAATGCACAAACTATTATAAATTTGCCTTGCCCATTTGCAGCGATTTGTAATGCACAGTGGCTTGCAGAAGTATTTTTCCCATTTTAGTGCCACATTGTGTTGTAATCTAAACTAAATGTAAACAAATGTTTCAAATTAGAGAAAAACTTTAGACAACAATGGCTACTTGACAAGCTTTGTAAAGAGCATTGTGAAAACCATTCATATTTCTTTTTAAAATGGATGTTCAATAAGTAGAGAAGGGACAAAATTAAAAACCCAAGTACAATAAGAGATACAGTCGAGGAAGGAATTATTTGTGCATACACGAATTTTTAGAAAAAAAGGGACAATGTTTAAAAGTAATGGTGGGGGAATGCTACTTCTTACATAGATGTCTGCAACATTTCAATTGAGGTAGCACATGCTAAAATAGCAAAGAAATTTTAAATAGCTTGGGATATATATAAGGCTTTCCACAAGACCACATGAGTAAAGTAAAATAGATCGGAGAATAAATTGCACATGAGATAAGCCAGTTGATTCATATCTGTCCTCATGATTTGCATTGTTTGTGACTAACAGAGTTGATTTGGGGTATGGGGTTAATAACATTTATCACTCACCTTTCTACTATTTTTATTTCATCTGTACCTGGTGGAACGGTTTGTCTGTTTCCCGATGGTATGAACGATGCAAGAGCTACAGACTGAAGAGTACGACATAGACGACTTCTCTCCAATGTGCGTCTCCAAGGTTCTAACCACTCTACACTTGAGAGCAGTACTGATCGGGCTACAGAGTGTAGGTAAAGGAACACTAACTGCAAATTTAGTTTTACTAAGACACAAACCTACAAGTATTGCTGATTGGTTTTGAAAGGAGAGTCACACAGATTCACAACTAAGAGTGTAGAATGTATTTGGATGCACTACTATTGGCTAAGTTTACAGATCCATAGAAGGTACTAGTATACTGGAATCTGCGAGCTGCTAGGGCACTTTGGTTTTTCCAGTTGTCTTTCCTAAAATCAACACAGAGACTGAAGATAAGTGCATGCAGAGGGATAAACTGAACAAACATTGAGATAACATTGTAATTGCCAACTGCACGGGTAAACGCTGTGCTCTGCTGGTGATGTACAGCTCTGGAAAATCCTGAATATGAAACTGGATTCTGATCTAATGAGTTACAGGAGTGATGAGCTGGAGAGCATCTATGCCAGATATAAGGAACATCTCACTTCCCTGTGGTACTCCATAGAAACTATGTGAAAAGTGTAAGAGACTGATCAATAGCACAAACTGAAGATTGAGATCAACTGAGAAACTAAGACCACATTATGTACTAGCGGAATTTAGAAAGGCAAATGTAATAGCAACAAAATTACAACTTATTTCTGAAAATATGTCTTAATTTAACATTGTGTAGTTCATGCTGCACTGTTGGTCCCCAGTCTAGTATGTGCTTTAAATATATCATTTTTAAACAAATAACAACATGTAAAAAAAAAAGATAATAACCCATACCTACCTCTAATATATGTAGATTAATGTTTATCTTCTTTTTACATACATTTCATTTACAAAACCTATTTCCTTTTAAAACTTGATAAAATGATTATAATATTGAAAAATGGTTTGAGAAAGAGGACTATAATATCTAGGCTTTTTAAAATGCATTTTATCCACACATGCAATACTAGGTAAAAATAAACAAACAACTAAGATCGTTCATATGGATGCACACTCCAGATATTTAAAACAACTTTTCTGGTACTGACTGCAATTAATAATGACACAGGTCATATTGAGATGTGGATAACAATGACCGTCGTCATGGCACCTCATGTGTAAGGATACAGATTAGGCCACTGATTACCCCGCCTGTGTGAAAAAGTAGAGGAGATTGTGGGCTCAAAATATGGGTAACAATCAGAATACCACAAGGCAGAAAAAATGTCATCTGTCTGCCAAAGCGACATGGCAGTCGTGGATGTTGCACCATCAACAGAGCCAACTGTGTGCCAAGGTAGCCCAAAGCGGGTGCAGGTGACAAAGATAGCAGCCAGGACATCAGTAGATAAAGCGTGGCACAGCACAGAGTACACATGCAGGACACATACAGGTAGCACAGCGTGCCCAGTTTCTCCTCCAGTTGCCAACACAGCAGGAGGATAATAAACAGGGAGACGAGGAAAAGACTGATGTCGGATGCACACAAAATGTGTGTAAGCAGCCGATGACCTGAGTTTAGGAAAATGAACAAACATAAGATTAGGGTATTGTAATATTTCAAAATAATCTGTTTATTAGTCATAACATGAGTAATAAATATGGAAAATGATGGGGAAAGGTATAACAGGATTGGTACAAGTAGCTCTGCTAACCCAAGCAAATCACAACAAAAAATGTCTGTCTTTGGCCTTTTAAATAGCTGGGAAATAAATCATCAAGTAAGTCATCAGTCAGATCAGAGTTTCAGTGCCATACAGCACTTTTGATATCAATTAGGAAAGAGTTCCATTTATTGAAAATTCTTAAACAAGGGAGTGCAGTGTCACCAGCCAAATTACACTGCTTAAAGACGGTATACAAGGTATAGAAGTGTAAGAGTGTCACCCACTCAGGTGCTTGTTCAGCTGTGGGAAAACATATTTCTATTTAATGCTTATGAGAACTTAATACGTTTGACAGAAAAAGAAATTGGTATATTTACAACTACTCTAATTTCTTCCAGCTGCCATCCCAGCATCCAGCACACCTGGACCATATTAAAATGTGATACATAAAGCCCTAAGGGTCATGCAGTCACACATTCACTTAGGTAAATCAATAACATAAACTCCCTAATGCTTATATAGTGATGTCTTATGTATGTCACTACCACCAGTTTTAACTCTTGTCTGCAATGATTAGATTCTACAAAAATTAAATTTTTGTTAACTTTGTCATGTATAATGCGGAACGTTCCGATGTCAGATTTTTGCACAAAATGACAACTTACAGAAAAGTTAACTATGGACTAACTTTTAGAACTTTGCAATATGAATCGCTTTGCTGGTTTTAATTGACATTGTATACCTGATTCTCCTGGTATATAATTGTAGTGTCTATACAATATATATATATATATATATTTTTTTTTTTATTTTTTTTTTGATAATTTTTTTATTGATTTGGTTTCTGGATATGGACTTGACATGTTCACAAATACAAGAAAATTTATTAAAAAGGTACAAAAGACACATCCCCTTTAGGCATACATTATACAACTTGACATCCATATGAATAGTATCACAAAGTGAACTTGTGTCTTAGAATACAATACGACTTTATCCGGTGGGTTTTTAAACAAAGTGGTATATTATAAGCAATAATTTTTTAACTGTATTCAAGTGAAAACTAGGTTCTGGGTATACACCTTTTACTATGCGTTTTTCATGAGAAGGGCCAGACCATCCTATGTTTGTATGCCAGAGGAGTAAGTACTCTCTATAGATTTGATGCTGCTTATAATGTTTTAAAGGGCCACTATAGTCACCAGAACAACTACAGCTTAATTAATTTGTTCTGGTGAGTAGACTCATTCCCTTCAGGCTTTTTTCTGTAAACTCTGTCTTTTCAGAGAAAATGCAGTGTTTACATTACAACCTAGTGATAACTTCACTGGCCACTCCTCAGATGGCTGCTAGAGATCCTTCCTGGGTCATGGCTGCCTAAAATGCATCCAAACATTCAGTATCTCCTCCCTCTGCATGCACTGAACTTTCCTCATAAAGATTCTCTGCCCCTGATCTGCCTCCTTGTCAGTCTCAGCCAATCCTATGGGGAAGCATTGTGATTGGATCAGGCCACCATTTCTGATGATGTCAGCAGACAGCTTGTTTTTCTGAGGCAAACAGCATGCATATCTACAGCTTCAGGCTTGAATACAAGTAAGATTTTGCTATAATTATGGAGGCATGAGGGGCCTAGGGGGCTAGATGGTGGTTTTAACACTATAGGGTCAGGAATACGTTTGTGTTCCTGACCCTATAGTGATCCTTTAACATGTTATGCCACATTTAATATTTTTTGATAGAATTTTAAAAGGATTTAATATCATGAAAAATATTTTCATTTTTCCAATGAGTAGCAGTTTATCCAAACATATTAAATAATTTGAAAAACTTATGCAACAATACTAAATTAACGCTATAATTGGCAGTATACAGGACGAAGGAAATTGTAATGTTTGCTAAAATATTTAGACACAAAATAAATTATATGGAATTGAGGGTGAGATTTATGGAAGGGAAAGATGTGGTGAGATATATGGAAGGGAGAGATGTGGGGGAGATATGGAAGGGAGGGAGAAATGTTGGGGCAGGAATATGGAAGGGAGAGAGAGGTGTAGGGGGAATATATGGAAGGGAGGGAGAGATGTTGGGGGAGAGGTATAGAAGGGAGGGAGAGATGTGGTGGGAGAGGTATCGAAGAGATCGAGAGATGTGGGGAGAGATATGGAAGGAAGGGGGAGATGTTGGGGAGAGATATGGAAGGGAGGGAGAGATTTGGGGGGAGAGATATGGAAGCGAGGGAGAGATGTGGGGGGAGAGATATGGAAGTGAGGGAGAGATATGGAAGGGAGGGAGAGATGTGGGGGAGAGATATGGAAGGGAGGGAGAGATGTGGGGGAGAGATATGGAAGGGAGAGATGTGAGGGAGAGATATGGAAGGCAGGGAGAGATATGGGAGGGGAACATGGACGAGAGGGAGAGATATGGAAGGGAGAGATGTGGGGGAGAGATATGGAAGAGAGGGAGAGATGTAAAGGAGGGAGACATGGAGGGGAATAGAGAATTGGATGAAAGGGAGGGGAACAGAGACATGGATGGAAGGGAGGGGAACATAAACATGGATGGAAGGGAGGGGAACATAAACATGGATGGACGGGAGAGGAACAGAAACATGGATGGATGGGAGGGGAACAGAAACATGGATGGACGGGAGGGGAACAGAAACATGGATGGACGGGAGGGGAACAGAGACATGGATGGACGGGAGGGGAACAGAGACATGGATGGACGGGAGGGGAACAGAGACATGGATGGACGGGAGAGGAACAGAGACATGGATGCATGGAGAGGAACAGAAAAATGGATGGAAGGGGGTAGAAGCGAGCAGAGTGGAGTGTGCCTGGAGATTACAGAGGGACTAGGGAGCAGGCAGAGTGGACAGTGTGGCTACCTACCTGGCTGAGACTGCAGTTTGCAGAGGGACTAAGGGAACGAGAGGAATGGACGCCCCAGATAGTGGCATTACTACTGAGATAGTAAGTACCTTGAGGTGAAGCTTTTGAGTGAATTATATATATATGTACCAGGATTACATATTGTTTGCTTGTGAACCCTTTTTTTTTTTTTTTTTGCGGCCCACATAAACCTAAACCTTGTTTATTTGGCCTTAAGCTTTGAGTTTGACATTCTTAGACTATGGTATTTGGATGTCGGGGAGTAATTAGGTATGTATTATATAGAAGATGTACTCACCATCCCAAACATCTTGAATACTATCCAGATGTAGTTCCACTTGTTTGCATGTTGTCAATAGTCCCCCACAAGTCATCACCAATATCAAGAGGCAACAGCCTAAAGGAGGCATTCGTCCCATCGACAGCCATCTCAATATGTCCATAAGGGGGCTTGAAATCGTTAGTTCCCACTATTACCTATACAAAAAAATATATTTTTTAGATATATGTCCTGTCATCACCTCACTAGAAATGAGGAAATCATTCAAGCAATAACTTCATCTCCAGAGTATGAATTCTCATATTCTGCTTTTTATTTTCTGTTCCCTCATATTTTACATTAGCTTTGATGTTCAAATGCAAGATTGCCAATCTAATAGGGATATAAAAATGTACACACAACTTTACATAGGAACACACAATCTGAAACAATATAAAAGTTTAATTTATTTTATAACAGGGAAGGTGAAGGTTATATGTTAAAGTCGTACTACCATAATGTAAAACTTGATACCCAGCATATGAAAATACGCATTCGGTTCCAATTAAAGGGTTATTCCAACCACAATGACCACTTCTGCTTCAAACGCTAAGCATATCATGACATATTCACCTTTGTGCTAGGGGCTAGTTGCACTCATTTTGGGCCCAAATCCCTGTGTTCTTCTGTCCTTTTAACATGTCCCTCTTTTCTAAAAAAAAAAAAAAAAAGCCATATTGTAGGTGTGTCTAAATGTTTAGCATGACTCCACAGCAACAATAACAAACAGTATTGTGTTAACATACTTTTTCTTTTCCAATTATTTTTATTCAACAATGTTGAAAAAATAGGTTAATACCAATGTAGAGCATAACAATAAAGAACAATAGCAATAAAATTATACATAAAAGTAACATATTTAATGTTTATTGAGACATAAAAACATTACGGGTATCTCAAGGTAAGTGACACAAAGGCAGTTGAAGATATAGACTTCGTAGTACAAAGTAGACATCCAAACAGAACTAAACATAGATGGATATGCATTGTAACGCTGTGCACAAGTCAAACAGTGATAGCATAAGTTTATGTAGTCAGACTTCTCAACCTCACTTCCAAATGGCATATGTGAACCAAAATAGGATATTTGACAGGTGAGAGAAGACAGTAAAGAGGGAATGGAAACCTGGGAGGGAATGGGGAAGGCTGTAGGTGATAAAAATCAAGAGTGTAGAAATACAAGGGGAGGATAAGGGCAGTAATGTGACTTTAAACAACAATAAATAGTGTTTAATAATCCGTTGTTATGGTTCAACATTACATTTTACTTGCATAAATTTTTATTAGCGAGTCACATAAAATTTGTCATAACAGTCCGCACGTGGCCACACACCACAGTCCTAAAATTAAAGTGGTCCTCTATGTCCATTTGAAAATTTAGACAATATGGTTCGCACCCCTGGCCAAAGATGACTTTCGCAGCTCAGTTACATTAGTTGTCACAAGCACGGTGTGCTGGCGACAGATGTAATGAGCATTTCTCTCCACTTCCTTGCACTCTCTTTCTGTTAAGGTGCCCTTCCCACCTGTCTATACTTACATACCTGCTGTCTGTTTGTGTGTATGCTTTCCTGCTAATGTCGACTGCTAGTTTTATAGCAATTCTGCTAACTCGGTGCTCTCAGTGGCTAAGTAGTGAACATACACCGATAGGGCACTGCTGAGAATCATAGATGCAAACATTTCCAAAGTTGCTGGGACAGTAACACATTTTTGGATCCTGTCCAGGGATCCCAGGCACCTATATAGGTACCGCATTTTAAAATCTGCGATTGGGACTGGGCAGTAGGACCATGCACAAAGATCTCCAGCAGCACTGCATGCATGGTCTTCTGGAGGGGACAGGCATCAGACAGCATGGCCATCCTTGATAGGTGGGGCAAGCTCAGCCCATTGATGGACTGACCTGCTCCCTTTGATTGGTGGATCAATCCTTTTGCTAGGGGGACCCACATTCTTTATGCCTTTTCTCTTCCCTGTATGAGAAGGCAGGTTTATGAAGCAGTATTCTGCAAACCTTTTTTCTTGTTGCAATAATTACAACGATTTGAGCATGCAAAAAATATAGCACATTAATAAGGTCAAAACATTAAATGCATGTTAATATTTCAGGTCTAAACTGCTATTTGATCCTTCCATCAGTAGGTGGCATGTGAATACTGTGATATCCACCAAGCAAAGGCATAATAAACTTCACAATATGGATGAACCTTCCAGAACTGAAGGAACACTATAAGAACAATAACCACAACAGAGCTTAAGACCAAGCAGACCAGAATACATGACTCCCAAACTACGGTATTACGAGCCCAAGAAGGCATGACAGTAAAATTAGCAGAGCAGAAGAACAGGAACCGATGCAACAGTGTTAAAATATGGGGTTCAATTGGTTGCAGCCGAACTGCCTCACTACTTATGCCACCTGTTTTTCAACCTGCTATCGTCTAATAGAGCCAAGGCTAAACAATATGATATAATAGGCATAACTGAAACATGGTGGGATGAGACACATGACTGGGCAGTTAACATAAATGGGTACATGTTATTTAGGAAGGATAGGAAAAACAAGAAGGGTGGTGGGGTATGTTTGTATGTCAACCATGATTTAAAGCCAAATGTTAAGCAAATGGAATGCGAGGAGGATAATGTGGAAGCTTTATGGGTAAATATCTGCTTGGGGGAAAAGAAGGGAAACCAACTATTGGTTGGGATATGTTATAAACCACCTAATGTTAATATTGACGAGGAACAACAGCTGTTTGAGCAAATTGAGAAAGCTGCAAATCTGGGTAACACTTTAATTATTGGAGATTTTAATTACCCGGACATAAATTGGGACAGAGGGACTAGTAGCTCAGCAAAAGGAATTAGGTTTTTAAACTTGTTAAATGACACCTTCATGTCACAACTTGTACAAGCACCAACTAGAATGGACACTTGTCTGGACCTGGTTTTAACAAACAACGTTGATCTTTTGACCAACATTCAAGTAGGTGAGCACTTGGGAAATAGTGATCACAATATAGTGTTCTTTGAAATAAACTCAAAAAAAAACAAAAGCACATGGGGTATACTAAAACATATAATTTTAAAAAGGCCAATTTCAATAAGTTAAGGGAAGCTTTACAATATATTGACTGGCATAAACGCTTTAGTGAAAAGAACACGGAGGATAAATGGTTCATCTTCCAACAAATATTAGAAAGGTACATTTCTCAGTACGTACTGTTGGGAAATAAATATAAAAAAACAAATTGAAACCAATGTGGCCTAGTAAAGAAGTAAAACAAGAGATTACAAATAAGAAAAGGGCATTTAAAGCATTTAAATCGGACAAATCAGATGCATCTTATAAAAGATATAAGGAAGCAAATAATGCATGCAAAAAGGCAAATATACTTGCTAAACTTCAAAATGAAAAAATGATAGCTAAAGAGAGCAAAACCAACCCCAAAGCATTTTTTAAGTACATAAATTCTAAAAAACCCAAAAATGAAAGTGTAGGTACACTAAAAACTGAAACGGGGGTGTTAGTTAATGAAGACCAGAAAAGGGCAGGAATTTTAAATAAACTAATTCTCCTCCGTATATATTAAGGAAGAACCCATGGCAATAGATGTGCAAATGATTGCTACTATAAACTTGCAGAATAATTGTAATTGGTTAACTCAAGACAAGGTACTGCAGCAACTAAAGAAAGTTAATATAAACAAAGCTCCAGGGCCTGACGGTATCCATCCATGTTTACTTAAGGAACTTAAATAGTAGAAATAAGTGAACCTCTGTTTTTAATCTTTCAAGATTCTTTTCTTTCAGGAAGTGTTCCGGAGGATTGGAGGAAGGCAGATGTGGTTCCTATATTCAAAAAGGGTTCAAAATCCTTGCCTGGAAATTATAGACCTGTGAGCTTAACTTCTGTGGCTGGTAAAATATTTGAAAGGTTATTAAGGGATAATATTCAAGAATTCCTTGAGAAGAACATGGTTATCAGCAAAAGTCAGCACGGTTTTATGAAGCACAGGTCATGTCAAACTAACTTGATTGTGTTCTACAAAGAAGTATAGATCAGGGTGTTGCAGTGGATGTGATCTATTTGGATTTTGTCAAGGCATATGATACAGTTCCACACAATAGATTAGTGTTCAAACTCAAGGAAATTGGTCTAGATGAAAATGCTTGTTCTTGGGTAGAACATTGGCTTAAAAACAGAGTACAAAGAGTTGTCATTAATGGTAAATTTTCAAGCTGGACAGAGGTGGCAAGTGGTGTCCCTCAGGGGTCTGTTCTGGGATCCCTTCTATTTAACATGTTTATAAATGATCTTGAAGACAGCATTGAAAGTCATGTTTCAGTGTTTGCAGATGACACAAAACTTTGTAAAATAAAAGATATTACTTTGCTGCAGATGGATTTAGATAGACTGGGACACTGGGCACTGAAATGGCAGATTAAATTTAATGTTGAAAAATGCAAAGTTATGCACTTCGGCGTAAAGAATACACAAGCAACGTATACCCTTAATGGAAGCGAATTAGGGATAACAACACACGAAAAGGACTTGGGAACTGTTATAGACAACAAACTATGCAACAATGTGCAATGTCAATCAGCAGTGGCCAGGGCCAGTAAGGTATTTTCATGCATGAAAAAGGGCATTCATTCTCGGGACGAGAATATAATTTTGCCTCTTTATAAATCCCTGGTAAGACCACATATTGAATATGCTGTGCAATTTTGGGCATCTGTTCTAAAGAAGGATTTTATGGCACTAGAAAAAGTGCAGAGGCGGGCTACAAAATTAATAAAAAGGAATGGAACATATCAGCTATGAAGAAAGGTTAGCAAATTTAAACCTATTTAGTTTAGAAAAACGTCGTCTGAGAGGGGATATGATAACATTATACAAATATATTCGGGGGCCAATACAAACCATTGTGTGGAAATCTATTCACAAACCGGACTTTACATAGGACACGAGGCCATACGTTTAGACTGGAAGAAAGAAGATTTTGTCTAAGGCAAAGGAAAGGTTTTTTTTACTGTTAGAACAATCAGGATGTGGAATTCTCAGCCTGAAGAAGTGGTTTTATCAGAGTCCATACAGATGTTCAAACAGCTACTAGGTGCATACTTGCAAAAACAGAATATTCAAGGATATAATCTTTCAATATAGGGTAATAACTGCTTGATCCAAGGAATTTTTTTCCTAGCTTGTTGCAAGATTGTGCTTCAAACTGGGGTTTTTTTGCCTTCTTTTGGATCAAAAGCAAAAAACAAATATGAGGAAGGCTGAACTTGATGGACGCAAGTCTCTTTTCAGCTATGTAACTATGTAACTATTATCCTAGATGGCTGTTACCGCATCCCGAGGCCAGGATGCACAAGGGATGTCATTGTGCAATTTGTGTCATCTTTAGACAAAATGATGGTTCTAAGCTCCTTTACCTGTGAATTTGAATCACACACGCTTACCTTCTACTCCGATTTATCTCTCTCCGTCCAGTCACTGGCACTTTTCTGGAGAATAGTGTTTCTTACCGATGGGCTAGTCCCTTTTCCTTATAAGTTACTAAAGATGGATCTGCAATCTGAGATTTATCAACGACTGCATGGAAAACGAAGATAAACTGAATGCATCCGGCAAAATGCATATTCAGAAATTATAATTCACTTGCTACTTGCAAGTGAATTGATCATTTGAAGAACTATTTGCCCACTGGTAGCGCTAACAGCCAGTGGGCAAATAGTTAAAAATCCTCACCAGCGCAAGAGTTAATTATGTGGCCATATGAAAAAAAGTTCATAAAAATCCTATGTTGGTATAATGGATATATTACTGTAATGGATGTTGTAAACTTTCATATGCCTCCACCTGCCTGATGGCATATCTACTAAACTTTTAAAACTAATGATGCTACCAAAGGCCCAATCCCATGAGCATAGGGCCTGTGAAATATTGCAGATTTGTACAAGATTTGTGCTAGTCACATACCAGTGAATCAAAAGGAACCGTTACGCTCACACAAAATTCCTCACTTTTCTTGTCAAAAGCTGGTATTGGACATTTTTGAGTGGAAAGGGTGCTCATGCCTTGTAATAGGTAACTAATTTTAGTAGTACCCTGAAGTATTAACCCCTTAAGGACTGATGTTGTACATTTGCGACCACGCATATTTTTACACTTTTGTGGTGTTTGTCTTTGGCTGTAATTTTCCGCTCTCTCATTTACTGTCCCCATACAAATTATATATCATTTTTTTTCAGGACAAAAGGGGCTTTCTTTACATACCATTATTTATATAATCTCTTGTATTTTAATTGAAAAAAAAATAAAAAAAATGATGAAAAATTGAAAAAAAATACATGTTTTTTGACTTTTACTTAAGAAATCTTTTACTCATCTACAAAAGCGAATGAAAAAAACTGCTAAATAGATTCAAAATTTTGTTCTGAGTTTAAAAATACCCAGTGTTTACGTGCTTTTTTTTGCATGTTATAGGGCTGTAGGCACAAGTAGAATATTGCGGTTTCAAAACATACATTTTTTAAATTTATCAATAGTTACATTGTAACACTATTATCTGTCATAAATTTCTGAATAACACCCCACATGTACATATTTTTTTAACATAGACAACCCTGGGTATTCAATATGGGGTATGTCCAGTCTTTTTTAGTAGCCAGTCAAAAACACTGGCCAAAATAAGCATTCATATTTGTTTGTGTGTGAAAAAAGTAAAAAAACTAAATTGAACACTAATTTTGGCCAGTGTTTGTGACTAAGTGGTTACTAAAAAAGACTGGACATACCCCATTTGCAATACCTTGGGTTGTCTTCTTTTGCAAATGGTATGCCATCATGGGGGTAATTCTCATTCCTGGGCTACCATACGCTCTCAAAGGCAACGTAACCAACCTGGCCATTTTCAATGTAAAAATATTTGACCCATATATTTGACCCTGTAACTTTCAAAAATACTATAAAACCTGTACATGGGGGTACTGTTTTACTCGGGAGACATCGCTGAACACAAATATTAGTGTTTAAAAACTGGAAAACGTATCACAACAATTATATCATCAGTAAAAGTGCTGTTTGTTTGTGAAAAATGCAAAAAAAGTCCCTTTCACTGACAATATCATCGCTGTGATATGTTTTACTGTTTTTAATCACTAATATTTGTGTTCAGCGAAGTCTCCAGAGTAAAACAGTACCCCCCATGTACAGGTTTTAGGGTGTCGTAGAACGTTACAGGGTAAAATACAGTGCTAGCAAATTAAATTCTCTGGACTTTCGGCCTGGGTTGGCAGGCAGGTCCCTCAAATTGCAATCAATAAAATTACTTAATTATGTAAAAATATTACATAAATACGCACGTAGAATTTAAATATATATGCATATTTATATATCTGAAGTCTACGTGTATATTTATATAATTTTGTATATGGACATATGTATATTTTGTATTATTTTTATTTATTTATACATACATAGATATATATATACAAATTCATTCTAAGTGTATTTTGATATAAATACATATATATTAATTTTAAAATACAGTTAGAATAAAATTTCATATAGATATATAATTTTTTTTCAATTTGTTTATTATTTAAAAAAAAATAATTTAAATTACTTATTATTTATATTTTATAATAATATATATACACAATATATATAGTTATTATATATATTATATATATACACGTGTGTAATTTAATTATAAGTGTATTTTTATATTAATATATGTACATATTAATATAAAAATACACTTAGTATGACACTTTATATATGATATATAGACATATATTATATCGATATAATATATGTCTATATATCATATATATATATATACACATATATAATTTTTTTTTATTTTTTTTATTAACACTAACTTTATTTATTTTTTTGATTTTACACTAGCAGGGAGACTGCCTATCAGCACGGACAGTCCCCCTGCAGGCAGACACATGGACACCTATTGTGACCATGTGATCGCTGTGTTAAGCGATCACATGGCCCCAGGGGTCCTCATCCGCCATGGGGAGACTGTCTGGGCTGCAGGCAGTCTCCCCACACCGGGAGCAATGCTGATCGCCGCCGGGGGAACAACGGCGATCAGGTAAGTAACTCAGACCGTTAGGACGGTTCAGGACGGTTCAATGGGAAAATGCCGATGACGGTCCTGAACCATCCTCGGTCCTTAAGGGGTTAAACCTATCCGATAAATCTGCAATGACAGTGAATGGCAAACTGAAAGCAACCTTTGGGAGACATGGCATCCCAACAGAAGTCATTGACAATGTATCCTTTGCCAACACTGAGGTGAAGACAGTTGCTGTAAAATGGGGTATATAGTTTACTCCTTCTAGTACTTGCTACTCCCAATCAATGGACTGGCAGAAAGAACAGTAAACATTGTTAAACTCATGCTCCAAACATGAGAATTACAGGGAAGATCCTCAAATATGGCTTGTGGAGCTGCACAACACTTCGATCACTGGAATGATCTATTCCCCAGTTCAACTTTTGATGGGTCATTTACTAAGAACCAAGATACCAGTTGTGGCTGCAGCATTAAAGCCCCAGACCTCAAAATTTCTTGTAATTGAAAGAGGAGCAGAGTCAACAATCACACTTAATTCAGATTCAGAGAATGAAGTAACTAATTGAGGAGACCTGGTCCCTACAGAGTTTGCAGAAGCTGAGCGCAAAATATCATGAACTGGAAGGGTGATATGCTGTCCTGAGAAACTGAAAGATTATGTCATAGGATAAAGTATACCTAACCATCAAAACATATTTTTATAGATTCTCAATTATTAGGCAACGTTGTATGTTAAAGGGAGGGAGTTATTATACTGCTACTTTAAAAAGGACCACTGCAACTGTTTGTGGGGGAACTCTCTGGTCAGTGGCCATTTTAACCCCTTAAGGACCAAACTTCTGGAATAAAAGGGAATCATGACATGTCACACATGTCATGTGTCCTTAAGGGGTTAAATGTCGTTTTGGTTATCCGGTTGTTTCCTTCTTGATTGTATGGGAGATGAAAAAAGAACTGCACTGGGTACCTACTGTCCAGTGGTGTTTGTAACTGCTCTCTTTGCACAAAGAAAATATTACACTGCCGAAGGTTTTTCTGTTTGTTTGTTTGTTTTTTATAGATCTGCCAGTGGCAAAACAGTTTGGATTGTATTTAATTCCAGGCTCGGATTTAATTAATTATGTCCAGATTTCAGCCGTCCAGCAGGGTTCTGTCCGGCTGAAAACTGAATCAAATTCAGGCCCATTCAGAGACTGATTTACACAATCTGCATTGATGAATTCCATAAACAATGTCAATATGTTGCAGTGTCCCTAATAGAAACAGGGTTATTCACTAAAGTCCAAATGGCCTCGAATGGGGCAAAACCATCCGGCTACATATAGGACCAATCGGACTTTAGTGAATAAGCCCGGTTATATTAGGGGATTTGCTTAAGTTTATTACTTATCATGCAGGAAATTGCTTAGGTTAATGATTTACACTATTGCTGATCTGACAATAAATTATATGCTAAAATATGAAATTGTAACAATTATCAATGCAAAAAAAAAAAAAAAGACTTGAGGATACAGGACAATATATTAATGGAGCTGTACCTGGAAATATGGGATAGTCTGACAGTATGCTTCAACAGACACACATAAGGTTGTTTACTAAAGTGAGAATTCAAGGTGAATCCAAAGTGAATTTTACATTTAAAGCAGCACTATCATGGCCGCATCTTTCTTTTTTTTTTAACACCCCACCCTCTCAACTGCAATACATTTTATTGTCCCCCTTGCCACCCCCAAATGCCCCTAGACTTCCAATTTTACCTTTTTTAAGATCTTTATTTTATGCCTGGACTTAGGTCCCCGGCGCTGCCATCTCCGTGTGGTCAGATGAACAGATGTAGGCCCTGTGGGGCACGTCATTTGCCCACACTAGAACACTTGGACATTCGATACTGTCCGAAATTCAGACAGGAATTTCGGCTATTCATTAATCAGAAAGATGAATGAATGAATAGAAATTTCAAACAAATGAACGAAGACCTCTTCGTTCATTACATTTATTACAAGGAGGAAGCTACCGGCTCGCGGCTCCCTTCTTGTAATATTTCAGAATAGAATGCTCATGCCCCCATCATTCTATGAGGGTCAGTATGACCCCCATATTAGCATAAGAGAGATTAAAATCTCCCAAATGCCCCTACTCACTATGCCGTGAGCAGGGGCATGTCTACTAAACAGTGAGCAGTCAGTGGCTGACCCTCACCCCTGGAGTCCAATTAAGGGCACCCAGCACAGGTTCCCAATGTCCCTATGGTGGGACATCTATTAAAATAATAACAAGGGAGGCCCCCACCTCCACCTGTGCCCTGTGAGTGGTGGCTATTCACTTAAACAGGGGACCTATTGCTTCCCCCTGGCCCCCAACCATGAGCGGTCGGTGGGGCCCCTAAGTAACAAAAGGAGGGGACCAACTGCCTCCCCCCTCAGCCTCCATCCATGACGGTGAGTGTGAGCCGTATGTAGCAAAGGGGAGGGAACCTATAGTCTTCCCCTCTGGACCTCCACCCATGAGCAGTGGGTGGGGGCCCTCAGTGACAAAAAGGGGGGGATGAACTACCAACCAATACAAGTGCACTGACAAGTAAGTCTTAAACCTTGCAGGTAAGGCTCAAGATTTACCTGTCAGAGCACTGTGATTTATGGATTTTTATTTGGCCTTTTTTGGGGCTGAAGAAACAAGACATCTAATGCCAAGTATTTTTTTTTTTTTTTTAATTTATAGGTATTTAGCTTATTGTTCCCCCCCTCCCTGTTAAGGTGAGGGGGGATAGGTAGGTAGGGTTTTATTTTATTGAGGGGCTGGGGCCGACCAGGGGATTAGGGACCCGTAGTCACCTGGGGGGTATTTTTAGGTAGATCCCCCAATTAGTTTAGTAGCCCCCACTCGCAGGGCACAGGTTAAGGCTTGCAGGGGACACTATGTTAATTACCTGAATTACCACTTTATTGGAGTGGGGGAGTCTTTGGTATTTTCTTTTCAACAGTGAACAGCCACAGGCTGCTCATTGTTTAGTATACATGCCCCTACTCGCGGCATAGTGAGTAGGAGCAGAAGATTAATGTGGGAATTAGAGAGCTATCTATTAAGCGGCTGCATCCGCAGAATGAATCGGATCGGAATTTCATTCATTCAAGCCCCTCTCTGTCTCTTCCCCATCGCCCTCCACTCCTGTGCCTGCTGACTTCCATGTAGCATGGCTGACCGTACTGCAAGTAGAGGACTGACAGGAAGTTGTTTGTTGATCTCAGTGAGCACTTCCTGTCAGACTGGTTAGAGAATACAGAAGATCCTCTACCTGCAGTACGTTCAGCAATGAGGAGGAACGTGGTGCCCTGGGTGACCATTCACCAACCCAAATATATGCTGTCCCACCAGCAAATTTCCCAGTATCCCGATGGGACAGTCCAGCCCTGTAGGTGCTTCAGGAGACAAAGGAACAGGTGCCCGGCAGACCTCAGGTAAGTTGTCAAACTATGTGCAATAATACAAAATTAATATTGTTATATTGCTTTGATAAAAAAACATATTAAACATAGGGTAAAAGGGGCAAAAGGGATGGTTACTATAATGAGAGCCTGCATCCATAGAATAAGTATGGATGCATAATGTATTAAAATTTTATGTATGTTTTTCAGCTTGAAGTGTCCCTTGAATCCTTTTTCAATCTATTGAATTATTAATGAAATTCTTAAAATCCTTTTAACCTACTTACATTTTCACTGATTCAGAAGACGTGCGGAGCATGATATCAGTGCAACATTAATAAGGCAAAATAAACCTAAACTTTGCTTCCAAGAGACATTTAAGGGTCACTATTGTCACCACAACTTAAAGGGACACTATGGTCACACGAACAACTACAGCTTAAAGGGACACACCAAAATAACTTTAGCAGTTATGGTGTGTAGATCAAATTCCTGCAATCTGCAATCCCTGCAATTTAGAAATTAAATCACTTTGTTCTTACAGCCCTAGACACACCTCCCTGCATGTGACGTACATAGCCTTCCTAAACACTTCCTGTAAAGGGTCATCTAACGTTTACACTTCCTTTATTGCAAATTAAATTCTGTTTAATTTAGAATTTCTTATTCCCTGCTCTAATAGCTCACTAGATCCTGCAAGATCTGTCTGAAAATTAAACCATTTTGTTTTCATGCAGACTATGTAAGTCACAGCCAGGGGAGGTGTGAGAAAACTGTATACCCAACACTAGTGTTCCTCTGCCCCCTACCTCTATGCAGGCAAATTAAGGATTAGAAACTTTTGTTGTTGTTTTTTTTACACTCACCTTATTCCTTGAGGTCCTTTGGTGCTGGCTCCATCTCCGCCTCCATCAGCGCTGAGGGAGAACCTTATGCACATGCATTGATTCAATGCTTTCCTACGGGGAATCTGAAGACGATGGATGTCCAGATGTAAAGCGTGAGGACGTCCAGCATCGTTTCCAGGGCCGTCTTTAACAAAGGGCAAAAGGGGAAGCTGCCCCGGGCCCAGTTATTCATGGGGGGCCCAAAGCAGCTGCCCCTTGAGCATGCAACAATTTAATGAGGGGCCCCGTGGCCCTTTAAAATTCCTCCCGGCCTGCTGGGAGGAAGTGAGTTAAGGACAGGTCACTACCTCCCAGCTAAAAGAATGCCGTGCGGGTAGGAGGAGAAGGGACCACATGCAGAGGAGGAGAGGAAATGAGGAAGCCTGGGGCCTCAGACTCCCATCAGCCTAGGTCAGCCAGCTCCCACAGGACCCCATGGAAGCCACCCTTCTGCATCAAAAGTAAGCAAACAGGAGGGTGGTTAAAATATGTGAATTATTATGTGTATATGTATGTACCTTTTTATATGAGGTTGGGCATATGTGTGTGTATGTGCACCTGTGTGTCTATGTGCACCTGTATGTCTGTGTATGTGTACTTGTGTGTCAGAGTGTATGTGTAACCATTTGCCTGTGTATATGTACATGTTTGTGTATGTGTAGTTGTGTCTCAATTTGTACCTTTTTGTTTATTTCTATGTGTCTGTGTACCTTTGTGTCTGTGTGTCAGTGTATATGAACATGTGTGTAAGTGTACCTGTTTGTGTATGTTTAGCTGTGTGTCTGTATATGTGTACTTGTGTGTCAGAGGGTATTTGTACCGGTGTGTCTGTGTTTGTGTACCTGTTTGTGTATGTGTACCTGTGTTTGTGTACCTGTATGTATATGTACCTATTTGTGTATATTTACCTGTGTGTCAGAGTGTATGTGTACCTGTGTGTGTGTCTATGTTTCTGAGTGTGTGTGCATAACTGCGTCTGTGGAAGTGCACACATCCCAGCATTCCAATGCCAACACTGCACAAAAATACACCCTGCATATGTACCTGTGTGTATCTGAGTGTGTGAGCATATCTGTGTCAGTGTGTATCTCTGTGTGGCAAATAATACACCCCTGTATTCCAATGCCAACACTACACACAAATATACCCCTGTCACTCCCACACACATTGTCACCCCCCTACACACACTGTCACTCCCTTACACATACTGTCACCTCCTTCATTCACAGTAACTCTGTCACGATATCTAGTGACCCAACATGCAGAGTGTATACATGATAATAGACTAGACAACATTTACCGGTCCTTAGAGTGGTCAGGGACAAGCCGAGTCGGGGAAGCCAGAAATCAGGGAAGCAAAAAACCAATAGCCGAGTCAGGGAGAACAGCACAGAGAATAATCAGGAGAAAGCCAAGATCAAAATACCAAAATAGACACAGAATATAACGCACTCTTGGGAACTGTAAACAGAAACCACAACACGGCAATGACCAGCACCCTAAATGTTCTTTTTATAGTCTATGCCTTACATTTATAGCCATGCCCCCAAATGTTCGAATTTGAAAGTTTTGGCGGGCCGTGACATCATAAGCGTCATGACATTGGTGCTCACGAGCCACGTCATAAAAAGGGGCGGGATTACAACAGCCGGCATCGGAACCACAGGTGAGAGGAGAGGGACTGTGAGAAGGGTCCCTCTGCCCTTCATGGAACAGCCTGGGTAACATAAGGTAACGTGACAAACTTCCCCAATCCTGTCACTCACACCCATGCCACACTCACCTCCTTACTGTGGTATTTGTTAATGGGCACACTGACGGTCAAATTTATTAATGGGGAATCTTAGTGTCGTATTTATTATTGGAAAACTGACTGTGGTGTTTATTAATGGGTACACTAGCTGTTGTATTTTTCAATGGGCACCTGACTTAGCATATGTTTAATGCATGTTCTGTGGGGCAAAGTGACGCTGGCAACAGGCAGGTTCTGTGTGTTGTTAAATTGCCACTGTGCCAAGTGCTGTGGAGCAATGTGGAAATTGACATGAATTATTGTGACACATATAAGTGCTGTGGGGGGAGAATGGCACTGTGGCAAGCGCTCTGGGGGCAGTGTGACCTTTTTTGCAAGTGTGCTGGTGCATGGTGACCCGGTAGTCATATATTTTTGCTTGTGGTGTGCCTTGTGTGAGAAAAGGTTGAGGAGTACTGACATTTGATGTTTGTTTTGGGTTGTTTTTTTTGAGGCGGACGTAATTGCATGCTAGGGGGTGGGAGGGTGGGGGCAAGGGGGCACAAGCAAATACTTGCCGAGGGTCCAATCTATATTATAGACAGCCCTGATCGTTTCATGGAGTCATACTCCATAAAACAGCAGAAAGCACTTCTAGTGACTGGTAGAATTACTTTTTCTAGGTTATAATATGTAGCCGATACACTTTCATACAAACTGCTAAAAAAGGTCACAGTTTAAAAGGAAGCACTATGGTCACCAGAACAACTGAATAGCATTTGGTGGGTTTTGGCCTCCTATTCATGCTGTATTATTTTTCCACATTAAATTGTTTTTAAATTTTGTTAAAAAAGAAAAAAAAGTTTTGCAGCTTTCTGCTGTGTAACTCTACCCCTTTAGCTACACTCCATCTTTTAACAAAGCAGCTCTGTCATCCTCTCCTCAGTCAAAAGATATACTAAGACAAAGTAGGGACTACTTTTTTTCCTCCGCCTGGCAAAAGATTGTCAAGCTTTCCATTTCCCCGAGATGTCACCAGTGATGGTTGTAGGAAAAAAAAAAATTCTGTCTATAGAGGATCCTGTGGCATCATGGGATCCTCCATAGATCTCAATGTTCCACAGTTGTTCATGGGTGATTGTACAGCGCTGTTGTTGACTCCTGAGAGCTGAAGCGCCAGGAGCTAAAAAGCCCTTAAGAGGACTGGACTGAAGAGGAGGGTGGTGCAAAAAGGGACAGGTTCAGGAAAGTAAGGCAACCTTTCCCTGCCCTCTATGGCTACTAGAGCCCAGATGGTGATGTCCCCATCAGGGGTCAAATTATGCAAGACCTTAGACAGTGACAGAGCCGCTTTAATGGATACGTTTGTTCATCCAGTGAAGTCATTATAACTTGCTGACATAGCCCTGCCTCACAGACAATCACTGTCCTCTTATCCCTTAAGCACAGCAATGAAATACTATAAAGATGAGAAAAGCACTCCACCGGGGCATTTGAATTGGACACCCAGTGTATGAGGTTGTAAAACAACTGTCATTAAATTTTCAACTTTCTGTTTTTAAAGCTTAGCACATTTAATGAACTTGTGTAAATCAGTATACTGATTTTTTAAAATAACATTTTAGGAATTTTAGTTTTAGGGATTGTGAAGTTAAAATGTTAGAAACAGAGGATAGGCAGTTGACTAGATGAAATGATCCAGCAGACAGGTTGAGCAGCGGTTGTTCAGAATACAGTACTTGTAAAAGTCCAACCTTTATTGGAGACAGCACATCTATTCATACCCACAATAGCCTCATTTACTTACAATAGAGTTACAGTGGTATCCAATGGTAGTACGGACTTGGGATAGTAGTCAATTACAATATGTATCCTAAGCTAACCAATAACAGTATGAACTTGGGATAGCAACCAATCACACTACAAAGCTTACAATCAGTGTGAATGGAGTCCTGTAATTACCAGGAAGGGTGGGGACAGACAATAGCAAAGGTTGAGAACCACATGTGGAATTTAAAGGAGTATCAGGGCAGCCATCTTAAACTGGTCTGGAAGTGTCTGTGAACAATGGGACAACGCCCTACTGGTAAAACAATAAGACAGGAAAACGGGGAGGGGAAAGGACACACACCCTGGACAATCAACAACTTCACAGGACAAAATCCTATGGGGAAACATATAGGCACTCCTAACAACACAATATAAAAAACACAAAGGGTCTCTGGGGACAGGGATTCTGTTGTAATACAACAAGGCCCCTCACCCACAGGGACAACAGCCCCTTTTAAGGGCTCATGGGACCAGGTCCATAGGCTGTGGGTAGGAGGCTAGCCTTTACGCCTCTCCAGGAGGCTATGGCAAAGGAGCATCTGTCACAGTATGTATAACCTGGAATTTGAAAAATGTTGACAAGGGCTAGAGCTTTAATCAAGCTCCACGTCCCCTATCCGCTTTGTCAATGGGTGTCTTGTTAAATAGTCACCTCCCACCAGCGGTGGTTCACAGATCCAGTGATGTTATGAGTGTACAGAAAATATGAAGATGGTGTTTTGAACTAATAACCGGTGGGACCGACACATTGATAAAAATGGTAGGTTGCAACTGTTGTGGGGAGGAAGGGTGCCTAGACGGAGATATCACAAATTACTTTGTGACAGAGATACTTTTAAGAAAACTATTTTAAATATAGATGTTACAAAGGTTTCAAAATTGAGGAAAATACCATTAAAACTGGTATTAGCTTAGTTTATATACGGGTACGTTTCAAATACATTAATATACAACAAATAGGTGGAGCAATAAAAAACAAATACTGTAAATACTTCCCTCTCTTCAATATACAGCCACAAAACTGAAACAGAAACAGAGGGAGATACAATAGTGTAAAACTGGTAAGACAAAAAGTAATCACTATGTCTATAATGGGCACACTCACAAGGATAGAGCCATAAAGTAACCTGGCTCTAGTCTGGATAGCAATAGGATCCTTAAGGGAGATCCAAATCCCACTCCAGTAGATGAGAAGGATGATGCAGGAACAATATCTACTTCAAAAGTAATAATTTATTCCAGAAATAAAAGAAAAACATAAAACAAAGTCCATATAATCACCAAAACGCGTTTCGCCAAATAGGCTTCCTCAGTTGGTGGATATTCATGTTTCAAATACATGTCCAGAATCTGTACATAGTCACTCTTTGTTTAAGTATCACTGATTTGGGTAATAGTGAATAATTTTTAATAGGGACACTCCAAAAAATCATAACCACCTTGTAAGACATTGCTGTTTTCTTTAAATGGCAGTCTAAGCTCCATAACTACTACATACCATTGTTCTGCATACGGTGCCAATAGGCTGCAGGCTAAGGAATGGTGCACCGAGCCAACTAGCAACACGATCACTACAACGGTATGTTTAATAACTACAAATATGTTTGAAGACAAAAAAATCCACCTTCTGTTTAATCACATAACTGGATGATGCTTTGCTTCCTTTGACTGAAAAGTAATTCGATAGGTGAGAGAATATGTGCCTAGTACAACATGTGTCTTTCACAGCACTACACCTGCAAGTAGAAAAAGCTAATTTGTTTCATGAGAGTAGGCAATACACGCTCACTCTGTACAAGTATTTGTATGGTCATATGAGGAAGCCTTCATCAAATAAGGGGATTTACCAGGGAGTGGATTTACTCTTTCTAAAATGTCCACATATAAATAGAAGTAATGGAAAGCTCTACAAGGTGAGAGGCCAGAGACATGCACCATAACCATTACAGTCTGCTTAACTGGTTATAGAGTTTAATAGATATTTATGTAAGTGCTAAAGGGTGCTTACTTTTAATTAATGCTCAGGAATGACATTTTATTGAAAGAGAAGAAAATCTAATCTTACAAATATAAAACACACAAAACTTTTGCTTTGAAATCAATGCGTTAACAAAAATCACATTCATAAAGATATGATTACATGTGCTTAATAGAGAAATACATAAAGCAGTCAATTTAATTTTCTTACAAACATATAATTATAGGAAGAGCTCAACTGAAAAATGGGTAGTAAGTATGTGGTATAAAAAGTACAGGGTGCTCTTTAAAGGACCACTCTAGGCACCCAGACCACTTCAGCTTAATGAAGTGGTCTGGGTGCCAGGTCCAGCTAGGGTTAACCCATTTTTTCATAAACATAGCAGAGAAACTGCTATGTTTATGAATGGGTTAAGCCTTCCCCCTAATCCTCTAGTGGCTGTCTCATTGACAGCCACTAGAGGCGCTTGCGTGCTTCTCACTGTGATTTTCATGCATTAAAGGACCACTATAGTGCCAGGAAAACATACTCGTTTTCCTTGCACTATAGTGCCCTGAGGGTGCCCCCACCCTCAGGGTCCCCCTCCCGCCCTGCTCTGGAAAGGAGAAAAGGGGTTAAACTTACCTTTTTCCAGCGCTGCGCGGGGAGCTCTCTGCCTCCGATCCTCCTCCATTCCTCCCCGTCGGCTGAATGCGCCTGCACGGCAAGAGCTGCGCGCGCATTCAGCCGGTCACATAGGAAAGCATTCATAATGCTTTCCTATGGACGCTTGCGTGCTCTCACTGTGAAAATCACAGTGAGAAGCACGCAAGCGCCTCTAGTGGCTGTCAATGAGACAGCCACTAGAGGATTAGGGGGAAAGCTTAACCCATTCATAATTATAGCAGTTTCTCTGAAACTGCTATAATTATGAAAAAATGGGTTAAGCCTAGAAGGACCTGGCACCCAGACCACTTCATTAAGCTGAAGTGGTCTGGGTGCCTAGAGTGGTCCTTTAATAAATTAATGTGGTTACAACCCCTGTCTGGCAATCAAATAATCGGTTAAAACCACTTCTTTCACTTACCTCAGTCCAGCGCCGATGTCCCTCAGTGCTGGCTTGGGCCAATGGATCGGATTTGTTGTTCCAGCACATTTCACAGATGCTCAATTGGATTGAGATCTGGGTAATTAGGAGGCCAAGGAAACAGCTTGAACCCTGTTATGTTTCTCAAACCATTCCTGAACAATTTTTGCAGTGTGGCAGGGTACATTATGCTGCTAAGATAGGCCAGAGCCATCAGGGAACACCATTGCCATGTAGGTGCACGTGGTCTGCAACAGTCTATAGGTAGGTGGTATGTATCAAAGTAACATCCACATGAATGCCAGGATCCAAGGTTTCCTAGTAAAACATTGCTCAGAGGTTTCCTAGTAAAACATTGCTCAGAGCCTGCCTTGCCAACCTGCCTTCTTCCCACAGTGCATCCTGCTGCCATCTCTTCCTCAGGTAAGCGATGCACACGGACCTGGTCATATACCTTACCTAAAAGAAAATGTGATTTATCAAGCCAGACAACCTTCTTCCATTGCTCTATGGTTCAGTTCCTACGCTCACCTCCCCACTGAAGGCACTTTCGGCAGTGGACAGGGGTCATCATGGGCACTGTGACTGGTCTGCGCCCCATACTTAGCAATTTGAGCTACAGTAGTTCTTCTGAGTGAGAGGCCCCCCACATGCACATACACTATCTTTGCCAACCTGCCTTCTTCGCACAGTGCATCCTGCTGCCATCTCTTCCTCAGGTAAGCGATGCACACGGACCTGGTCATATACCTTACCTAAAAGAAAATGTGATTTATCAGGCCAGACAACCTTCTTCCATTGCTCTATGGTTCAGTTCCTACGCTCACCTCCCCACTTAAGGCACTTTCGGCAGTGGACAGGGGTCATCATGGGCACTGTGACTGGTCTGCGCCCCATACTTAGCAATTTGAGCTACAGTAGTTCTTCTGAGTGAGAGGCCTCCCACATGCATCAATAAGCCTTGGGCACACATGACCCTGACCCCAATTCAGTGGTTGACTCCCCACCAAAGATGTTCTCAAGGACTGAGGGTAGTATTCACCAAACACTGCTTTTATTTTGCCAATGCAATATATTAAAATGTACAAAACAAAATACAATAAAATAAATAGAAAACAAGTTTTGTTCCATACAGGACTTCTTCAGTAACACAAAAATTAAATAACAAATAAACATAAAATAAAATAACATAAAATCTAAATTTCCAATCAGGGATAAAGCGACATGATGCTGGAGTCAGTGCCACCAGCCAATATAACAAAATGGGAGAAGGAGCTCAATATATGCAGATACCACAGGAAGAGTAGCAGAGAGGAGCGATCAATATACACAGGGTCTCCAAATGCATAAATCATTGGGAGACTAGCAGGAAAGTTCTATACTGTTGGTACCTGGCGCTAGCAAAACTAGCCCATATATACCTGGGAACGTCAGATGCATGCTTGTGGTGCAAGAGGCACAAAGGGACGATGCTTCACATATTCTGGAGTTGCTTCCTACTACAACCACTTTGGGCAGCAATAGCAAACCTCATAGCAAATGTCATCGGACAGGAGATCACTCCGACACCACATTGTCTCCTCCTCAACATGATCCCAGGTGCCCTCCCTTGAGACACACAGCAGTTAATCTTGCATATCCTAACTACAAAAAATTCCATAGACAAACATTGGAAAACAATGACAATCCCATGGCTTCAAATGGCAAAGAAAACCATCAAGCAGAAATTTTGAAGTAATGGCTCATAGATAACAGGGCACATGTACCGATTTTACCTCTGTCTGGGAGGGACAGATTGGACAACTACCAGAGAGACAAATTTTACCACATGACAGGAGGCTTCATATTTTGCATAACTTTCTTTACTGTAAACTACAGCAGCAAAGGTCAATCAAGTTTAAACCAATCAGAACAAAAGAAACATAGCATATATATGGCAGTGTGATCTAGACTCTTCCTCTTTCTTTGCTGCTCCTGCTGCAACAGGTCAAAGTATATCCTCTGAGTACAATTGCTGTCTTTTGTTTTTGGCGTATTTCATTTTTTCCTATTATATTTTCCTAGTCCTGCCTTTCCTGTCTTCTACTATTGGCCAGGCCTCTGTTTATATATGACTATAATATCTCTGTTAACCTATTTTTATGCTAAAGAGTTCTGTTATCCTGCTCTGGCACTGTGGAGCTGCCTCTATGCTCTCTTTTGGGCCTCCACAGGCAAAAACGCAGCAATTGCAAAGAGGAATTCATCTATGCATGTTTCCCTTCCCAAGCCAGATTACAAACGACTGGCTAACACTTGTCCCCTCTTCCGTAGGACAACAACACTCCATCAGGAGTGATTCCCCAATCCAATCACAGGACTTCCAGTCCGTAACAAATGCTGCAGTTGCAGCGTCGATGGAGAATGCACTCTTCAAAATCCTCACCCAATTTCTTGCGATATCTACTCATGCTGTGGGCCTGACGCCTCCGTGTAATGACGACACTGTGGGCTCTGAAGTATCCAACACCAACACTCCACCCGCACAAAATGACACAAAAAGGCATCACACCATTGCCTGCCAAGGCTGAAGGTAAAGCAATTGCTAAATTCCCCAAATGACTAGCGGTATCAGGACCATCCTCTAAATTCTCTTAAGAAGAAGATGATTATGCCACTGCTGGCCTTGACATCTTGGACAAATAGCAGGCTGACGACTCAGTATCAGAGGGCAAAGATGACTGGCTGGACCTTCCGGCCATAGATTCTAAATACCTCAAAGAATGGTATGTTGGCGGTCCCTTTAAACAAGGGAAAACTCAGGCCCAGGCCTCCCAAGAAACGGAAGTACTGTTTCTGGACACTCAGGTATGCCTCATGTTTGACCAGAGGACCATATGACATGGTCAACAGCCTCCTGTTTGGCAATGCAGAGCTAACAAAAAGGACGCCTTGCTCTTCACTACCTTGAACAAGGACCAAACATCCATGAGGCAAATGTTGTGCACAATCGCATCAAAAGGTGTTTTGGGGAGGGCTGTTCCGAAGAGGTCAAGCCACCAGCGGTTTCTGGCCAGGCCTCATCCACCATCAACCAACTTTTTCCCGACATCCTTGTCCTAGGCTCTTTCTCCTACAGCAGAACGGACAAGTCAAGAGGATCCCATGGCAAAGGTCGAGGACGCTTTCCCTCAGATGGGTTCCTCTCCATGTTACTACTCCAAAATTTGCACTGCAGGCAGATTGTTCCTTTTGTTGCAGAAATGGGAACAGATTTTTGTGGATGCCTGGATTCTACAGCTGGTGAGAGGTTAGGTCATTAAGTTCGTCTCGACTCCACACCAAAAACACCCCCCCCCCCCTCTACAGGTGTCCAAGGAAAACAATGCCCTTTTCGAAGAGGAGATATGGACACTTTTCAGCAAAGGCGCTGTACAACATAAACCGGATGACAGAGGTTATCTGTTTTAGGCAATTGGTGTGTATTTCTGTTTCCTCCATTGAGCATGGACCCCCAGTGGACGAGTCCGCTTAGGAGAGTGTGAACAACACTGACAGATAAACGTCCTTCAAGTCGAGGCGTGTGAACCTATTGTCATGTAGGAGCAGATCTCGTAAGAGATGGATACCTTCATCTTTAAATAATGGTATACCACTAAAAAGGATGTTGCTGAATATAAACCAGATGTCCGGTTTATATATAGCAACATCCTTTTAGTGGTATACCATTTAATGTAACATTAAAGATATAAAAACAATATGTATAACACAAGAGCTAATTTTCTTAGTAACCAGAAGCAACCTTTCCTTGGCATAATAGGCAGCAACCAATAGATCACTTCCTCTTTCTTGCAAACCCAAAGTGAAGAACAAGAAATATCCATAAACATGAAGCAAAATGAGTCCACCGAAGGACAATAACAATGGGCTCATACATTTGATCTCTAATTTAAGCTGGTAGAGAGAAACAATATGGTAATATCCAAGCCGTAATTGGATGCATACATAGTAATCATCTTACAAAATAGTTAACAACCACAAAATAAATCTAACTAGTATCTAAAATAAACTTGAGGATTAGCCCACATATGATAATGTATATACTCATCATGAAGGATTCACACTTACCATGAAGAAACGTACCCAGTCAAAAAATCATCTGGGAATGGGAGGGAGGGATAATACTTGCTTCCATGTCATTAATAAAATCATGACTTTAAGTAATGTAAATAGTAAAATCTGGAAATTTTATTAAGACATGGTGGCTCCTAGTATGCTAGTTTAAAGCTGTGAAATGACCGTTCCTGCAAAATGTTGAATTAGTTTAAAATAAAAATCTCGAAACGTAGATTCCGATGACCAGTCAGCAGCTCGTAAAATATCATCTAGTCGGCAGCTGACTCTAGAAGCTTTAGATGCTAAAGCGCCACACAGAATGTGGGGAGAATACAGAAGGATCAATGCTGGTTAATGTCATAATCCATCTGACCCATTTGACCAAAAAAGGAAAAAGATGAACAGTTGAGGCATCAGAGGATTCCGGAATGAAGCTGTACGAAATCTGTATTCCCGTAAGCAAAGTTGAGGCCTCTCTAGAAAAGCCGGGTAGAGTACAGACTTGGAAGAGGTCTTGGTCCTTCTAGAGATGTCAAAGAGGATGCCTTCCGGGAAAGAGCGTCCCTGTCAAGAGCTCGTACATCAGAGACTCTTTTGCATGAGATGAGACAAAAAAAGCATGACTAATTTTGCAGAAAGTTGTTTGAGAGATAACGAAACATTATCTGGTCCTGACTCCAGAAATCTGAGGACAAGAGAAACGTGAAAAAGTGAAGACTAACGTGGTAATGGTGGGCGATAAAAAAGGAACCTGCATAGGATTCAACAGACAGAGGGGTGTCGTCCCATAGGGACACCATAGACGCCCAGGTGTCAGTCAGAGAGCACAGAGTGGTAAAGGTTAACCGTGCGATACACTTTCCCTGCCTAAAAAAAAAAGTAAATAATTGCAACATGGATGTTAAAAGGAACCAATAAGAGATCTCTTCCAAGGCACCAACCATTCCATGCATTTCAAGCAGATTTATAAGCTTCTCTCGTGCTGGGTGCCCATGCATTCTCGAGAAGTCTGAGAGTTGAATGCGGAACACCAGAGATTGACCAAAGTCCCCAAAACCATAAGTCGTAGATTTAGCGGAGGATTAGTGGGTGAAATGGTCTGTCCGGGTCTTGGAGAAGAGAATCTCACAATGGGAGAAGGCGAGGAAATTCTATTGTCATTTCCAGGAGATGAGGGAACCACGGGTTGTGACAGCCATAGGTGGGTCACAAGCAACAACATGTCATGTTGGCGACAAAGCTGAAGTGGGCAACGAGGAAAAAGTGCAAACAAGGAAAAAGCATAGTTTGTCACTGGAGCCCAGTCTTGGGAAAAGGCGTTCGTCACCAGAGCTGTTGGGTCTGGGCTCCAGCTGAAATAGTGAGGGATTTGAGTATTCACTCAAGAGGCGAAGAGATCTATTCCCAAAGGCCCCAAATGACGATTTTTTTTTTGAATATCAAAGGGTCCAGACGTCAATCGCTGAAGTCTTTGAGATGACGGGAATACCAATATGTTGGGGTGTTGGAGAGGCCGGTAATATATTCCGCTGTCACCGAGATGTTCTGCAAAATTGCCATCTTCGCCAGAACTTTGGACTTCATGCGTCCCAGATGGTTGATTTATCTGACCGCTGAAACATTGCACATTTTCACTAGAATTGTGCATTGAGAATGAGTTGGTGATAGACTGCGTACAGCAAAGGATCCAGCCAGAAGCCATAAGTTCTAGTCAATTGATATGTGGCGTTCATTCTAGGTCTGACCATCTGCCTCCTGTGGAGGTATCTCTACAACGTGCATCCCAACCTTGTAAGCTTGCATCTGATTCTATGATCAGGTCTGGGGATGTTCCAAATATATAGCGTGTCCAGTCCAGGCTTCCATGTAAAGAAGCCACCAATGAAGCTCGTCTTTCGCTTCTTTGGCTAACTTCACCATGTCTTCGTAAGATGCCCCGCTTTTGAAGAGGCTGGTAGCCATTAAAGACCCCAGTAATGGAAAGGACCCGGGAATATGGCCTGGATTGAAGTCGCTGGGAGCCCAATGACTTTTGCCAAGTATTTGAGGGAGAACTGCGGAACGGTCAATGTGCATCTGATTTCCTTTTTGATATTTAGTAGTTTTGATGCTGGTAGATGTAGAGGCTGAAGAGTTAAATCTATTTTTAATACCAGGAATTCAATACATTGAGAAGGTATCATAATGGATTTTTCCTAATTGATAAGGAAACCCAGGTTTTTTAACATCAGAGTCCACCTCAGGTGTGTGTGGAGAAGGATGCTTGACTGAGCTAGATTGAGTATATCATCCAGATAGATGATAAGCCAAATGCCTCGACTCCTTGGCAGAGCACCCACAGGTTTCATGATCCTGGTGAAACACCACAGAGCCAAAAACAGGCAGAATGGTAGGCACCTGAATTTCCATTTCCGTCATTACCATGTGAACTGAAGAAAATTTTGATGTTGATCTGCTATAGGGACTGTGAGGTAAGCGTCCTGTAAGTCTCATTTGGCCATCTAGTCTGCTGGCTGGAGTAAGTTGCGTAGACAATGTAGGCCTTCCATCTTGAAATAGTGGTAGGACACATAACCGTTCAACTGTTTTAAAGTTTATGACTGGTCTCACCCCTTCACCTTTTTTGGGTACTACAAAGAGATTGACATAACCCGGGGTATGGGTCAGAATCTCTATGATGGCTTGTTTGCGCATCAATTCTTGATTTTCCTTGGTTAAAACCCCTTCAGCCACTTACCTTTCCCCAGCGCCGGGCTTCCTCTGTACTGGGAAACTCTCCACCCCCTGCTGACGTCAGATCCAAATGCACATGCGCGGCCAGAGCCACGCGCGCATTCATTCAAACCGCTCATAGGAAAGCATTACTCAATGCTTTCCTCAGGACGTCCAGCGTCTTCTCACTGTGATTTTTTTTTTTCAGGGAGACAGCCACTAGAACAGGGGTAGTCAACCTTTTTATACCTACCGCCCACCAATGCATCTTTCTGGATGGAAAAATTTCCTTACCACCCACCAGTGCTGCAGTAACTCAAATTTTTTAGTGCAAGTTTTTAGAAAGGAGGGTTTTTAAAATAATATGTACTTAAATTTATCTTTTTATTTCTATTTTATGCATGTTTATAATGTTTTTAACGTTATGAAGTAAAATGTGAAAACAATAAAGTAAAAAGAAATTACCGTATTTATCGGCGTATAACACGCACCGGCGTATAACACGCACCTCATTTTAAGAGGGAAATTTCAGGGAAAAAAAACTTAAAGGACTTTTCTTTTCACCTCAACTTCAGAAATTAGGAGATCAAATTAGAAAAGGCTGAGACAGCAACTGAGCTTCAAAAGGTGACGGTAGATCTGCTGAATAACGCGATGGAAACACAATTTATAAAGATTAAAAATGAAATACAACGCTTTTCAGAAGAGTTTTACAAAGATCTACTTAAAGGACCACTATAGGCACCCAGACCACTTCAGCTCAATGAAGTGGTCTGGGTGCCAGGTCACTCTAGTTTTAACCCTGCAACTGAAAACATAGCAGTTTCAGAGAAACTGCTATGTTTCACTTAGGGTTAATTCAGCCTCTAGTGCATGGGTCGTCAACCTGGTCCCTATCGCCCACTAGGGGGCGTTTCAGGATTCCAGGTGGGCGGTAGGGGTTTCGACGGCACAACAAGCTAAAATGCTAAATCCTCCTTTTGAGAGAGTGGGCGGGCGCGAGTGCGCGGAACAGGAGTTTCTGTTTCCTGTACCCGGTCGGACTGACAGGAAGGTGCACACTGAGCGTGCACCTTCCTATCACTCCGGCCGGCCACCGCGGACGGCAGAGCGGCTCGGCCGCGCTACAGGGGAGGTGAGTACCAACTGCAGCCGCCTGAACACTCTTGACAGAGCGCTCAGGCGGCTGCAGCATTTAAAGGGCCGGCGTATAACACGCACCCACGATTTCTCCCCTATTTTCAGGGAGAAAAGGTGCGTGTTATACGCCGATAAATACGGTACTTTTAACTGGTGATTAATGAGATCCTTGAGGCTGATGCTGCGAGACTAAATATTTTATATCTGGTTCGATTTTTGTAAGGAACAAACGAAGGTCTCCTCTTTCGGTGATATTCAGACGGTTTCTATGTTTGCTCATAATATGATTAACAGCACCAAGGCCTGATTCTACAAGATATGTGGTAGGGAAAGGTATCAATAAATTGAATATAATTTTCCACATATTTGGATATAACGCAGGCATTTTTTTTTTTTTTTGCCAGAGTTTTTGGTATCCACCACTGCCAAAATTAAATTTACTCTCTTCATCATATTTAAGTTCTAATAGTTCTTCTTGGCAAGTTATATCAAACTCAGCAACATTTGCTGTAAATGAATTTATCATCCAGTCATGCACCTTTAAGTTCAAAATATCTTGAAATCGTTTTTCCATATCCAATTTGAGTTTGTTGAGGTGGCTACTGAAACTTTCAATATCCCCCAGAGTTACATCATTGTTTATAGAGGACAATTCAGGAAACTGATGAAATTCTCTCTTGAAAATATTATGATGGAGATCAACCTTTGTGATAAATAATGACACAATATTTTTGCAACTTATAAGAGTTATATTGGCTCCTTGAAGCTGCAAATTAATTTCATTAAATCTCTTGAAAATGTCTGCCAAATAAAAGGCATCATTCTTTACGGTTTTTAACTGTTCATAGAGACCAGCCTCATTATCACTTTCAAAAAAACTGTATGACACTATCAAATAATGCAACAAAACGAGACAAGCATGTACCCTTTGAGAGCCATCGAACTTCTGTGTGTCAAAGTAACCTAATAAACTGCTCGTTATTGTCTTGGAACAGCTGTCAAAACATTCTATCACATTTGGCATTAGATTTGATCTTATTTACAGCTTTAATTATTATACTTAATGATGAATGGAGACTTGTACTTAAATGTTTTCCTACAATATGTTGTATGTGCACAACACAATGAATACACAAAACGTTTGGCACGTCTTCCTTCAAGTAAGCAACAAACCCACGATAGCGGCCTACCATTGATGGTGCTCCATCAGTAGCACATGCAACAATATTGTTCAAGGGTATATTATTTTTTGCAAAGTATGATTTCACAGCATTAAATATTGATAATGCTGTAATCAGATTGACATTGAATAGCATTTCTTCTTGCAATGTATTGTTTTCATCACGGTACCGTACATATGTTATCAGTAGAGCATTATTATCTGCAATGACAGACTCATCCAGTTGTATGGAAAATTAAGAATTTTGGAGAATACCAATAAGTTTATTTTCAACATTAGCCGCCATTTCGTCAATGCGTCTCTTTACTGTGTGATCACTAAGGGGCAATGTTTTTAAAACTTCAGGTATATCCTGATGCATTACTGTTGAGATTAAATTCTCTAATAGAGGGTATTATCAAAGTTTCTCCAATATTATGGCTTTTACCACTTTTTGAAATTAAGTGTGATATACGATCCTCATTCTTTGCATGTTGTTTTTGAAATAATGCAGCTTTTGTTGAACGATTTTGAAATCTTTTATAGATTTCTTGAAAATATTCACTGGGCTTATCTTTATCTTGCTTTGTAGCAAGATGTTCTCGCAACCGACTTGGCTTCATTGCTTCATTAGATAATGTCTTGTAGCACAGTAAACACATTGGAAGCTGTTTATTTGTAACAGATTCTATGAAACCCATCTTCAGATACTCTGTTAAATAGCCATGAGCATATTTCTTTTTTTTCAGACATGGGTTCTACATTTGTTTCACAATTTAACAACTTCTTTTACTCTTACGTTTTGATCTGCACTCCACACAGTGCTTTTTTCCCTCCTCTTTTCCCTTTTATTACAAACACCAAAACAAATGCTGTATAGGGTGCCAATTTTTATTACGTGTCACCATAAAAAGAAATCCCCCCCCCCCCTTTTTTCTACTTTTCCTGCCTTCTTCTTCTTTACCTTCCTTATATTATATCAATATATCAGGGGTCTCTTTTTCCCTTTCTATTTATTCTCTCCTTCTCCTTCCTTTACTTATTTTCCTTCTTTCTTTTATTTTATAAGATAACAAAACTTAACTTATGAGCCAGTCTAAACACTGCTTACTCTCCTCCTTTATTTTATCCCCTTTTTCTATTTTTCTTCCCTTTTTTAATTTTTTTGATCTTTTCCTTTTTATCTCCTTTTTTTATGCTTTTCTTTTACCTTCCTTATGGCAATGTACCAAAGTAAGGCTGAGCTAGTTAGCCCACTTATTATTATTAGCCAACAACAATTCTCTCCTTGTCCTGCCTATAACTTTTCTTTCTCCTATTTTACAACTGCTCTGCTCCACTTCTGCCTGTCCCTGCTATCGTGCATCAGCTCCCACTCCTCACCTTCCTCTTCCCATGTGTTACACTGTATTGCACGTGCATGCATACGTTCGCTTGTTTGCGCTCATGCATTCTCATGTTTGCACGAGTTTGCGCGCGTTCGTACTTTCATGTGCGCACTCTCGCCCGCCCACTCTCTCAAAAGGAGGATTTAGCGTTTTAGCTTGTTGTGCCGTCGAAACCCCTACCGCCCACCTGGAATCCTGAAACGCCCACTAGTGGGCGGTAGGGACCAGGTTGACGACCCATGCACTAGAGGCTGAATTAACCCTAAGTGAAACATAGCAGTTTCTCTGAAACTGCTATGTTTTCAGTTGCAGGGTTAAAACTAGAGTGACCTGGCACCCAGACCACTTCATTGAGCTGAAGTGGTCTGGGTGCCTATAGTGGTCCTTTAAGTAGATCTTTGTAAAACTCTTCTGAAAAGCGTTGTATTTCATTTTTAATCTTTATAAATTGTGTTTCCATCGCGTTATTCAGCAGATCTACCGTCACCTTTTGAAGCTCAGTTGCTGTCTCAGCCTTTTCTAATTTGATCTCCTAATTTCTGAAGTTGAGGTGAAAAGAAAAATAAACGTTTCTCCAGGGGTTAATTTCTGTTCGCTGTTTTATTTTGGTAGTTTTATTTTCTTGTGTTTTTCTAGTCGCCATATTATATCATTAGATATGAGACAGTGGAAAAAACAAAACAAACAAAAAAGAAAAAAGAGGAAAAAAAAAAAACAGTGACCAGAGTATGTACAGTCTATTTGCTTTGTATCCTGCAAATCTCCAATCCTATAGCGTTCTACAGACGTACTCCTTCTTCCACCCCTTAACCACTTTTGTTAACCTGTTAGTTTCCTAGTGTTATTTTTCTCCTTTTCATTTTTTTCCTTTTCCCTCCCCCTTTTATTCCTCTTTCTTTTTCCTTTCCTCTCTTTACCTTCTATCCATTTTCTCCTTCCTTTTTCCCTTATATTCTGTCCTTTCTTTACAGGAATAATTATAAATTCCTAAATATTATATTCATATAACAAGCTGACCAAGGGAGTAAAGAGGACCAAAGTTTGGGAAAGCAAGAAATAGGCTCAGTAGAATTCTGTGAAGCATACACAATAGGGAAACTTGGCAATTTGATTCTGTTTGTTTTTCTCTCTCTCCTTTTATCTTCCCTCTTTTTTTTGTTAAAGAGCTTTTAGCTCACTCACGTGTCCCCAGGACAAGGCAGGGGAACCCCCTTCTCAGATTCTGGTCTGTAGCGTCCTCCACGAGTCTCTACTCCCACACCAAACGACACACAAACAGACCTCAGCAACAGCCCCCAGGATCTGCAGTTCTCCGGCCACTCCACTCAGCACTTCCGGATCCCACAGCCCCCGGGTCCACACGGCAACCCCGCTGCCCAGCTCACAGGGCTCCTACAGAGTACAGTATACTCGATCCAGTCAATGTACCTGATGCACCTCCATCGGCAAAAATCCATAGCCTTCTCCCTCCATTGTCCCTCACCTAACTTCTAAAACCCGCGAGTGTAGCGGAGTGCTACGTCATCGCTCCACGCCCCCAGCAATATTATTGAAAAATTAATGCAATAATAACAACAACAATGAAATCACAATAAGATAATAGTAATATACATATATCTATCCCACGGTTAAAAAATGCATGGGATCAGTGTATTTAACTGATGGAGCAGCAAAGAAAGAGGAAGTGATCTATTGGTTACCGCCTATTATGCCAAGGAAAAGTTGCTGATTGGCTGTTCTTGTTACTAGGAAGATTACCTCTTGTGTTATACATATTTTTAAAAAATATTTTTAATATTAAATTCCTTTGCTGCTGAGGGAAATAAAGAAAGAGCGCAGCATAATCGGAGCCACGTGTCTTAATAAAATTAAGGTTTGCACAGCAGAACTATAGCAAGACAACAGGTAAACTCAATGCGATAGTCAAGATGTTGAAACCTCTCCCTTTTATCTACAGGGTTCTTAGAAGCATGCTGTTTCGAGTGACCTCACGGCTAACAAATCGGATAAAATGTGTACTAAGTGGCAATTCTGATGAAACTGTGAACTGTATTGATATGCTATGTAACCTGTATGAAATCTTCCATAAAAAAAATTATTAAAATCTGAATTCTGGTTAATTAAAATCCATTGCAGAGTTACTGTAAGCACCATGACCACTTCACTGATTTTAAATATTCAAGATGCCTGGAGCTGTACATCCATACAGCGTGCAAGTTTGTCGCCCAACGACGGCCCCCAGTGCCACTCTTTTTCCACTCGGCGGAGTGACATCCACCGTTGAGGTGGGCTGCAGGGAGACCTTGGCCATGGATTAAGGTGAGTTTTAGCTTTATTTTATTTGTTAAATAGGGGGAGAAGCAGACAAGCACACCAAGTGCTGCTCTAGCCAAAATCACAATTCTCCAACTCAGTTACAGTCACAGCATGACTTTATAACCATAGCCATTGGACTGCATTACACTAACACACTGCCAGCACTGCTACTGCTGGTAACACGTGCGGCGCAATGCCTGCCGGGACAGCTCCAGCACGCGATTCAACGTCTCGGTGACGGAAACACAATAACGGCCAGCGCGCGCCCCCTGCAAGCATTGCAACCCAACCCCGATAGGAACGCACCTTGTCTGCCCACTTGGCCATTGTGACGCCCCCTCCCCTCCCATTGATGTTCCTGCACAATCTAACACGACCGGATCACTCCACCACTAGCACCTGTATAGGGAGGCGGGAGTGATATTTCCCCCCCCATCTGTCTCAATTCACATATACAGCAATTCACACAGCGCTGATAAACTATAACTTATATACAGCGAACTTCTACTCACCGGTCTCCTGCAAAATACGCCTGGTCCTTCGATTGGAATCGACTCCCCCCTTCCTGTATTGAGAGTGGTACGGTCCACTTGGGGTGATTACTGCGCATGCGCAGCGCGCTCTCCTCACTAAGACGTTAGAGCGGGTGAGGTACACAAAATGGCGTCCACCGGTGAGTAACGGACTCTCTGCTCGGAGTTACATTAATATCTCCCAGTGTGTATCGGGCTGTGACCAGGTTTTTGCGGTCCTGTGGTTGGGCGGTTTCGGTGCTTGGTATTTATTTTATTATGAGTTCCCCTGTTTCTAGCTCGCTCTGTCTCGGGTCACATCCTGTGTGCTAGGCCGCAGCACGATCCCATTCACACTGTGAGCCCAGGGCCGCAGTTACCGGAGGTAGCGCTGTGTGACTATAGCCTGTAATATTTAACCGGCCGGCTTCCATGGAGCAGCCCGCATACAGCCCAGGTATTGTATTGGCTCACAATGGCAGTATCTGCGTGTTGTAGGCTGGAGAGCTACACGTGCTCTCTGTCTGTTTATAGAGAGAGATATTGAAGACTGTTAGAGGCTTGTAATGCGTAACCTTGGGGGCTACACGTGTTGGATGTTTCCCTATTATGCCTAGCCTGCCATTTTGAAATTGTCCTTCTGAAACCAACCGTTGAGGTAGCAATGTTCAGGCCTGTGATATGTTTTGGATGGAATATATAATGCTAATATCTTCTGAAACAAATTGAATCCAGCCTTAATATCATTTAGCATCAAGATGGAGATGCAAGGTATTAATCGTGGCAGGATGAGTCCTAAAATACTATTTTGTGTTCCTTGACTTTTTTTAGTCTGGATACGTAATGTTGTTTTTTGGTTTTTGTTTTTTTTTTGATGCGTGTTTCCTCTGGCTGGTATTCTTATTTTACCCAGACAGAACAGTATTTCATGTTGATAGCCATGTAAGCTGAAAAAGACTTTCAGAAATTCACATAAGTCTTATTGCTGATGATCCCAAAGAAGACACACATAGATGCAATTTCTAACTTTGTCCTATGTAGGGGGTGGGGTGGGTAATATACTCCTAGAATCCAAAGTGGCAAACAGATTGTGAACTCTTATACCATTGAATATATTTTGAGAAAAATCTGTTATATACAGATGTTTAGTGTATTGTATAACATTTATATGCTGCTAACCCTTGATGTGTTTTTTTTTTACCTTCTTCAAACCAGGAGTGAGTGATCTCTTTTCTGTGGCTAGATACCAAAGTAGAGATAGTTGAGTTCAGTTTGTATCTGCCATGAAACGTAAAATTTCAGAGTTTTATCTGAACATGCTTAAGTTTGTGTGTGTATGTATATATGTGTGTGTATAATATAAAAATTTTCTATATAACTTCATATTCACACACACTTTTCTTCACCAGCGGAAGTATTTTACTTGGCTTTTTTGATCAAATAAAATCGCCAACGGCTCATATTTAACAGAAAAACTTTCATCAGGCCGTTATTGTGAATTGATGGAGTGTGGGATACTGGAAATAAAGAGATACATGCACACACTTTGCACAACAGTTAGATTTGCTTTGTTCAAACGTACATGCATTCTGTTCACGCACTTTGTGCTATGTGCTGAAAACAGCAAATCATACTTGTGCTATTCATTGGTATCGGACACAACGTAAGGGGGATGTGCCAGCTCTTTATGCATTGCATCAATAATGCATTATGAGATATAGGCATTAAACCATGTCATTTTCAGTTAGTGCCCTGGGTCATTTGCTGTGAGAGGGGGGATGTAACTATAAATAGGACGATTACAAATAAACTTACAGGAACAATAGGTTGAAGAGGACCCTGCTCAAACAAGCTTAGTGTATAGGAGATGGGGTATAAGACACGTGAGGACAGGAATATGGACATGATCTTAATCTGTCCAAATGTTAAGATGAATCTTGTATAGCCGTATTGAAATTTGCTTTGTGAATAACTTCTAGAAAACGAATGGTTCTCATTCAGAAATATGTACATTTTGCTTGCCGCTAATGAGTATGTATTTTATTAGTGTGCATTTTTAAAAAAAGTCTTTACAAAACTGCATATCTCCTCTCCCCCCACCCCCATCATTTTTCTTTACTTTTTTTGCACACTCAATGTTGGTCAGCAATTTTAATAGTCAGCGTTTTTGTTTTCTTAAAGTTCAAAGGTTAACTGACCAACTGAAAAGAAAGGGTTTTGTTCCAGAGATTACACCACTGTAACTCCACTCAAACTGCTAGTTTTCATGTGTTCTTTGTAGTTTTGTTGGCTGACAGTTTGTGTAGGCTAAAGGAACCCTATTGTGGCATATTCATTGCATTGTGCGCTATTAGCATTGTATATAATGAGGATAACAGTGTATCCGGTCCCCCTACCTGCTGCTCACATCTGTTAGCCATGCATGGTACCTCTTCTTCATGACTCTGAAAAGTTGACTGCCTTGCCTGCAAGTCTTCTTCAGAACTGACATCTGAAAGATACTTGATGAAATATAGCAGCAACTACAGAACCCAATGCTGTAAATGCTCTGATGGCGAGCCATAGCAATTTCTGTAGGAGATTTCTCTTGCCCTTCCTGATCCTTGATTCTCAGCAGAAGTATAACGACTTGTAAAAATTGATTAGATGCTGACAGGGTAATATTTATGATTCTGTAAGAACATGTTTTTTTAGTGCACTATATAGATTTCATTTTGTGGTATATCCTTTTAGTGATTGCTCTAATCCCTTAACTTTGTTATTAAGGAGCATGGATCTGGTCTATGCAGATTTTCAACATGAAATGCTTCTTGTTCAGAGAGATCTTGTATAATTATAGCTCTTGTCAGTGGGAAGGGCCTGTAATGGTCTTTATCGCATATACGAAATTGCCAATGGTTTGACTTCAATAGGAACACAGCCTTCATCATTTTCCTAAGAAAGCAGCAGTGGAGTTTGTCACCCAATTAAAGAACATATCCTGCAGGTTGACAAGTGATTTGTGCGTTTTACCTCTTATTTTACTGTAAAGTATTTTAATATTCATGAATTAAAACAGAAAATATGTATTTTATGAATGTTAAAGCATGCTCCTTTAATATATCATATATCAAATGTAACATTTAGTTTTTAAAATGTCATGTTTTAATTTTTCTTTTTAGATTACAGCACCTACAGCCAGGCTGGAGCCCAGCAAAGGTGAGATGTACATTTTGTCATAAGACATTGAAATGTTTTTAGTTACAAGTTTGCTATATTGTCAGATTTGACCTATGGTAGAGTATGTTTGCTTTTATTAGTTAAGTTTTTTTTATTATTTATATATTTAAAAAACTTTTTTTTTTCTCTACATACAGTTATGGTGCATATGCTGCCCAGCCAGCGCAAGGATATACACAGACTGCCCAGGTAAGAGTTTTTCATGCATTCAAACAAAACATGTTATAAGTCCCAAAACATAGTTTGGTTATGAATTAACCATTTCTGTGAGGGTTTTCAGGTTAAAAAAAAAAAAATTCTCTTCCCTGTTACATTGCAGGGATATTTGAGATAGTTAAAGGAACACTATAGGGTTAGGTACACAAATGCATTCCTGACCCTATAGTGTTAAAATCACCATCACCCCCTTACCCCCAGTAAAATCTTACTTTTGTTCATCTGCACTTGCTTGCTTTGCCTGCTTGGCTAACATCAGAAGTGCAGTTCTGAGCCAATCACAGCGCTTTCCCATAGGATTGGATTAGACTGTCAAGGAGGTAGATAAGGGGCAGAGCCAGCACAAACTTGGGCAATCAGCATCTTTATAGAGCTGCATTAAATCAATGCATCTGAGGAAAGTTCAGTGTCTACATGCAGTGGGTGGAGACACCAAATGGCAGTGATGCTCACTGTGCAGCACTGCACCAGGAAGCACCTCTAGAAGCCATATGAGCAGTGGCGTTATCCCTAGGCTATAATGTAAACACTGCATTTTTATTTTTTGGGTGGAGTGCTATTGTCTTGATAAAACACAATGTAGGAACTATTTTTTATTTTTTTTTCCCTTCCGTATAGCAGTCAAGTTGACAAGTTTAAAATGTGTGGCGTTTAAAGTAAGGGTCTGTCTTACTTGCAAATAAAATATACCCGCAATTAATTAATAAAAGCAATCCCACAGAAGGACAAACAACATTCATACTAGGCAGAGAAGAACAAAATGGCTGCAATACAGCACAAGGAAGATGAAGGCAGGTGTTAAGGAATGGGGTTATAATAAAGATTACAGGGGACATAATGAGAACCTAAAGACAGATGGGACTCCTTTCAGAATACCATATGTAGTTTTTGGGAATTACCAATACCCCTTTCTTGGCATTTGGATGCTTTTTGCTTGACATGTTTCCTCTTTGCATTTGTGTATGTGCTACTTAGGGGTTTCATTGTATATCATTTTGTAAAGTTACTACAATGTGTGTGTGTGTATGTATGTGTATATATATATATATATATATATATATATATATATATATATATATATATATATATATATATATATATATATATATATATATATTATATATATACACACCTATGCAAATTGAAGTGTTTATATAGTGGTTGTTTCCTATTTCCAGGCGAGCTATGGGCAGCAAAGTTATGGAACCTATGCCCAACCCACTGACTCCAGCTACACACAGGCACAAGCAACAGCAGCATATGGCCAGTCTTATGCAGCATCATATGGTCAACCACCAGCTGGTAAGATGGTAGCAGCTAACTATTGATATGTATTAATTAGGTTTTCAAGTTAGTGGAAACTTTCTGTAACATTAAAAATATTAATCTGACATTTTCATTATTTAGAACACACTTAGTCATAGGAGGACCGGTTACATTTGTGTACAGTTGTAATTTGCCCTCTGGATTTCCTTTTCTGCATTGTGCTTACAGTAGAAAAGACCAGCACAGGTTTGCTTAATGCATGAGTTTAAGCCTTGGGTTCTCTCTAATTTCTTGTTTTAGCATGCCATCTTTAACCCTTTAAGGACACATGACGTGTGACATGTCATGATTCCCTTTTATTCCAGAAGTTTGGTCCTTAAGGGGTTAAAGCAACCGTGCAAACAGATTGCAGTCCTTTTTTTTTTTTTTTTGAAATGTTGCCATGTTTTTATTGAACACACCATGTAAACATTCACAGTGCAGTTGGAAAAAGTATGTGAACCCTTGTATCCAATAACTGGTTGAACCTCCTTTGGCAGCAATAACTTCAACCAAACGTTTCCTGTAGTTGCAGATCAGACGTGCACAACGGTCAGGAGTAATTCTTGACCATTCCTCTTTACAGAACTGTTTCAGTTGTGAATCGCTCTCTTTTTTATTTTTTTTTTATTTTTTTTAATTCTTTATTTTTGGTTGTGCAAGGATACAGAACATCGTATGATACCATAACAGCATACATGTGCACTATTAAATACATTGAATCACAAACAAAGCATTGAAAGAGCTGCACCCCTTGGAGGCGCGAGCAGTATCGGCCAGCGAATAGAGGTGTCAGGGGTATGACCACTTACAGCCTCAAATTCGGATAACACCCTAGGACCCCCTGCCTCACCCCAGTGACGTGGCTACCCACTACGGACCGTGTGCTAAATACTCCTTATTGTCTGTACCAATCTCCTGGGGTCGTCCTCTTGTGGGAGGGCTGAGTGGTCCCCGGTGGAAGGCGTCTCCTGCCGGGTGTTGAGGGTCGGTTTACTTGTCGTTTAGGTCTCCCTAACACCTCAGGTGGGGTTTGGCAGTGAATTTATGTGTCTGCTTGGGTGGGTCGTCAATTTATCAGACGGTTTCCAGTGTATTTATCAGTCGCATGGTCTGCTCAAGCCCTGGTGCCTGTAGCTTGGGCGGCTAATTCCAACCATGAACTGGTCATCTAAGGGGTTTAGTTAGTGTCTCCTTGTCCGGTGGGTTTCTCTCTACGGGTCGCTACTTGCCTACATTGGGTAATGTCAAGAAGGGCAGGTTGTAACCCGGAATTAGGGGTATTGTGCAAACCATTCGTGGTTGGAGTTCTATCCTGCCAGCAGCTGTTTTGTCTCAGAGAAGCTTCCCCGTGTCGCGTGCTATGGCACGCGCAAGGAGTAGCCGTAGCTAAGTGGGGGTACCATATTCCTATTGGGCACGGGGGGCCCTCCTGCTTGCCCACTGGCTCCCTTTACGGTTGGGTTCTTGCTAACACCTGCGTTTCTACTATTCCCCTCTCGCTCTCCATTATGTTGACCTTCAGATACCGGAACCAAGCACCGCAGCCCAACCTCAGTGGGGGGGGGGGGAGGGCAAAGGGGCAAAGCGAGCAGGGTGGGAAAGGGCGGTAGATGGGGGTTAGTGGGGGGGGGTGTAGAGAAAGAGGAAATCACTTACCACAGCCGGGGGCGGGGGGAACGTCCGTACCACCGCAACACTCGATCAGCGCTTGGAATAGTCATCCCATTTCTCCCAGGTCTTAAGGAAGAGTGGATAGGTGTCCCTCACCTGTACCGTCAGCTTGTCCATTAGGCACGCCTCCTTAATGTAGTGTATTACTCTGTCCATGAGGGGCATGTCCATCTGTAGCCAGGCCTGCGCGAGCGCCCTCCTGGCTGCCAAATTGATTTTATCTACTAATTTTTGTTACAGATTGCAGTCTTCTGTGGTCTCATGAAATTTCACTGCCTTAGCTATTGTAGCTGATCATTCACTATTAAATTAAGTTGTATAACTGGGTACTCTCTTGTCTCCATCTAAAAGTTAGAATTGGCTTGTCTTTTAGAATGTTACTGTAAGGTGTCTTGCACAAAGACATAATCTTTTTATTTATTATAATACATTGTGCCCGGCGATTAAATCTTTCTAAATTGTACTATAAAATACTACATAATTAGATGCTTATTGGTTCCCTCTCACGTTTCCTTATGTGACTACATGATTAGCATTGTGGGATTTTTTTTTTTTTAATGTAAACGGGGTTCATTCATGAGCCATCTTAAGCAGCTGTCTCTAAAAATATACTTTCTGATCTGCTTCATATTGCTGTGAATCAAGAAAACCTAGAGGGGGGGGGGAGGCCACTAATTGAAGCAGCAGAAGCTTCAGCTAAGTATAGATCAATATGCATTTGCAAGCGGATTCATGCAGTTTCCAACAGATGAGAAAACCAAAGGAAATTGCACCTAAATCAAGTATGGTTTTTGTGCTTGCCTTTCTCAATGAGGTTGTCTGGATGCCATGTCCCTGTAGTTTCAACACTGCAACTGAACATTCTGAAGGTACGGCAATGGTTACAGTGCAGTGTCTAAATGCCTCTAGTGGTTGTCCTACTGAAAAGCAGTGTAAATTATGCCTATTTTTATCAGTTGGCTTCAGACATCTGGCACTGCATAGCATATTGCTGTGAATGCACCCTAGTATCCCAAAGCTTTTCAGACGTTTCATTGATCGCTTGGTCAGCCATGGAAGCAAGACCAGCTGTGGAAAGGGCACCCTGGCCTGGGTGAAAAGGTAGGGCACGGAGCTAAGCTTAACGGCTAGAAGGCACTGTAGCATTCAAAATACAAATATGTAGCACTTAAGCGTTCCTTTAATGGCAAGTAACATTTTACTTCAACACTTGTGTGGGCTATGCATTACCACTGAATTGGATCATGTCCTTTACAGACAGCTGGCTGATAGATTTCTCAGATTTGTCTCTTGACCACCAAGATCAGATCCCATGTATTTAAATGTGATGTTCTAATTGGGAGGTGGGATTTCACACTTCATTATTTTGGGTAGTTTTTACTTTTCAATAAAAATGCATGACCTGTGCAAGTCTGAAACTGCTCTGTAAGTAATCTGCTTTAGTATTTTAACATGTCCTTCATCACGTTTGCCACCCAATATAAATTTTGTTCTTTGTCAATTCATTTGACCATGACTCACTCTCTAGGCACTGTAACAGCCTCATTTTATTGAAGTGGTTAGTCTAAACGGAAGGACGGCGCTAAGGAATTTCAGTGTTAAACTGTTTTTTTTTTTTTTTTATGTTTTAGTGGTGATCAAGAGCCCCACCAGCTCATTGCCTATGATGCTCAGCCTAATGTAGACTGTAGTGATTGACTCATTGTCAGCCGAACACGTTACTGGTATGAATTGGTTTGGCAGAGGAAGAGTGTAATCTCTGCCTTGGCTAAACCTCCAGTAAGTAGATGCATGCACTAGATGCATACTTGCAAGAACAGAATATTAAAGGATATAATCTTTCAATGTATGGTAATAACTGCTTGATCCAAGGATAAATCTGACTGCCATTCTGGGGTCAAGAAGGAATTTTTTTCCTAGCTTGTTGCAAAATTGTGCTTCAAACTGTTTGTTTTTTTTTTTTTTTTGCCTTCTTTTGGATCAACAGCAAAAAACAAATGTGAGGTAGGCTGAACTTGATGGACGCAAGTCTCTTTTCAGCCATGTAACTATGCAAGTAGCCAGGGACCTTCATTTGGTGGTAATCTGTCTTGAAAATGGTTCTATAGCCTGTTTTTAATGCAAATTATGCCTTTCCAGAGAAAAGGCAGTGTTACATTGGTGCAAAGTAACACCTCTAGTGGCAGTCACTTGGATGGCCATTCGAGGTGCCTCCTAGAGATGCATTCATTCAATGAATCTTAGGAGATGATTGGTGCAGTGTGGTGTTTTGCAGTTCATGCACAGTAGCCTACCAATGCCTTTTTTTTTTTATTTATTTATTTATTTTAACATTGAATTGGCAGAGATCACGTTTCATCTCATCCATGTAGGCAGAGCCAAGAGGGTGGATAATAGGTGAATAAAAACACATTTTCTATGTAATCTGAAGGCCTTTCACCTAAACAGCCACTTCAGCACTAAAGTGTTAGAATACATGTTTGTATTCCTGACACTAGTGTTACTTTAACACAGAATTGAGACTGCACCAATTGAGTGAAATAGCTAGTGCCAAGCATGTCCCTGTAAGCATTTTGTATTCATAAATTGGGGGTCAGAATTTTACAGATGCCATTTTTAAATATTTTGTGGTGGGTCTTTATATTACATATCACATACTAAAGAACATAATGTCTGTATCTATCTGGCATACAATACCTAGTTATCTGGTGTTTTGCTGTCACTTCTTTATAGTATGGCTCCCACAGCGTGTCACCTATAAAAGTTATTTATGTTAACAGGATACACTGCTCCAGCTGCTCCTCAAGCTTACAGTCAGCCTGTGCAAGCCTATGGATCGACAGGATATGATAGCACCACTGCAACCACCACCACCACTCAGACTTCCTATGCAGCACCATCTGCCTATGGATCACAGCCGGCATACCCTTCTTATGGACAGCAGACTGCCACCACTGCTCCTGCAAGGTAGTTATATTTACATTTACCATGCATCTCCAGCATAAATGGACCATTTTCCATCTAATCTGCTTAACAGAGGCAGGATTGAACAGTATTTTCAGGCAGTAGGTTAACTACAGTTTGATTTTGATTGGTACTTTGTTAATGTACATGAAGTGTAGAATATCCAATGTAGATTAAAGGACCACTATAGGCACCCAGACCACTTCAGCTCAAAGTGGTCTGGGTGCCAGGTCCATCTAGGATTAACCCTGCCTGCTGTAAGCATAGCAGTTTCAGAGAAACTGTTTACATATGCGTTCATCCAGCCTCTACTGGCTGTCTCATTGACAGCTGCTAGAGGTGCTTCCACGATTCTCACTGATTTTCAGTGAGAAGACGCCAGCGTCCATAGGAAAGCATTGAGAATGCTTGCTTTCCTGTGGACTGGCTGAATGCCATGCATTCAGCCAATGATGACCGAAGGAGGAGTCACCAGCGCCGAGGGAGCCCGGCGCTGGAGAAAGGGAAGTGTTTTTAGCCCCTTCCTCCCCCTTCAGCCTGGCGGGAGTGGGACCCTGGCACTATAGTGGTCCTTTAAGGGGGGGATAGTAAACAAAGGTTATCTTTTGTGTTGATAGGTTAAATATTCATATACAGTAATCTGAATTTAAAACTGCAGCTTTACATAGGTCATGTGAATTTTAGTATTCTATGTAAACAGTGTAATTTAAATTCCCAAACGGACCACCACTGCGGTCTAATTTTTTTTTTTTTTTTAATGCTATAGTGTTTGCTTTATTCAGATTCTGACAATCCCGTCCTCCCACCCCCTCATCTCAAAACTCAAGGTGGGTGCATATTACTTAAAGGACCACTATAGGTACACAGACCACTTCAGCTCAATGGAGTGGTCTGGATGCCAGGTCCCTCTAGTTTTAACCCTGCAACTGAAAACATAGCTCACTGTCTCACTGACAGCCGCTAGAGGTGCTTCTCACTGTGAAAATCAGTGAAGACGCTGACGTCCATAGGAAAGCATTGAGAAATGCTTTCCTATGTACTGTTTGAATGCGTGTGGCTCTTGCCGCGCATGCGCATTCGGTGCTGACATCGGAAGGAGGAGAGTTCCCCAGTGCTGGAGAAAGGTAAGTGTTTTACCCCCTTCAGCCCAGCAGGCCAGTGTTTGTGACTAAGTGGTTACTAAGAAAGACTGGGCTTACCCCACTTGTAATACCTTGGGTTGTCTAATTTTGCAAATGATATGCCATCATGGGGGTAATTCTCATTCCTGGGCTACCATACGCTCTCAAATGCAACATAACCAATCTGGCAAATTTCAATGTCAAAAAAATGAAATGCAAGCCTTATATGTGACTCTCTAACTTCCAAAACACCATAAAACCTGTACATGGAGGATACTGTTATTCTCGTGAGACTTAACTAAACACAAATATTAGTGTTTTAAAACCGTAAAACATATTGCAACCATAATATAGTCCATAAAAGTGCCGTTCGTTTGTCAAAAATACAAAAAAAGTCACTTTACTTAAAATATCGTAATACAATTTATCATTTTGGAACACTAATATTTGAGTTCAGCGAAGTCTCCCCAGTAAAACAGTACCCCCTATGTACAGGTTTTATGGTGTCTTGGAGAGTTAAAGGGTCAAATATAGTGCTTTCGAATTAAATTCTCTGCACTTTCTCCCTGTGTTGTCAGGCATGTCAATCAAATTTTAATTAAAGGACCACTCTAGGCACCCAGACCACTTCAGCTTAATGAAGTGGTCTGGGTGCCAGGTCCAGGTAGGGTTAACCCATTTTTTTTATAAACATAGCAGTTTCAGAGAAACTATGTTTATGAATGGGTTAAGCCTTCCCCCTAATCCTCTAGTGGCTGTCTCATTGACAGCCACTAGAGGCGCTTGCGTGCTTATCACTGATTTTCACAGTGAGAGCGCGCAAGCGTCCATAGGAAAGCATTATAAATGCTTTCCTATGCGACGGGCTTAATGCGCGCGCAGCTCTTGCCGCGCGTGCGCATTCAGCCCAGGAGGAGGAGAGGAGAGCTCTCTGCCCAGCGCTGGAAAAAGGTTATTTTTTTTTTTTTTAAAACCCTTTCCCCCTTCCAGAGCCGGGCGGGAGGGGGTCCCTGAGGGTGGGGGCACCCTCATGGCACTATAGTGCCAGGAAAACAAGTGTTTTCCTGGCACTATAGTGGTCCTTTAATCAAATAACATAATTATGTTAAAAGATTACTTAAATATACACGTAGAATTTTAATATATATGTATTTATAGGTATTTAAATTGTGTATACTAATGTAATTTTTTATGTAATTAGTATTTATGTGTGTGTATATATATATTCATTCGAAGTGTATTTTGTTACCTATATATTAACAAAATACAGTTAGAATGAAATTACATATGAATATATAATTTATATTTTTGTTTCAATGTTTTATTTTATTGTAATAAGTGTGTGTATATATAGAATATATGTATATATCTATATATAACGTCATTCTAAGTGTGTTTTAATACTAATATATGTACTTATATTATTAAAATACACTTATGTATGATGTTACATATATGTAGATATATAGGTGTGTGTGTGTGTGTATGTATATATGTGTGTATATATATGTATACACACACTATTATATTAATTTTACACATGTTTGTTTTTTTGTTTTTTACTTTCCCACCAGCAGGGGGACTGTCTGACATTTGGTATACAGATCCACAGCCAGCTATAGGGGGCCATGTGATTGCTCTTTGAGAGTGATCACATGGCCCCCGGGGGAGGGCTGCCTGGGCTGTCAGGCAGCCCTCCAGAAGAGGGTCGCGGTGGAGGAAAGTCCACCGGACCTCCAGTGGCTGCAAGCAGTTACGCCGTTCTATGCCGCCGCAACTGCTTTAAAGCCCTTTTAATGCGGGACTGCATAGAACGCCATAACTGCGTTAAGGGGTTTATCTGTATTGTGTGTATGTATTTTTGCCTTTCCAACAGCAGCACCAATTTAGAATGCATGTGTCTCCACCCCCATTTTTATTTTCTCCTCCCCCTGTTTCCAAGAATGACTCAGCAGAAACACCTGGTAGATCACTGCAGTGAAAATAAATTGTCTGGGAGGCTTTAGTGGTCTTTTAAGGCAATTATGTTCATGGAGTTACACATGTGGGGATATCTGGGGCCATCTTTATGTAAACATTACGCTGTCCAACATTTAAATGTAAGAATTGCTTAAAGGTCGCATTTGTCTTACTAGACCTCAAGATGGAGGCAAGCCTGCAGATACCAGCCAACCACCTCAGAGTACTGCCACCTATGCTCAACCCAGTATGGGCTACAGCCAGAGTAGCTACAGTTATCCTCAGGTTCCAGCCAGCTACCCAATGCAGCAAGTGAGCGCTCCCCCATCCTACCCACCTGCCAGGTAATGTGTACTTTTGTTTTTAATGCTTTTTTTCCCCCTTTACTCTGCAGGGTAGCTTTGAAAGCAAATCACATTTTGTATTCTTTTTAGTATTGTAGCTCTGTGTACACAAGTTAATTTGCATTGTGGATGGCAAGCCGCTGGTCGTTAACAACACTTTAGTTTTGTTTAGTCAAATTGTGACTTGATCTTCAAAGTTCTTTTGAGTGTGTGGAGGGGGGGGTAATATGTCACATTCTAGCTGGTAGAATTAAGGAGATAGTCCAGTACTCTTTCAAGCAGTATTCCTTTAATCCAAAAACAAGCAACATTTCAGACTCTTCCAAAGTTGAGGTGGTTTGTCTGAATAAAAATACTTTTAATACACTCCTGAACAAATAGATCCATGCAGGATCACTACAAAATCTTTTTATCAAAAACTTGTGATCTTTTGGAGCATACCGAAATGTTACCTGTTATTGGACATTGCTGAAGGCATGCTTGGCCCTCCTTGTTATATTAAGAATACTGTTTTGGGCAGTTGTTCGGGTCACAATTGGAGAAATTTGGTTCATCCTGTTTGTAGCTTATCCTGCTATAGTTGGTTACTGATTTTACTCCTTCAAGTGATTTTCTTTTTGAAAGGTTACTGGAGTAGGGTGCATTCAGGAGTTTAACTAGAAATCAGCTTGCATTTGTTGCACTTTAGGGTGACTGAAGTTATTGACACGTAATGTGCCTTCCATTGATCTCCTGTATTGGCCTCTTTAGATAACAAAATATAGCTGTATGATTTCTAGTTTTCTGTAAACTAGACTCTTGCCATTAACAAGGAGGTGACTGAATTGTGAGGTGAAAACTTTCTCTAAAGACTAATTCTGTTGCATTGAGGATTACATATGCTTTCTTTTCTTTCCTCTGTTTAGCTATTCTAGCTCTCAACCAACTAGCTATGATCAGAGCTCATATTCTCAGCCCAGCTCTTATACCCAGCAAGGTGGTTATGGACAGCAGAGCTCTTACTCCCAGCAGAGTTCTTATGGTCAGCCAAGCAGCTATGGACAGCAGAGTGGATATGGACAGCCAAGCAGCTACCAACAACAGCAGCAGCAGCAGCAACCACCACCCACCAGTTACCCACCTCCATCTTCTTCCTATGGCAGTCAGTCATCTGGCCAGTATGGCCAACAGACTAGTGGCTATGGACAGCAGAGTAAGTGTTCTTTGTTTACATAAAGTAGGATTTGTGCATTTTGCAACATCCTTTTTTTTTAGACCAAATAACTGTTTTATACATTCTATTTTGCATCATGTGATTCTCTGTAAATAAAGGTAGGCATATAGAAGGCATACACTAAAATGAATATTGGAATTGAAGATACCAAATAGATATTAACCCCTTAAGGATGCTGGACGGAAAATCAGTGAGAAGTCGCCAGCGTCCATAGGAAAGCATTGTGAATGCTTTCCTATGAGACTGGCTGCGCGCGCAGCTCCTGCCATGCATGCGCATTCAGCCGAAGACGAGGCTTTAACCCCTTCCTCTCCCCAGAGCCCTGAGGGTGGGGGCACCTTCAGGGCACTATAGTGCCAGGAAAACGAGTACACAGTTTAAGAAATACAACATTTCATTCTAAAACTTGTAATATTTGCATTTGCCCGTAACACTTTTAAGGTATAATATACGCCTAATAACATACTCTGGAGTGTCTGCATTCTCACATGGAAGGCCTTTGTGGGTTTATTTGAACAGTCAAATGGCTACAATGTCACAAAATCACACATGACCATCTATGAAAATTCCAACTATAGAAACGGAAATGGCATGGTCTCCTATATGGCATTGTAGCTTCACAGAATAGGGGCAAAGGTATACAATGGGGGTATCGTTTTACTCAGCAGATGTAGCTGAACACAATATGGGGTTCTGTACAGGGATAGCACACACTAGGTTTACGAAATACACATTACAAAAACCTTGTAATATGTGTATATGCCAAAATAGAGAAATAAAATTTTACTCCAATATTTAGCAGAGATTGGCGGTGAAATGGCTACGCAAAGTGTCAAACTAACCGTAGGTAAATAGCCTGTGATGTCTACTTTATATAAACATATACTTTTGTGTGGCAATTTTGTTTTCTGTAATGGGTATTAAACTTCCAAGACAAACATACCAACTTCTAAAATTGCTACACATTGAACTTTTATTTTAGAACTTGTAGTTTGTGACATGTAACTTTCAAAATAAACTGAAATCCTACACATTATGCACATTGTAAATCAAGACACAAATGAATTGATTTTGAATTACTTTTCCTAAGCTGGACAGTGGGGGGGAAAGCATTTTTTTTGTTTTTTTCCCCACATTATTTTGCATTTTTTTGTTTTTTTTGCAATAAATGAGAATTTATATGTATGTCACATCAAATTAAAGCCCTTTTTGTTTTCTTAAAAAAGATATATAATGTGTTGGTACAATAAATGAGATGCAAATTGCATTTGAACGCAAACACAATAAATGCAAAAATTGCTTGTGTCCTTAAGGGTATGTCCAGCTTCTGAAGCTGTCCTTAAGGGGTTAAACCATTGTTCAGTTTTACTTTTCTAAACTGCATTAATGTATTCTTGTGTACATGTGACCTTTCAGAGATGAGTTTTTTCGGATATTGTGTATCTTTAAAGTAGTCCCTTTCAGGGCAATTGAACAGGTTTGGGATTTCACCTGCTAATGTTTTAATATAAAGCTAAAAGAAAATTCATCCCTCTTCCATGGGAGGGTGGGGAGGGGTGGTACATGTATGCCTCCTTAGCATGGAAGGTGTATTTGGAATGTTTACAATCCAACTCGAAACTGTTGATACTTGATTGCTGACCATGCCTACTTTATATCCCAGTTGTATTTGTTTTAATGTGAAAATTACTTCCAAAAAAACTCATTGTTATAATTTGACATAGGTTTTAGGTGACTGTTTGCAAAGATTCCCCCCTTTGAAATGCTATATGGGATTTAATATTTTATTAGGTGGCTATCGTCAAGACCATCCAGGCAGCAAGGGATCCTATAGTCAACAGGAACCGCACCAAGGCTATGGAGGCTCCAGTGAGAACCGTGGCTCTGGAGGCTCTGACTCTCGCATCAGGAGCAGGGGCATGTTTGACAGAGGCGGCATGAGCCGTGGTGGGAGGGGAGGCCGTGGAGGCATGGGGTAAGAGAAAAGCTTTTTATCTATAAATTAACCAAAGGTTCCCCACCCAGTATTTTAACTGGAGCTGCAATTCACTCAAGTACATTAAGGGCCAGATAAGGAATAGCATCTAATGTAGTTTTAAAATGTTGTTCCTTCCAAAGCATTTAGTCAAGCCCTCAGTTGCCTTCTTTTCAGTGGTAAGCTCTTTATACATATATCACTCCACTATATAAACATTAATTTTCAGTTGTATGGAAAAAGATCCCATGATCATAAAGAAGCATTTAGCTGCATTTTTTTTTCCAAGCACATTTGTTTCTGGATTCCCTCGTACCTTTTCACTTAACCTATTGGTACAACAACATTGGCAACTAATGGGCATATTAAATTGTGTATCTTTCCAGATTCCATTTAAAACAGCTTTTTGTGCTCATTTGGGATTTTTAAAAAAAATATTTTAAACCTGTAAAGCTGCTGTGGAATCACCATTGAATAACATGTGTTTAACACATTTTTTTTTTTGATGCCGAAAATAGTAGATATCTGGTTTTCTATAAGCTCTGGAAAACCTGCCAGCATACCGGTTCATAAGTACTCTGTACTTGGTTTTAGAAATTTCCAGTATTCAATTGAGACTGCATCAGGAACATGTTGTAACTTCTCTTAATAGAGTCTGAATGTATTGGCACCCTTGATAATTCCAAATGGTACAAATTACCGTGATAGTGCCTAATCATACCGAAGTATCACATGGAGGGTATACTATATGATTACTTGTACAATAAGGTGCGATGCTAGATATCCACTCCCTAAAATGCCCTGAAAAACTAAATCATACAAAAATCATGATGCACACTCCAATAGCTACTAAAATCCAAAACTTCATTTAAAAAGTTCCTAACGACCATATAATATATAAAGCTATCAAAGACTGTGTATAAAGGCTAAAGTAAATATACCAAAGTCATTACTATGCATATGAATAGCCTGACAGTACACGAGCCACAAAATCCCTTCAACATTTTAGCACCTCTCTGGCTGCCTTACTCAAGGGTATCTATATTTTTAACATTTTTGAATAAAGCATTGGATTTTAGTAGCTATTGGCGTGTGCATTCTGATTTTGTATGGATTTAATCATACCCACTTAACTTCAACTTTTAGTCTAAAGCTTGAGGTGCTCAGTTATACATGAGAATGACCGGCATCCCACCCCTTATTGTTCCAGTGCATGCAGTCTTACTTTCTCTGTACATTGAATTTCTACTCTTCACTGTTCATTTATGATTATTTTTTTACCATTTGCTGTCTCACTATATAAATGTTATATCTTTCTGTGGGAATGTACCACTTCCAGTGTACACACTCCCTAACTGCTTTAACCATTGCACTTTAGTTGACTAAAATAAACTTGCATGGTGCTGAGCAGTTGTATGCCTAGGCAACCTTATGGTAAGATATGTTTATTGGAATGTTAAAGTATATTGACACTAACTTAAAATATGTGCGATTGTGCACCATATAGTGTTCCTAAAAAGCAGACCTTGCCATATTGTCAGAAGCTGCAGTATTATTTGTAGGTTCAAGCCAAATCTAGATTTTATTGCCATTTCAACCTCATGTTTTTGCCCACGTGGTTCGGTACATAAAGTTATGTGTGACTTTTAGGGAAGACTGCTTGATTTATAGAAAAGAAAATCTCGGCGTCTTTCTCTGTGCACAGCACATGGTCTTGTGTTCCCTGGGAGTAAATCCCCAAAACACTTTATTTTTCATAAATTTTCCATTCCATTTTTGATGGTTACATGTAATCCTGCATTATCATTCATGACTAGTGGTCAGACAGGCATAATGTGACTAGTCTCAAAGAGGCAGGTTTTCCAGAGCTCTCAGGTAAGTCCTGGTTGTAGTATATATATTTTAATGTTTATTTAATTTTGCTTCCTTTTTATTCCGAAGATGTATGCATTTTTCTATATATCTGGATATGTGTAATGCTCTTTTTGGTTGTACGTGAAAATCCCTTATTTTAACATGCTTTGTCAAATTTATATGCCACAGGTTACAAAGTGAGAGCGTTGTATACACTTCAGTTCTAAAAAGTGCCCACTCAGCCGGCAGCATAATGAAAAGTGGGACTCGGTGTCTAAATGGAGAGGAAAATAAATCATAATTTATCAGGCCAAAAATAATCTAAAACTAGATCAGAACTTTGTATTAGTTATTGTTAGTTAAAATAGCTGATATGTGTAAAGAGGTGTCAAATTTAATACATTGTGTAACAATTTGTTTTTGTTTTTTTTTGTTCTATTCTTGTAGACATTTATTTGTACATTGTCAAATGGGTTGTAAGCTGCAAATGACAGCTTAAATGTGTTAAATATTTTGTATTAAAGGTGCAATGCTTTTTTTTTTTTTCTTTGAAGACCACCACTTTATTTAAATAAATATCACCAATATGTTGCATAATTGAGAGGTGTTGCAACACAATAGCCTACATTTCTGCTTTAATTGATAGTGACAGGACTGCTTTGCAGTTAAACACACTTAAAGACCAATTACATTCTTTGTGGTTATCACTACCATATGCCAGCATTGAATATTCTGCTTCCTAAATGTCGGCAGTTAAAGGAGTGGAATGTTCCAGTTTGGAATATGATCAACTAAAATCAGATTGATGCTAAAGATAGTCTTTAGTCCTTAACCCCTTAAGGACACATAACTGCAATATTCCGTCATGATTCCCTTTTATTCCAGAAGTTGTCCTTAAGGGGTTAAGTATTTATGTAGATTCTATAGCTGTTAGTGTGGTTTCTATGGAAGATCTGCATTCTGTCAGTTACCGCATAACAGAAGTGGTTGATGGTTATTCTTTTAGTGGCTGCTACACTTGCGCATCTGCCATTTCTCACACGTTTTATATTTTTGTGGTGGTTGTGAGAAAATAAATTTAAAAAGTGAACTTGCTATTGGTACATTGATCTCGTGCCTTTTACATCTGACAATATGACCACTTTATGCACTTTAGTCCATGAAGCATTGCACGCTTAATACTTCTGTTGATGGAGTTAGACCTCCTGAAGCAGAGCATAAAGGTATATGCAGATCTGTATGTTAAGTGTAAATGAAACAAAAACATACAAACGCCCTTGAAGATTAGTGCCACGCTGAGACAGATGCTTTGTATGGAGATGTTAAGCCACTGCCGGCTCTGTACCCTTGAACCCCCTTCGAGGCCCAGAATGCTAAATGGCTCTTTAATGGGAAAAGGCCTTCATTTCTTCACCTTTATTCTCCCAGCAGCGGTGGAGAGCGAGCTGGCTTCAGTAAGCCTGGTGGTAAGTTTTTGAGTATTACAAATGGGTAGCATAACAAAGCAATTTCCCTTTTCCTCCACCCTTTTTTGTGTAAATTTTATATTAATTTTGTTTTTGCTCACCTTCATACCATGGTGTGTAATTCCCTGTGTGCAGACGTTTTAATGGTCTGGCCGGCATTGTGTAGGGGTATGGATGCTTAAATGGTTACACAGTGGAAAAAAAAAATCTAAACTATACAGAGGTGTGTGTAATGTGGGGAAAAGGTTTTTTTGTTATACCTGATTTTGGTATATCTGTCCGCTAGAGGTTGAAAGTGCAAACTGGAGCACCTATTACTGTTTACCAGCGGCGATACTGTACGTGTTATTAATCTGCCTTCCCCTGTGCCTTAAAAGATTTAATTTCTTCACTGCTACCATGCTATTTTTTTAGTGGGTAGAAGTGAAGGTGCCCCTCTAATTTTTTGAGGGCTTCTTTACACCTGTGGCAATTTAAAGGTGTGTATAAATACAGAACAAGTCTGCCCCAAATGGTTCCCATGCCCACAAACTGTGCCCTAGAGGCCCCTTCTTAACATGGTGGTATTAAGTAGCTTTGATGTTAATGTTTGTGTTTCGTAGGAGCATGGCGATCCTGTAAACTAACTTCTCTTTTTGTACTTTCAATCTGCCAGGACTTATGGACGACGGACCAGACATTGACTTAGGTGGGTAGTTTGTGGTAGTGATGCTTCTTTATGAGGATAGTTCAACTATTAGAAATATTTTGGTTTGTTCTTTTATAAGGGTTCATCACCTCCCCCCCAAAAAATTGTCTTGTGCTGGTAGTCTGCTTCTCATGTAGCCTTCTGTTTTGGGACTTTTGTGTTAGGTTTTTTTTTTTTTTTTTAACTTAAGATGTGAATGGCTGTTTTTATGGTTTGGGAAATTAAACCGGTGTTATCGTTATTCCAGTTTGGGTCAGAACACCATTACAAATATTTATCACCTTAAAATCAAAAACAATCAATCATTAAACATGTTTTTACTGAAGTTTCCACAATTTTTTTTTAGGCATTGGTAACAAACTACATATTTTAAGTAGGAGCCTATTTTTATAAAATCCATAAGATCCTCTGTGCAAACCTTGGTATAGGATTGAAACGCAGCAAATTATCCCACGCTGATATACAGCTGCTTATATAAATACAATAATTAACTAGAACACCCTAAAGCCATCTTGGTTTTAATAATGAATACCTTCTCATAGGACCCCCTATGGAGCCTGAAGAAGAACCAGAGAACAACACAATCTATGTGCAAGGTCTGAGTGAAAATGTGACAGTCGATGAAATAATAGACTTCTTCAAGCACTGTGGTGAAGTCAAGGTAAGTGGCATTCCTGGGGAAGTTGTAGAGCGTAAACCTAATTTTCCTTCCAGTTTGTTTTGCCTTGGGAGAGCTGTCACTTTTATGGATTTTAGTCGGCATTCTCTCCATGACCTTTGCTTGTCTTGGTGACTTGAACTCTACCGGTTCCTTTATACCCTCGAAATTACAAGTATCATCATTGAGCATCTTAAAATCATACTCCATATTATGTTAAAACAGCTAATGTATAAAACCTCAACACAAGGCTCCTCTATTCATTGCATTAAAGTATCTTTCTTTTTTTTTTGTATAAAGCTAGTATGTTTGGGAAGCAAGGGAATTATTGTTTATATGCAGCAACATATGCATTTTGTTTATGCCATACAGATTCAAAATCTGTATGTTGATGTACACTGCTGATGGAGCTCCTTACTGCTTTGGCTTGTGTGTATTGTTTTTGTCAGTCTGTTTTATTAGAGGCAAAATGGTATATGGTACAGAATAATGAATAGAAAGTGTCACAGTGGGTGTAAAGCATGCACAACGAACATATATTATTTGAAACTCCAGCATAATACTGCCTACATCCTTTTATATTATCTTCTTTCTTTTACATCACTTTTTTTTTCTCCCCCCTTTGGCTTGTGTGTATTGTATCACTGATGCTTACTGATGCCTAGTTTTATTCTGGTGTATATAGATAAACAAGAGGAATGGCCTTCCGCTTGTGAACATTTTTACAGACAAAGAGACTGGAAAACCAAAGGGAGATGGAACGGTTTCTTTTGAAGATCCACCATCAGCTAAGACTGCTGTAGAATTATGTGATGGTGAGTGTTGTAATTTGTCTTAAAATGTTGGTTTAGAGCACATGTAATCGTAACAAATGGCATGATCACTGAAACATATGGTCTTCTATAAATTGTGCTTGAAAATATACATTTGTTTTTGCTTATATGCACTTGGCACAGATGTTTAAAGGTCCACTAGCTTAGGTCTCAATTTAATAAGTGTTCCAAATGATTCAATGTTGGGAGAAACTTTACAAATGACTTATCTGCAGAATTTGCCATTAGTCTGTTGAAATTTCTATAGATAAATCATTTGGAATGTCGTGGTTTATTTTATTTTTATTTTTTCCCTCTCGAGTTGTATTGAAAAACATAAGAGTATATTGCTGTGCTGTAAAGGCATTAAGGTAAAAAAATAATTATTTTAGACCTATCAGCACGTAGATTTCTATGTCTAATAAATAGTAAGTTTATTTTGTACATGTCTTCACACAGGTTATATTATGCTTAATTGCCCATTGCTTCTGCCATAGTAAAAAAAACTGCTTATGAAACTGCATGCAGGCTGTTCAGAGCTCTAATAAATGATCTTCATTCTATCTTTACTGCATATAATTTTACGTGTGATTTACAAGCTATGAATTGATTAACCATTGTTAATAGGAGACTTAATAGGTCTGTAATTTTTTTGTGCCAATTTCTGCGCCCATTCAAAGTTGTTCCCTCGGATACTCCTTTGCCGTCCTTAGTCAGAACATTTTAGATGTATTCTGTAGTTCAGCTCTTTAGTACTTCAAAACTTTGTTTGGCTCAACTGAAACTATTGTGGACCAACAACCTGCATGGTGTAAAAAATGTGTAAATATTATACACTCCTTTTTTTTTTTTTTTGGCTGTTTTTAATATATAACTTGCTATTTGAAATGTCACGCTTTAGGAAAAGAATTTCAAGGTACTAAACTGAAGGTGTCAATGGCTCGCAAAAAAACATCTTTGCTGGGTATGAGAGGTGGCATGCTTTCGCGTGATGGTCGTGGACAACCACCACTTTTACGGGGAGGTAAGATGTAACTTTATATATTTGTATAGCTTTTAATTTTTTCTGTTATACATATTCCCTATGTTTCATGTTCAAATGTAATTATGTTAGCTTGCTTGATATTTGTTGTATCCTTATTGTAAGCCTTTGTTTCTATTAGATTGTTAATAAAATGCTCTTTCTTAGGTCCCATGGGGCGAATGGGAGGTAGAGGAGGGGAACGTGGAGGGTTTATGCCTAGAGGTCCTAGAGGGCCACGTGGAAGTCCAGTTGGTGGTCCAAATGTACAACACAGAGCTGGAGACTGGCAGTGTCCAAACCCGTACGTATGCAAACTGGAGTATCTTTTCTGCAATCTTCTGCTATATGTGTGTTGCTCAATTTATCTTATATTTATATTATCAGTGGCTGTGGAAACCAAAACTTTGCTTGGAGAACAGAATGCAACCAATGCAAGGCTCCAAAACCCGAGGGCTTTATTCCTCCTCCATTTCCACCACCAGGTAAACTTAGTAACAGTTTTTTTCTTTAAACTATCAATGTTCTTTCATGTAAATGTAGTTTGTCAATTGAAACATCCAGGAATCCAGTATTTGCCTGTGGATGTTTCCTTTGACTGGAAACACACAGCCGAAGTTGTGGGCGACTTGGATTTGTGTTTTAGAGTACCGGGATTAGCTTTTGCCTTTATTTTTGTCTTAACCCTTTGTTCGATCTTCACATATGTAGGAAGTTGTGCAATAAATTGGCCTTACAGGATTGACCTGATTTAGGGATGGTAAATCATTGTTTGATTACTAGCATTTGGTTATTTAAATATTTGCAGGTGGTGAAAGAGGAAGGGGAGGACCAGGCATGAGAGGTGGTCGTGGAATGATGGACCGAGGAGGACCTGGAATGTTTAGAGGTGGCCGTGGAGGCGACAGGGGTTTCAGAGGCCGTGGTATGGATAGAGGTTTTGGTGGAGGAAGGAGAGGTGGTCCTCCTGGGCCCCCAGGACCTCTCATGGAGCCAATTGGAGGAGGCAGAGGTGGTGGCGGCGGCAGACGTGGTGGACCTGGTAAAATGGAAAAGTATGTACATGTTGATGTTTTCTTCTCCCCCTCCTCCCACCCCGCCCCTCCATATGAGCAATATTTACTTCTCTCTTCTTTCTCTTTAGGGGTGAGCACCGCCAGGAGCGCAGAGAGAGACCCTACTAGAAGTTCAAAAGCCTCATTTACTACCAGATTTATTTTTTAAACAAATGTTTTAAATTTATAATTCCATATTTATAATGTTGGCATTGAGTCTATACTCGGTCACATTATGACTATCCTTTGTCTGTAACTTTAGTATTCACAATTTGTGGAGATATTAAAATGGAAGTTTAATGGTAGTACCATTGTCCCTTTTTTTTAATTTTTTTTGCAGCCTCTTCCCTTTTTATTTTTACATTTTTTTTTTTCCTCCTTTTCTTAACTTCCTGAGGGTCCACCACAAAGTTGTTTGTTCTGTTTTTAGATGTTTTCTCTGAAGGTTTCAAGGTATTGCTGCAGTGGCTTTGTAAGCATGTGGAGTATATTGTTGGTAAACATTTTGCCAGGGGAGGAGTAAGGGTAAAGCACTGTAGTGTCTTAGCACTCCTCTTGTATCATTGAATTGGACCCTTTTTTGAGGGTTGCCAAATGTCCCCTCCCCCTTCTTGGATAGGTTTATTTTTCTTCTGTTGTGACAGATATTGAGGTAATGGCGTTCCATGTCCATTTTCTGGAAAAGAGGAAAAACTAGGTGTTGGGGAGGGAGGGAGAGAGAGGGGTCTTGTTTTATACTCTGGCTTGTACAAACTTGTTCAATACAACACCACAATAAAATACTGTTTAAAACCATATTTCACAGATTGAAATTACTTTTCTTAATTTGTTTCTCATCAATATTTACTTTAGGCAAATGTTGAAATAGTTTTTCATACATTGTAAAGGTTTTTGTTTGCACAGTGTGAAGAATTAGCATTGCAAATAATGCTCCAGTTTTATTTGAGACATTAGTGCCAGGTTTTTGTGGTAAAGGTTGCCTTTTTAATTCAAATTACAGATCACTAATCCCAGTTATTTTGGGATTATACAGCCATCATGCTCAAAAGTGGTCATTGCCCCAAAAGCCTTCTCCTTTTAAACTCAGCCCAGACTTTCTGTAGCAGTCCAATCACAGACTTCCCAATGCAGCTAAATGAGAGAAGGCTGTGCAAGGCAGGTGCTCTGAGCAATTACCTGCCTCTTTAGTTTAGCTCCATTCTACTTTGTGTGGTCTTTGACTGGGCGTTACTGTAATCCTTATACCAGTAGCGTACATACCAGGGTCGCGACTGCGATCGGACCCGGCCGCCCCTGCGATCTGGTATGTAGCCACAGGGCCAGCCTCTTCTCCTGGGGGGCCCAGGAGCCGACCACCCCAGGGCCCCCAGAGGCTGGCCCTGCTGTCACCCGGCAGGCAGGTGGCCGGTCGGGCAGGCAGGCGGGCGCGCGAGGGAGCACTCAGTGCTTCCTCTTCAGCTCCCTCGCGCACCGCACTGATACCGGAGCCGGAAGATGTCATCTTCCGGCGCCGGCATCCCTAAGCGGCGCGCGAGGGAGCTTAAGAGGAAGCACTCAGGGGAAAGTGCTCCCTCGCGCGCCGCCTGCCCAGACAGCTCGCCCACCCAGTGACCTGCCGCCCAGGAGCCCAGCAGCACCACTGGACCCCAGGGAATCCCCCCAGCACTCCAAAAGGTAAGGAGGCTGGGGGGATTAAATTTAAAAAATAAAAATGTGTTAGTGTGTTAGTGTGTGTGTCTTAGTGTGTGTGTTAGTGTGTGTGTGTGTTAGTGTATGTGTGTGTTAGTATGTGTGTGTTAGTGTGTGTGTGTTAGTGTGTGTGTGTCTGTGTGTGTGTGTCTTAGTGTGTTTGTGTCTTAGTGTGTGTGTGTGTGTGTCTTAGTGTGTGTGTGTGTGTGTGTCTTAGTGTGTGTGTGTGTGTCTTAGTGTGTGTGTCTTAGTGTGTGTGTCTTAGTGTGTGTGTGTGTCTTAGTGTGTGTGTGTGTGTGTGTCTTAGTGTGTGTGTGTGTGTGTGTCTTTGTGTGTGTGTGTGTGTGTGTGTCTTAGTGTGTGTGTGTGTGTGTCTTAGTGTGTGTGTGTCTTAGTGTGTGTGTTAGTGTGTGTGTGTGTCTTAGTGTGTGTGTCTGCTAGTGAGTGTGTTAGTGTGTGTGTGTCTGCTAGTGAGTGTGTTAGTGTGTGTGTGTCTGCTAGTGAGTGTGTTAGTGTGTGTGTCTGCTAGTGAGTGTGTTAGTGTGTGTGTGTCTGTTCGTGAGTGTGTTAGTGTGTGTGTGTCTGTTCGTGAGTGTGTTACTGTGTGTGTCTGTTCGTGAGTGTGTTACTGTGTGTGTGTCTGTTCGTGAGTGTGTTACTGTGTGTGTCTCTTCAGCATTTACCTTTCTCCAGCGTCGGACTCCCCAGTGTCCCTCTCAGCTCCGAATGCAAATGTGTGGCAAGAGGCGCGCGCATTTAAACCGCCCATAGGAAAGCATTACTCAATGCTTTCCTATGGACGTTCAGTGTCTTCTCACTGTGATTTTCACAGTGAGAATCGCGGAAGCTCCTCTAGCAGCTGTCAATGAGACAGCCACCAGAGGCTGGATTAACCCTCAGTGAAACAGCCGTTTTCACTGCTATGTTTTCAGCTGCAGGGTTAAAACTAGAGGGACCTGGCACCCAGACCACTTCATTGAGCTGATGTGATCTGGGTGTCTGTAGTGGTCCTTTAAGTGTGTGTGCATACCGCGGTCGCGACCCCTGCGACCAGGTGCCCGCCGCCATGTGTTGCGGCCCCGACCCGCGCGCGGGGAAGGGGGGCCCACGGATCAATTTTCGCTCCGGGGCCCCATGGGTCATGTGTACGCCACTGCCTTATACATTTATGTTTAACCCCTTAAGGACGGAGCCAATTGTACACGTGAACAAAACAAAATGTAAACAAAACCTGGCATTTGCGCTACATGTCTGTCCAACCGTAATTTAACTCTTTCATAGTAAATGCACCCACACTTATTATATATCATTTTGTTCAGGAGAAACAGGGCTTTCATTTCATATCAAATATTTATATATGAAACATTTATTATGAATAAAATTTTAAAAACGGAGAAATTTTACATTTTTAAAAAAAAAAATTTGTAGTTCCGCCTCACATTTTAGCTGTAAATGTCAT